AAAAAATCCATCTTAATAAGACCTCGTTTGGTAAAACAAAATAAGGAATCTTTTCATTGCTTTAAGCTTTAGTTGGAGACCAAATCTCCACGGGTGCTCAAAGGACTAATTGAGATTTGACCCCTAACTGAAGTTTCGTGTGATTGGACTTGTTTGACCAAACAGGACCTTGGAAAATAATTTCAATTTTAAATCTGCTTAATTGTATCGATAATCAAGGATTAAATACCAATGAAATAATTTTTTGAAATAAAAACCATTAAAGTTTCTTTGTTATAGAAAAAAGGTCAAAAAAAAAAAAAGAAAAAGAAACCCAACGTGGCATTAAAACACGCATGCATTGGATTTTCTGAATAGCATAAATAAATAAATAAATAAATAAATAAATAAATAAATGCTGTTTGATTTATAAAATATAAATATCACTGGAAAAAAAAAATCAGACCACACCGCACGGCACGGCACCGCACGAAGCAAGAAGAAAGCAGAAAGAAAAGGAAGCAATGAGCAGTAGTGAAGGGAAGCTGAGCTCATCCAGCTCCGAATTGGACTTGGATCGACCCAACATCGAAGATTATCTCCCTTCCGGATCCTCCATTCATTAACCCTGCGGCAAGCTTCGCCTGTAATTTCACTTCCTCTCCCCTCTTTCCCCTCCTTTTTAAAATTTTTTTTCTTAAAAATCAGTTAATTATTTGAGTGATTAGTTGATTAATCGTTGATAATGGTTTTTGAATTGGTTTCAGACGCGATTTGCTTGATATTTCTCCCACTCTAACTGAAGCTGCTGGCGCCATTGTTGATGTAACCTCTCTCTCTCTCTGTAATTCATTGTAAAGGTTCTGCATGTTTCCCGGGAAAGTGCCAGTTAAATTTGTACTATTTTCTAATTTTTAATAAAAAATAATTGATGTGTTCTTGTTTACCCCAAAGTTTTGATCTTGAGTAGAATCATCCGGTGGAAATTTTTTCAAGATTTAACTGATTATAGTTGTGTACTCAATGAGCAGGATTCATTCACGCTGTGTTTTAAGTCGAATCCTCCTGAACCATGGAACTGGAATGTGTATTTGTTTCCTCTGTGGTGTTTCGGTGTGGCGGTTCGGTACTTGATTTCATTCCCTGTGAGGTTAGCCATTCTACGTTTCAAGAGTAACAGTGCATTGTTTAATGCATGATGGTTTTTGTTTTAATGAAGTTTGCTTATGTCAGTTTTAGAGTTTAGTTAGGTACCGTATTATATGTTGAAGTAGTTGTGTTGTTTTCTGAGTTGCCATTGTGCTGTTAAATCTGCAGGGTTATAATTTTGACGATAGGATGCATAATATTTCTGTCATCCTTCATTCTTGTGCACTTTCTACTCAAAGGGCATAATAAGTTGCGGAAAAAGATGGAGGTGTGAACTTTTATGCTTTTCTAGTTTTTGCAGATTTTATGTGTATGTGTGTTTGTGGTGCTGGTGGTTTCATTCCATATGTGGGAAGCAAAGGTTTAAAATTGTAAATATCTAAAAAGGCAACTTTGAGCATTTCCTATATTCTGCTAGCAAGCTTGTTTATTACCGGCATTGTAGCACATGTACTTGATGCAAAGTTCATTTCTAGACTTAGTCATATTTTCTTTTCAGAGGGTTTTGGTGGAGCTAATCTGCAGCTTCTTTGTTGCATCGTGGACTGGAGTGGTTAAGTACCATGGACCACGGCCTAGCATTCGGCCCAAGCAGGTTTAGCTAACTATAGTTTCTGCACTTGGTATTCTTCCTAGTTCCCTTGTCTGTTTATCAAAGTTTTTTTTTTTTTAATATTTTTTTCATTTAGGCCCTAGTTTAATTCAGTAGTACTCCTTTTAGGCTGTGTGTCTTTGCAGAATAACATATATCTGAGCATTCCTTCCATGGGTTGAACAGGTGTTTGTCGCCAATCATACTTCCATGATCGATTTCATCATATTAGAACAGATGACTGCATTTGCTGCCATTATGCAGAAGCACCCTGGATGGGTTGGTAAGTAGTACTGCAAGCATATGTATTTAAAAATGATGTTTATAGAGTTCAATGTTGCAGAGGATTCTTAATTAGCTGATTACTTCTATTGCATGCTTTTCTAAGTACTCCTGAATTTTATTTTGTTTGTATGTCAGGTTTTAAAACTCAACAGTGACAGCCTGTCACTCAACTTTCATATTAGATTATTGACCTGTACAGAATTTCCTTACCTTTATGTTCTCGTGTGAAAATCCATCTTGGGAAATATATAGCTTTGTTTTTTAAAATTTCTGCCTTTTTGTTGTTGTGTATTATTTCTGTTTGTTCTGAACTTCAAGATTCTAGGGCTGTATCACCCACGAGTACTCTTGTTGTGCTAATTGCGCTCTTATTCACTAGAGACATTTAATGCACAAATGTTAATGACAGACAAGTTCATGCCCTTGCTGCTGAGTTTTCATGATGCCTGTTATGGACCATAATGTGTTGAATAACTCTATGCGGAAGAATTCTAATGGATGTCTTTAAGTAGGAATCTATGGCTATGCCTTAAAAGTTATGATGTAGCTTTTTATCTTTTCAAGTTGAAAGAATACAATTCCAGGTGCTATGCTGCTTTTGGTTTCATTAAAAGTGGATTTTGATGATAGTATCAGTGGAGTGAAATTTAGGTTTATATTTTGTGTATATTGAGTGAATAAAATAATCTATTTGACTCTTTTTGCATATAGGACTGTTGCAGAGCACTATTTTAGAGAGTGTAGGGTGTATTTGGTTTAAACGTTCAGAGGCGAAAGATCGTGAAATTGTAGCAAGGAAGTAAGTGCGATCAGAAAAGGGGCAAATGTTTATAGCAATATGTTTCCATCTCATGATTGTATCAACTTGTGAATTTCAGGTTAAGGGAACATATTCAGGGGGTTGACAATAATCCTCTTCTTATATTTCCTAAAGGGACCTGTGTCAACAATCAATACAGTGTTATGTTTAAGAAGGTATAGCTGTTACTATTTGGGGAGACCTGCTTATGTTGATCATTTCTTATGATTCCTACTTTCTTTAACTTATTGGTTTTTCTTATGATGGTTTGGGTGCATTTGAACTTGGTTGCACTGTTTGCCCGATTGCAATCAAGTACAACAAAATTTTTGTTGATGCATTTTGGAATAGCCGGAAGTGAGGGATTGATCACCGAGTGTTCAAATTCTGTTGCTACAACAAACATAAAACGACTTTGCATATTATGTCATTTGCACTACTCACCAGATTGATGCTTTAGTTTGTGGTTTATGATAACTGTGGTGTCTGACCAATATTACATTTCTTGCAGACAGTCCTTTACAATGCATCTGTTGCAGCTTATGACATCCTGGGCTGTTGTTTGTGATGTGTGGTACCTAGAGCCCCAAAATCTAAAGCCTGGAGAAACACCCATCGAATTTGCAGAGCGGTAAGTACCATTCCTAATTAGTTGCAATCAGTAACTGAGGGCACCAATTAACAACTCTTAAGTTATCTCTTAGCCTCCAAAGCGATAGCTTTGGTTCAATTGACATCCTTTTATGCAGGGTCAGAGACATAATATCTGTTCGAGCAGGTCTTAAAAAGGTTCCATGGGATGGATATTTGAAGTACTCTCGCCCTAGCCCTGAGCATAGGGCACGAAAGTAAGACAAATCTATACTATTCCTTTCCATCTTTCCTTCTTGTGGTAATATTTTCTAGTCCTTGACTTACTTAGGGCAGGGAAATAATTTTTGACTTAACTTTTGTACACAAGAAGATTATATTGCTATATTATTTACTTGTGTTTGCCCATAATTCAATAACATAGGCTGTTAAATTTGTGATTCTGTCATTTTATTCCATATGGATGAATTCATTGTTTGCTGCAAAGTATCCGATACCTGAAAGTTTTGCCAATTATAGTCAATTTCACATGCTGTTTGAAATTTACTTTTATGCTTTGAATTGCTGAGCTGGATTGTGGAACGAAGAACAGTTATCTAAATGGATCATCCTGCACTTGCAGGCAACAAAGCTTTGCTGAATCCGTGCTTCGGCGACTTGAAGAAGAGTGATTCCATAATGTACATTTGTTTAGTTGTCTTTTATCTTGATAATGAGGCATGTCTGATTGTTTATACACTTGATTTCTCATTAGTTGAATGCTATTTTGTTTTTTTTAATATCAGAATTAGTTGGTGGTTTGAAGGTGAAAATTGAAACGAAGCGCCTCTCAAAAGAATTTCATAGCAGAGTATAGTTTCCGATGGTAGGTTTCTTTGTCAAATACAATAAGGTCGGTATTGCAGGCTTGGACTTGATGCGTCTGCTTCAATTTTGGTTTAGAATTCTGGTCTTTGTTTCTGCACCGCTGGTTGGTCCTTCGAATTGTTACTGTGGTCATTTTTTTTTTCAGTTTTATTTTTTAATGGGGGCAGATCAACCGGGTTTAATTGAAGTTATTTCAAATTTATATCTTTACAAGTATTTAATTCTTATTAATACAATCAAATTTTAAATCATAATTTATATATTCGTGTCATATTTGTTTCATATAAAACACGAAAATTATCATGTTATAATTTGTATTTACACGACAAATATAAAAGATGTATTTTAGATTTTGTTAAGTTTATATATGATTTTTGTCAAATGTAAAAATTTTTTTAATGATATTTTTTTTCGTTTTTTTTTTTTGTCATTGTTTTTTCTTTTTTTTTTTTCTATTTTTTGTGATATTTTATTTTATGTAAAATTATAAGGTTGGCTTCAACATAAAATATTTTATTAGATAACTTATTCAACATTTTTTAAATTTAAAATATAAAGAAAAATAAAATTAAGTTAAATTAAAGAATATAGGAAATATTGATAAATTTTATAAAAAGTAAAATAAAATAAATCAAATTGGACTTTTTATCCTAATTAGGGACAGTTGTAGGCCCAATTTCTCTAAAAAGCCCAGAACATGGCCAAGTAAGCCCAAAAAGCCGTAGCTTAAAATCCACGCCGCGATAAAACCCGGTTGAGTTATCAGTCGGCTTCTACAGTTTCACTTGAAACAACGTTCCCGTACCGTCAATGGCGGTGATATGATAAACCGCTTAAGATTCTTTCTCTGTCTTTTTGTTTCGAATTCTTCTAAATTTTTAAACCCTAATACTCTCGCCCTATTCACTCCCCTACTTTAAGAACGGTAAATTTCCTTCCCTTCTTCTTTTTGACATTTCTTCCGTTTTCTCACGTGATTCCCCTCTTCTTTCAAAATTTCCCTTTTTCATTTGCCTCGTTTTCTCGTGAACCAAACAGAAAATATCTTACGGAAAATTTCTTGTCTTAGTAAAAGAATTTGATTTTCATAATTGCGTAATGGAAATATTTGTAATTCAGATATTTCCGGCTTTGCTCTTTTTCACTTCACTTCTGTCTTCAGTTTCACTTCGATAATTGAAGTCAAAAGAAAAAAAAAAGAAATTCCTTTTTTTTCCAGTAAAATTCCCTTTTGTTTAATTCTTGTATGTTTTATTTCAAGAAAATTTGAATTTTTTTCCTTACACTTATCTTGCTCTAGACTAGGCATTCGTGTATCCATATAAGATATTAAAATTCGTATAATTATATCATATTTTATACAAAATTTGCCTGTCACAAACACGAAAGAAATAAAATTTTCTGTTTTGTTAAAATGATATATTTTCATACATATATTTATATTGTATTTATCGTGTTGTGTTTTAGACTGTCTAAATCTACGTTAAAAGTAAAGCTTTTTTTTTTTTTCTTTTAAATGAAAAATACAAATTTTAATCCAATTTTTTAAAGTAATTTTCAGATTTGGTACGTACAGCTGATAATTCTGGGCAATGACGCTTACAAGATTCAAAGGTCCTACAATTTCTAGTGGATTGACAAACAGAAAGAGGGAATGGAACAAGATAAATAAGCCTTCGAGTTCTCTTTCTCTATTAAACCCAAGTGAATTTTGTAAATTTAGGAAGGAATTAGGCTACACAGATGGTGCCCGAAACTGCTACCTATCTGCTGTACATAGAAATTCGTTGTTGTCACCATTAGTGGCAAATAGAAATACCCGTTTTCCGGTGTTTCGCAATCAGTTAAGTTCTGATTTTGGTGTCGAAGATGTCGATGAGAGACTCGCCTCAAATGAAGAAGAAGATACAGCCTTGTTAGGTTCAACTGAAAATGTTGACGCCCAGTAAGATTTTTAAGACCCATTGTGTGTCTAAAGTTGTATATTATTTTTCTATATGTGTGTTTATAATATGTGTCTACATATCTATTCTTATTTAGACAATATATAGTTTTGCTGTGGTTTCGTTTGTGCAATGGCTATGAAAATCATAGTGATTGATTTTCTGCATTGTAATGTTTTTCCCCCACTAGCAGAATGGTAAAATAAACTCTTAAGCAATAGTGGAAATAACATGGTCTGCGACTTAAAATAATGTGTCTTTCATGCTGACATTATCAAATTCAAGAATAGTTTCAGTTTGAGTACAACAGCACTCCATTTTCCTGATTCTCATGTGCTAGCATGAACTTTGAAACTTTTCATTCGCAGTGAGGCAATAGGGACGGCTGTAGATGTTAAGAGGGAGCTTATTATGCTTACTCTGCCAGCAATTGCTGGACAGGCTATTGATCCCTTAACACAGCTGATGGAGACAGCATACATTGGAAGATTGAGTATGATCTAATTTTTTATTTTAATTTGTTGTGCCATTGCTTTAATTGCAAAAATAATGCTACAGTTCCTTTTTTTGATTCTTTGATGCTAACGACGTTGTTCTTTGGTGAAAGACTAAAAATTTGGTTTTGGTTTCTTAACTATGGATTTCGTTGTTCATCTTTGAATTTATTTCTTTGGGAGGCTTGCATGTAGTTTTTTAAAGGATATAACTTTTCCCTATAAGCACCGCTGTATTGATTCTTTTAACCATGCTCTGTATTAATCTGATTTCTTTTGCAAATTGCCACACATTGCTGCTTCATAAATTAATATTGTTTCCAAATTCAAACTTCCAAGTCAATGAATTTGTATGTTTAAATTGATTTGGTCTGTTTTCAAGTAATTGAAATTTTGAAAATTGATAGAATCCACCTTTGGAGCATATAATTTCACACTTCAAAGTTCGAAAATTAAAGCTCTATTATCTTTATAGACAGATTCTTTTTGTTGTTTCTGCAGGTTCTGTGGCATTGGCTTCAGCAGGTGTTTCCATATCTGTTTTTAACATAGTATCAAAGTTATTTAATATTCCCCTCCTTAGTGTCGCTACTTCCTTTGTTGCTGAAGACATCTCAAAGAATGCAATTGAAAATTTGTCAGCAGGTGAATTTATGGAGACATTTGATGCATAATGGCTTTTCATTAATTTTGTCTCTATTTTATGGTACCAGATAGAAGTAGATGACTGAATGTTTTCACTTGATATTTGAGTCATTGATTTTTTTTATGTTGAAGGGGAGAGTGCTAATGGTAAGCCTGTGGTTAGTATAGCTGAAAGAAAGCAATTATCCTCAGTGTCTACAGCTTTACTTCTAGCTGTTTTGATTGGCATCTTTGAGGCCTTGGCATTGTCTCTTGGATCTGGACCATTTCTTAAGTTGATGGGAGTACCTTCAGTAAGTTTAAATAAATTTATTTAGCTTATCTTTGGTCATCCTTCTCCTGGTCCCTTTTTGCTAAAATACTGTACTAGTTATTAATGTGGAAGTTTCTTTTCTTGTTTTTATCTTCTTAACAGACATCGGATATGCATGCTCCAGCACAACAATTTCTTTCTCTTAGAGCTCTTGGTGCTCCTGCTGTGGTAGTCTCTTTGGCTCTGCAAGGCATTTTTCGTGGGTTTAAAGATACAAAAACTCCTGTTTTTTGTTTAGGCAAGTATTTGGTTTGACATTGAAAGGGTGTTCCTGGAATGATCTTCATTTGTGTCTACTTTTTGTTTACCACATTTATTAGAATACTTGGAATGCAATTTTTGTGTGTAGAAACTTTGTTTATCATTTAGCTTCAGAATGAAATTTTGGTAGCAAACTGCTGCTTAGACCTTCCATAATAGTAACAGTATGTAGAAATCATTTAAATTTTAAGTAAAGACTTACAAACCTGACACAAGATACAAAAATCTAGGTGTAATAATTAATGATCTTTGAAATTAACTTGTTCCTCTTTTTGGTTCTTTTTTCTTTCTCTGGTGTTATTTGGGGGGGGTAGATCAGAACCTAGCATATGTTTTTATTTTTACCCACTCTTTTATGTCTTGGAATAAAACTTCTTCTGGTTACTAATGTTTTGAACTGATTGCAGTCTGTGTTTCTTTTAGGCTTTAACTATTCTGGTTGACCCCAATCTTGTTTGTGCATTGTGGGATTGCTTGCCTCCTCTTTTCCTTTCTTATGAACAATCATTTATCACCTTGTAAAGGTGACTGTGGAGATTGAAGCACTATTAATTGGTATAGAAGAATGATAGAGTTGATTTGTGTAATGCACATAGTAGTTTGTTATGCAATATCCTCTGTTGTTTTTTCCTTTGTTTTCCACTGATGGTAATGATCACTGTGTTAGGTAGCTCTTTTTCTATATCATTCTTCTTTTGACCAATTAATGTGGTTGCTACAAATGCAGGTGTTGGTAATTTATTAGCCATATTCCTTTTCCCCTTACTTATGTATGGCTTTGGAATGGGTGTGACTGGAGCAGCTCTCTCCACTGTTTTATCTCAGTATGTCTGCTTCAGGCATCATTTCCCTACTTTTCTTAAATACTGTGCTTCCCTGGAAATGACTCTGCAATATTTTCTTTTATTAGGTACATTGTTGCCTTTCTGATGATCAAGTATTTAAACATGAGAGTTATATTACTGCCTCCAAAGATGGGGGCATTGCAATTTGGAAGCTACATAAAATCTGGTAATTTTTTACTAGCTTTGAGAGACAGGATGTTGTGCTACGGGGTGAATTTTATTGTTTTTATGATCGTAGCCCTCCACTTTGTATTCCTTTCTCTACTTAGGATGTCTACTCTTTTATGTTATCGGATATATATTTGTTTACGATATTTATTTTGTTATCTCACGGAAAATGGTTTTCTACAGGTGGTTTTCTTCTTGGAAGAACTCTTGCAGTGCTAATAACAATGACTCTGGGGACTTCTATGGCTGCTCGTCAAGGTTCACTTTATATGGCTGCTCATCAGATATGCATGCAAGTATGGCTGGCTGTATCTCTTCTAACAGATGCACTTGCAGCATCTGGTCAGGTACGTAATTCTTCTTATTATCTTTCTAAATTTATTATCATGATGGTACTTATTTGTCGTCTATCATCCTGTGTGATACTGTGATATAAGTACTGAGATTTTGACCAAAATAACCACTGAGATCAGATTGAGAGAGCATAATTTGATGGTAAACTACATCCCCTAATTGAGCTCCTTGGTCATAGTTACAAACACACATATTCTCACACCCATACAGACTGTAATTATTGTTTTCTTTCATGTTAAGACGTTCTAAGCTTTTCTCACACTAAGCCCCTTTGTCTTTCTAACATTTTATTTTTTGTAGGCCTTGATTGCGAGTTATCTATCTAAAGGTGAATTGAAGACTGTGAAGGAAATTACAAACTTTGTGTTGAAGGTAAGGCTTTACTTGGATGTTTCTATAATTGCTTTCTGCTTGTCACAATGTTTTCTGGGTTCGGCTTTGTTGGGTGTCTAGATTCATTAAGTTGATATTTTGACTGATACTGTTCACTAACTTGACGTGCATGGTTTTACAGATTGGGCTTGTCGCAGGTGTTTTGTTGGCTGCAATCCTGGCTGTATCATTTGGTTCTTTAGCCACCTTGTTCACCCAAGATGCTGAGGTTCTAGGAATTGTTAGAACTGGGGTACTAGTAAGTATTTAAATCAATATCCAGTAAAACTCTTCCCTTTCTTTGCATGTTTTGGGGTGTCCTCAGAAATTTATAATGATTTCTTCTGAAATTGTTACAGTTCGTCAGTGCTAGTCAACCTATGAATGCTTTAGCATTTATATTTGATGGTCTCCATTATGGAGTCTCAGACTTCCCATATGCAGCCTGTTCTATGGTAAGCTGCTCCCTTGAAAATTTCAATGTCTCTTGTTTTAGGGGTAAAACTTAACACTTTGCTTCTTCTAACATTTATTTTATGTGATTTCTAGATGTTGGTGGGTGTGATGTCTTCTGCAATTTTGCTCTTTGCTCCTACAGTTCTCGGTCTTCAAGGAGTTTGGTTGGGCTTGAGTCTCTTTATGGGTCTGCGTATGACGGCAGGATTTGTCAGGTAAATTTTATAAATATGCATTTATACGCTATGAGTTATCTTCCAACTTTCCAAAGTCCTTGTGGAGGCTTGAGTCTTGACTGTCAGTTAAGGGCTGATTGATTAGAAATTCTATTCCATAGAATATTTGGCAGCTAATTGTCACAAGTATTAAGAACAATAATGCTAACTGTCATAAATATTTGGAATAGCATGCATGGTCATGTATACGAGTTAAATATATTTTCTAATAAATCTTGTAATAATCTGTTGCCTTTTTGATGTGTTTTATACCTGTATGTGGCCTATTTTTTAAGTACTTGTGGTGCCCTTTACATGCTAAATTAGTATTGCTTAGTGTACTCAATGTATGCAGTTTATTACTAATATTTATCTGTCTTGATTATTTGTTTATTTTTTCAGAATACTATCAAAAACCGGGCCTTGGTGGTTCCTGCACAGGGAGTTCGAGAGAGCTGAGCTTAGTGTATGTTCATAAAACAACAGTTAAGAAGTAGCTGTTCAATTGCTTCTGTTGTGTTTTTTGGCGAGCTTATCATGTTGATCTTTGTTTTTATATGTTTCCAATTCATTGCTCTTTTTCTTTGACATCAATATCTGAGTTCTGCTATAGGATTTTTTGATGAGCCTTATCATATTAATTGATCTTTGTTTCTATGCGTTTCCTCATCCAATTCCCTTTTGCGTTTACCTATGTATCAGAGTTCTCAATTCTGGAAAAAAAATCATTCAACCCACTTGTTTTTCAGCTTACGAATTAAGATTGGGGATAATCTGAAGATAACTGGAGGACATCAATCACCCTCAGAAAGATTTTGGTTCCTAATTTGCAGCTCTGAATTGTATTCTTGGCATAGAAAAAATCTGGTTGACTTTCCAATTGGCTGTTGCCGTTATATTAGGGTGCACCTGCAATAATTTGTAATTTTGTAGATTCTTGTTAAGCAATTGCTTATTCTTTTATGTCAATAGCAAAAAACATTCATTAATCCAACCTATGTTGACGCTATTAGATTTTGCATTCTATGCTTGTAAAAGAGTAATGCTTGCAAGCTATTCCCTGGTGGAGCTAGGTCACACCGGGTTTTTGTGATATTTTTCAAGTGTTGTTGGTGAAATCTAGTTGATTGCAGTAGCCAAAGTGCAGATGATCATTACCAGATATGAACGGCAGCAATGCATGATGATCTTGGGTAGTTTTTGCCAGGGTATTCCTTCATGTATTTATCCCATTTGCCCACATCTTCTTACCTTCATCTCCTTAATGCTTGGTAGCTTGAATGTGCCGTCGAGAAGGACTGCTAACCATTGACATCTTATTTCTGAGGTATTCAAGTTTATACTGCTAACCATTTACACGGCCTGAACATGTAGTTGGTTAAGACTCTCAACCTGTAGTGTTGAACTGTTGCATCAGGCGAGTCAATGGTGCAATCGTGAAAGGTTGGGGGACACAAAAATCACTAAGCTTTTTACCTCTGAAAATCACCTCCCCATGGTCAATGCATATAATGGCACTATATCCATTGTTATTGGGTCTTTAACATCAACACCCTCCATCAAGACATGATCAGGCCGTGAAGAGCTTTCATTCTTGTTTGTTCCAGAGGCGAGAAGGAACCGTACTCGAGCCCCCATGGATAAACAGCTCCAGGACCCAGTATTTCTGACATTCCACTAGCGAGTGAGATAAATCCGAGTTCTTCGACCTTCTGCGCAACCTGAGGTGGCGATGGTGCTCCTCCTGTCATTATAGTTACCCTGAATGGAAGTGGGTTTTGATTGGCATTGGCAATTAAACTATGGAAATGGGTGATTAAACTAAGGATTGAGGTTGCATTGGACCACCAAGATTGGTTGCAGTGAAACATAAGGACCGTCCGTAGATAATTAGGCATGGAATGGTACACAAAATTCTAAAGGGGCATTAAAGTAATCTAAGCGATAACGGATAAAACAGATCCACGTGCAGCGTCCGTGCCTGAGCTTCATCTCTCACTCGGCTCTCCACAACCTTTTGGCCTCTGCCCCCCATTTTCTATCGATCAAGCTTTTTTTAGGGTTTTCAAATTTTCCGTTTCTGTTGAATTAAAACCCTTGGCTTTTGAATCAAACAGCAATCAGCGATGATCGTCCCTTGATTTTTTGTTATTACTTTTTTTTGGAAGTGGAAAATCAGTTATGCTGATTATCGTCAAAGCAAAAGAAAGTTTAGTTGCTGATGAAGATTACAGATCATCTATTGGGCTATTCGCCTCCTATTTGGGCGACTTTGATAGCTGGAGTGCTTTTAGTCGTAACGCTTTCGCTTTCAATTTATCTTATATTCGAACACCTCTCTTCTTACAAGAATCCTGAGGTAAGTTTTTGTTTTGTTAGAGAGTTTAGGCTTTTTTTGTCTTACTTTATATTGCTTTGTAAAATTTCTTTTTGCTTTCGGACTGGCAGGAGCAAAAATTTTTGATCGGAGTTATTCTTATGGTTCCTTGCTATTCTGTAGAATCGGTGAGTTCTTTGATCGGATTTTGACTTGTTTTTCTTAGGCTTTGAATCCTAAAGCTAGATGTTTTATGTAGTTCAGATCGTGCAAATCCTAGTGTTTTGCATTAACTTTTAAATTGTTAGATGAATATAAGTGTTTTTTATACTGTAAGACTAAAATCATCAGCATGTATCTTGAGGTCAGATAAATTAAGAAATGCTCGAAATCATTGTCTATTATTGCTCAAATTTCTGGACTGTTAGGTGACAGTTGGTCTTCTGGTGATTATGGAATGTAAGTATCAGTGAAATCACTAGCATAAATGTTTTATGATCAATGCTGGAAACCTTTTGCTTCTAAAGATGCTTGCAGTTGTAAATTTCTGTAATTAGACTCCTGTAATTGAAATATCATGCTTGACTTTTTGAAAATTTGAAGTAAAATTTTGTGTTTGAGATTGATGAACATACCTAAAGAAAGTATGTAAAATCATTGGCATAAAACTTGAACAGTGCAATCTGATATTGCTAACATGCTTGCATTGAAGGTGTTGTTGGTTGGTTTTTTTACTTAATTTTAAGTAGTTTGTTCATATGGAATTTGAATTATATTCAGCTTGGGTTAAAATTTTAAGTTCGATGTTCCTTTGAGTCTGTGAAACTTTGAGCATTGAAGGTATAGCAGTACTTCAACATGGGTTTTTTTGCAGCATGCATCTGTTGCAATGGTATGTTATTTTCTGTCTTGCTTACCTGGATTACTTTTAACAGTTTGTATCATTGGTGGATCCATCAATTAGTGTTGATTGTTCAATACTACGCGATTGCTATGAATCATTTGCCATGTATTGCTTTGGAAGATACCTTGTTGCTTGCTTGGGTATGTCCATTTCTAGCGCCTTGAAGTTCAAATAAAGTTTTATTGCTTAATTCTGGTTTACAGTTTCTGAAATGGCATCTTATTTGTTGTTTGATTTGCTTATACCCTTGTATCTGAATTTTAGACACCCAGATACTGCTTTCAATTTCTTCAAGCAAACATTTCAACACTGTGCCTGTCATTTGCTTATTGTTTAAGAATGTATAAATTCTTCAGATGTATAACATAAATTGCTCACTCATAACGCCCCTAATTCATTCTAGTTAAATTCTAAAAGAAAATATTCTCTACTCTTTTGGTTTTACTCAAGCAAGGTCCAGGATGTAGGCATTCATGACCGCCTCTGAAGGCTCAACAGTGCACATTCTTTGTGGTGGCTGTAGGCCATTTCCAATCACTAGCCAATGGGTAGTTTTATTGTAAAGTTGTTTGGTGCTAAGAATGTTGTGCATTGAGCTATTGATCACACGCATATGAAATAAACCACACCTGAAATGCACACACAGAAAGAAAAAAGGTACTATAAATATTTCACTAAAGAGGTATGAAAGAAGATTGGGCAGTTCTGTCAAACTAAGTATACATGCTAGTTTTCATGCATTTGATGTTACAGACCCAAAATTCTAAAGATAATTTCTTTCAAAATATTCAGAAACTAAAGCTTGTCCATGAAATATGCATTTCTGGTAAATGAACTTTTCGAAGGTCCATCATACAACATAAATGTAAAATATAGCTCTAGTTTTTTGAGCTTTAACAACACAAGCTATTTGTTAAATATTTCATTTTGCAATTTTTTTCTTCCTTGTATTTTATAATGGTCTTCATTCTTCACAGTTGAGCTAATGTTTATTTTTATGGCTGATATTGAGAAATATTCTGTTCTTTATTGCAATCATTCTTTCAATTTCTACTTTTAAGGCGGCGAAGAGAGGACAATTGAATTCATGGAAAGATTAGGGTGTGCAAGTTCTAGAACTCCGCTATTGGGACTTGATTGTGAAAAGGGAACTGTTAAGCACCCTTTTCCTATGAATTACGTCCTAAGACCATGGAAACTTGGTCAATGGTTTTACCAAGTTGTCAAGTTCGGCATTGTCCAATATGTAAGTACTCTTTAGCTTGAAGAAATGAAATATTACTTTTGCTTCTGTCATTGGTTCCCTATTTTAACAGAGTTGTATGCTTTGTTGGCAGATGATAATCAAGGTATTCACTGCTTTTTTAGCAGTAATTCTTGAAGCTTTTGGTGTATATTGCGAAGGAGAATTCAAATGGGGATGTGGGTAAGACTATCTTAACGTAGAATATTGCTTATGATAGTAAGGATTTTCTGTGAGTTATCAGCAGAAAGCCTTTTTCCAAGTAGAAGAAAGTAATTTTGAATGATTGTGATTCATATTGATGCCTGTTTTAGTGCTTCACCTGCTAAGCAACAAGCCGCCTAAAACCACAATATATGATATTGTTTCACTTGTGCGCACCAGTGTTTGTTTAAAATATTCTGGTACTCTGTTGTTTCATTTAAAGTGGAGAACATTCATTAGTGAAACAGAATTTTGTAAATGGCCTCTCTTAAGAAATTTCTCATTATATTGTCATTGTTTCCTGGTTTTCAGGTATCCTTACATGGCGGTGGTTCTCAATTTCAGTCAATCATGGGCTTTATACTGTTTAGTTCAATTTTATACTGTCACAAAGGATGAACTAGCACACATAAAGCCATTGGCCAAGTTTTTGACTTTTAAATCAATTGTGTTTTTAACTTGGTGGCAAGGTGTGGCAATTGCCCTTTTTTATGCTCTTGGTCTGTTCAGAAGTCCAATTGCTGAAGGCTTGCAGCTTAAGTCAAGTGTCCAAGACTTCATCATTTGTATAGAGGTAGATGTCTCAATCACCAACATATTTCTTCTAGGTTGTACTCTTATTTACTATGGGTATGCAGCTATGTAATGATTAAGTCAGTCATCTCAATCCAAAAAGCATGTAAATTCTCCAAGTCTTTTTATAATATGAAAGTTTGATATGTCCTTGTATTCCTGCAGTACAGATGGGCATTGCTTCTGTCGTTCACCTCTATGTTTTCCCTTCCAAACCTTATGAGCTAATGGGAGATCGCATTCCTGGAGGTGTTTCAGTCCTTGGAGACTATGCATCTGTTGATTGCCCTCTGGATCCTGATGAGGTTAGGGACAGTGAGCGACCCACAAAGCTACGTCTACCCCAGCCTGACATAGAGGCTCGAAGTGGAATGACCATCAAAGAAAGTGTGAAGGACGTATTTATTGGTGGTGGTGGATATGTAAGTCTTCAGTTTATACTAATAGCGCAATTTTAGATTATGCTTTGTAGGTGAAGATTAGTGATTAACAATTAGTGAGAAAATGAAAATTGTTTGCTGTAATTACCTAAAGGGTGAAATTTGTTGTTGGTTCTCCATAATAGCATCTCTTCAGGTGGACGGGAATTCATTCAGTTGCTAATTAGGATCCACGATATAAAAAAAAAAAAAAACCTGAAAATATGTTGCATATTGTCCCACTATGTTTGTTGGGGCTTCTTCGAAAAGCATTAAACTTTTCTTTTTTACCTTTATGTACCTATAAAAGTCAATCTTTCAAAGACCAGTTTTTTTTTTCTTTTTTTCTTTAGTATGTTGACATTACTGTTGCTGAATCTGCTCCTTTCTTGTGCAGATCGTGAACGATGTAAAATTTACAGTAAACCAAGCAGTTGAGCCTGTTGAGAAGGGGATTACCAAGTTCAATGAGAAACTTCATAAGATCTCTCAAAACATAAAGAGGCATGACAAAGACAAGAGAAAGACAAAGGATGATAGTTGCATTGCCACACCTGCACGGAGGGTAATTCGTGGTATAGATGATCCTCTTTTAAATGGGAGCATTAGTGATAGCGGGGTTGCAAGGGGAAAGAAACATCGTAGAAAATCAGGATATACCAGCGCGGAAAGTGGAGGAGAAAGCAGCAGTGATCAGAGCTATGGTGGATATCAGATTAGGGGCCATAGATGGGTTACAAAGGATTAAAGCCTAGATGAATAATTGCAGCTATATGAACTCAAAACACGCTGGAGTGACAGATTCAGCGAGACATCTACCATCTATAGCTTGGTCGACATGCTCGAGAGCATCATTTCTGCATGAGGCGGCTGAAGATTTCTTTTGAATTTTTCTCATCAAATGGGGCAGTTGTTTATGTGGGGGACTCGTGGATATATACGGTAATAGATGTCATGTTGTATAGAGTTTATTCAGGGCTTGGCCATTGCATACAATGGAATCAAGAAGCGAGTTGCATGATTGGGACATCTTTGCTCGTTTTTTTTTTTTTTTGAGAGATGTCCACATGGCAAGCCGAGACAAGCTTAACTACTGTCTGGAAAATCATTGCCCATAAAGTTTCGAACAGGTAACAGCTGTTTGTATTCTTTCCATGAACATATGCTCGACATTTGAAAAACAATATCCCTCAATCTCTCATGTAAGATGTGCTTTTGCACAGAATGGTACTAGAAATTCATAGTTCTAGCATGAAAAATCTACAAGATGAACGAGTGATAAACAAAGAGTGCGTTATGTAGCATTTCCCTTTTCAATAACTCGAAAACGAATGCCATTTTCCTGATGGGATTCTAACCATTGGTTAATAACCAAAGACAAGTAGCAAAATTGGAAGTTGGTAAAATGGATACAATCTCTAGAGAGTGACATAAATTTTACTGTTCTGCAAACGCCATGAAAAGAAATTATAGCTAAAACTGAAGCTTAGCATCACTTGGCATCACAAAAAACATGTTCTGAACCTGTTAGAATCATATAGTACTAAGATCAGTTTCACATTTTTCAGGTTAGACCCAGATAGGATAAGACATTAATTTAACAAAACAAGAACAGACAGGTAATCGCTACCTGCAACAAAGGATTATAGTAAACCTGACAGACAGCGTTAAAAAAGGGAAGGAATTGACTGACCAACGAAGAAACAATAAGGCCTTTCTCGTTTGGGATGCTTTAGCCATGCCTCAGGACCCAGTATCTGTTACGCAAAAACAACGACGTAGCCATCTCTGTCACCGTTTTTTTCACTTTGCTTCCTTCTGCTGCGCTGGATAGCTACAACTGTTTGTAGGAAATCTTTGAAGGTCGCGTTTGGAGAGGGGAGTTTCTTTTAAACTTTACTATTTCTTCATTAAAATTAAAAAAAAATCTCTTTTATGGCAAAAAGAATTGAAACTTACACATTATATATATATATATATATATATATAATATCTTCCCCATCTTCCTTTAGAAAAACCATCTCAAATTTTTAAAAATTGTAATTGTCTTCCATTATTTTTATTAACAATATTTTCTCTTTAACTATTTTAACCAGACCGTTTTCTATTTTAGTTGAGGACCAAACACATCCTTCATAAAATCTTTTAAATAGTCTGCCCATTAACCCCTTACTTGCTTGAATTATTTCACCACGTGGCAAGATGTTAGTTACCAACTGTAGATACTACAATAAACTCACCGCAGAGGAACCTACTCTGCTCTTTTTTTCTTTTTTTTTTTTTAATTTCAACATTTACGCCTTGAATCTTTGTTCGATGGATTTCATTTGTCACTCCCTCAAATTGCAACAGAGAGAAACAGAGAAGAGAAGAGAGCTCTCCCAAAGGCTTTTTCTTTTGGATAATTGAGTCTTAAAGTTTGTGACTTGAGAGTCTATTGTTGGCTACAAAGGGCTTAGTTTCCAGTCTCCTATGGCTCTCAATCTTCGCCAAAAACAAACAGGTAAATTCTCTCTTTAGATCTCTCTCCTTCATTTTCCCTCCAATTACCAAAACCCCATTTCAATTCTCTTTGTATGTTTTCATGTGGATGCAATTAGAACAAGCTTTTATGTCTTTAGTTTCAACCCTACTAAAATTTTGTTAAATTTGATCTATTATTCTTTGAATCCAAATCCAAAAAATCTAGCCAAAACCCACAATTTCTTTATAAAAATTTATGACTTTGGGTGTAGTTTTGTCTGGATCTTTTGTACTGGGATGTTGAATTTGATCTTTCATTTTGGAGCTTTGACCTTAGTGGGTGTTTTGGTCTTTATCTTTTTGTTGGGTTTACAGAATGTATAATCCGAATGCTGAATCTGAACCAACCTGTGAATCCCACCGGAACTGCTAATGAAGAGGTTTACAAGATCTTGATTTATGACAGATTTTGTCAAAATATACTGTCCCCATTGATCCATGTTAAAGATCTGCGAAAACACGGTGTTACTCTATACTTCCTTATCGACAAGGATCGAAAACCTGTCCATGATGTGCCAGCTGTGTATTTTGTTCAGCCTAATCATTCCAATATCCAGAGAATTGTAGCTGATGCCTCACATTCTCTCTATGATAGTTTCCATCTGAATTTCTCTTCGTCTATACCAAGGCCGCTTTTAGAGGATCTTGCTTCTGGGGCTTTGAATTCGGATTCAATCAATAGAATTTCGAAGGTTCATGATCAGTATTTGGAGTTTGTGACATTGGAGGATAATTTGTTCTCATTGTCCCAGAAGTCTACCTATGTGCAATTGAATGATCCATCTGCTGGGGATAAAGAGATTGAGGATATTATAGAGAGGGTTGTTAGTGGATTATTTTGTGTTTTGGCTACACTTGCAGTGGTGCCCATAATAAGATGCCCACGTGGTGGACCAGCAGAGATGGTTGCTTCAGCATTGGATCAGAAGTTGAGGGATCATTTGTTTTCAAAGAACAATTTGTTTTCTGAAGGTGGGGGTTTTGTAAGCTCATTTCAGCGTCCAATTTTGTGTGTCTTTGACAGGAATTTCGAGTTATCAGCTGGGATACAACATGATTTTAGGTACCGCCCGCTTGTACATGATATTATTGGATTGAAGCTTAATCGGTTGAGTGTGCCAGGAGAGAAAGGTGGAATGAAATCGTATGAGTTGGATAGCTCAGATCCATTTTGGATGGCAAATGGATTGTTGGAATTCCCTGAAGTTGCTGTTGAGATTGAGACCCAATTGAACAAATATAAGAAAGATGTTGATGAGGTGAATAGAAAGACTGGTGGGACTGCTGGAGCTGAGTTTGATGGGACAGACTTGATGGGGAACACAAAACACTTAATGAATGCAGTGAACTCCTTGCCTGAGCTAACAGAACGGAAGCAGGTTATTGATAAACACACAAACATTGCAACAGTGCTGTTGGGTGAAATAAAGGAGAGATCCCTTGACTCTTATGTTAAGAAGGAGAATGACATGATGATCAGAGGTGGCATTGATCAAAATGAGTTGCTAGGTGTACTTAAGGGAAAAGGTACCAAGATAGATAAGCTGCGATTTGCTATAATGTATATTATCTCTTCAGAAACCATTAATCCATCAGAAGCAGAAGCGGTGGAAGCTGCACTAAGAGAATCCGAGGTTGATACAAGTGCATTTCAGTACGTGAAGAAAATCAAGTCATTGAATGTTTCATTGGCATCAGCAAATTCTGCTAGTAGAAATAACATTGTTGATTGGGCTGAGAAGCTCTATGGCCAGTCAATTAGTGCTGTCACAGCAGGTATGAAGAACCTATTATCTAGTGATAGGCAGCTAGCATTGACACGGACTGTGGAAGCTTTGATGGAGGGGAAGCCAAACCCTGAAGTCGATTCTTACCTTGTGTTTGATCCTCGTGCCCCTAAGTCGAGCTCTGGCACTAGTAGCAGCCATCTGAAAGGACCCTTTAAAGAAGCTATTGTTTTCATGATTGGTGGTGGAAATTACGTGGAGTATGGCAGCTTGCAAGACCTTGCCCAGCGTCAGCAGCCTGTCAAGCATGTTATATATGGAACAACAGAAATTTTGACTGGAATGGAGTTTGTTGAGCAACTCACATTCTTGGGACAGAAGATGGGATTGGGCAGTTCTGTTGCTACTTCCTCAGCAACCCAGTAATGCAGCTTTTGGATATAATTTGCAGAGTCCAGTTCATGAAGGAGGCAGCATGATCCAAATTGGAGATGCCATGTGATCAAGTAAATACAGTTATGAAGCTAGTTATCTGAGCACCTGTGCATTCCTTGCACTTTTTTCTTGATATTAAGTCCACATGCTGGTTTTAATTCGGACTTGAGTCTTGAACCCTTGACTATTCAGGAGAACATATATTTTTGTCCCATAATGTCAAATCAGATATCAATATATGAATCTTTCACTTGGATTTCTTTGTACCCCATAATGTCATCAGATATCAATATACGAGTGTTATTCAGATCCATTTGTAGTTTGTAATTGGAAAGACTGCTTTTGGTTTTAGTTAGATCTCCCCATTTCCTCCTACATTCTTCTTTACATTGCATCTTTCTCCTTCCAATCTCCTTATTAATGTATCATTGGTTTGTAAATTGATAGAAATTCTTGAACATTATATAATAATCCATCTTATATTTGTCATTTTATAACATTAGCAGATTATTTTTTTATACGTAAATAAGATTGTAGTTTAAAGATAGATAAAGAGATTGTAAGTGAGTGCTAAAATCTAAATTTCTAATTTATTAAATGTCACCTTTAGTGCATGCATGAATTAATTGGATTCCACGGTAAATTATTTATTAGTTGTGGGGTTAAACAAAAATTTTCGTGCCAAAATATAAAATCTATAAAGTAAAGGGGGTACTTTGCAAAATTATCACTTTCTCATCTTTGACCTTTCCTTTTTATCAAATGTCAATGGACTCTTTTGCAACTTTCTTTTTTCTTTTTTTCCCAAACTTTAAAACCCTAATTTGACCGCCAATAACTGCGAAATCTTCATAGCACCCTCACCCGAGAATGTCTACGTCACGCAGATCCGTCCCTCTTCTGAAAACCCTTATAGCCCAAAAAAGCCAAACCCGAGCGGTAACCTACATGCCTCGGCCAGGAGACGGAGCCCCAAGACCCGTAACCCTAATCCCAGGAGATGGAATCGGACCATTAGTGACAAGCGCGGTGGAACAAGTGATGGAAGCAATGCACGCGCCGGTTTACTTCGAGAAGTACGACGTTCACGGCGACATGAAGCGCGTGCCGCTGGAAGTCATAGATTCAATAAAGAAGAACAAAGTTTGTCTGAAAGGAGGGCTGAGAACACCAATGGGAGGTGGAGTTAGTTCATTGAATGTGCAATTAAGGAAAGAATTGGATTTGTATGCTTCGTTGGTCAATTGTTGTAACTTGCCAGGATTGCCGACTAGACATGAAAACGTGGATATCGTGGTAATTAGGGAGAACACAGAAGGGGAATACTCGGGTCTCGAACACGAGGTCGTGCCTGGCGTTGTTGAGAGCCTCAAGGTATGTGACTAAGTATAATTGAATTGCTCTTTTCATGAAAGTTTGAAGATTTTATGTTAGAACGGGGTCTTTAGAAAATCATGAGAAATTGAGGAAAGGCTTCAAGGCGTGTAACTGTGACCCTTTCCTTATGGTTTTATTCGCTCCCACCACTTAATTAATTGGTGTGCAAAGGAGTTACTCGCGATAAACCTTGAAGATACAGTAAAGCTCCATGATTGACTGTGTTTTGCATTGACGAATAGAATTATTTGATTTGGCTATAGAAAACTCGTGGGGCTTCTTTTGGCCTTTGTTTCATGTGCAGAATATCTATATGTAAATGATGTTTTTTTTAATCTTCCAAAAACTGCAAGATTTCTATTTATAATAGAAATCTCTTTTTACAGACATAATTGTCCATAAAGATGTTTAATTGTATAGGTACCATTCTTTGTAAGACATAATTTTTAGTAAATAATTATTTCTTTTAAAGAGATATAACTATTTACCATCAAATATAATTCATATGACTTATTATTTTGAAAATGTTTCAATATTTTTTTAGTGTGTAATTTAGCTGTTTTTTTGGTGTAGGTGATAACCAAGTTTTGTTCAGAGCGGATTGCAAAATATGCTTTTGAATACGCTTATCTAAACAATCGAAAGAAGGTTACTGCTGTTCATAAGGCCAATATTATGAAACTCGCTGATGGGTTGTTTTTAGAGTCTTGCCGGGAAGTTGCAACTAAATATCCAAGTATTAAGTATAATGAAATTATTGTGGACAATTGCTGTATGCAACTTGTTTCAAAACCGGAGCAATTTGATGTCATGGTATGGGAATTTTTATCATTTTATTTTTGTTATAGTTCATCTTGTACCATGAACTGCTTGGCTGCTCCCTGGCTTGGTATTCATGGATGTTTATGCATGATATTTATGTGTAATTAGCAGCTGGTGTCTTGACCTTTCCCTTGCAGTATACATTGATAAATGACACTTGGAAAATCTTTAAGACATTTAGTGGAACATAATCCTTTGAAATTTCTTTTTGAGTGTTGTGACATTATCTAGACTTGTGTTGTTTTATGTATATTCTTGTTAATGATATATATACACACACACACACACACACACAAGGTCCTAAACTAGTTCAACAAGATAGTAGAGATAGTTATAGATTCCAAATTTTCTTTACCTTGGATCAGTAACGCATGCTTTTTCACATGTTTGTCATATATCAATGCCAAACACAATTTGTATTGTTTTGGAAAATGCTGTATAATTTGCTAGAAGAGTCCATCATCCCAAAGATTTTTTTGTAACTTTCTTTTATGTTGCATCCCATTTATGTCAATTAGCAGGACTGTTTCACCTTTTCACCCAACTGCTGGACTTCTTCTGTGTCTTTAGGTTACTCCTAATCTTTATGGAAATCTTGTTGCAAATACGGCAGCTGGTATTGCTGGAGGCACTGGTGTCATGCCTGGAGGTACCAACTACTTACTAATGTGTCCAGTTCCTGTTAATATGTGTTTTCTTTTCTGGTTTTTGCTATTTCATGGCATGAATATAATCTGGAACTTGTCAGAAGAGAGATTATGCTAGCTAATTAATTTGAAATAAGTTTTTCTTGCGGCTATATCATTAAACAATTCCATTACTATAGGCAATGTGGGAGCTGAACATGCTGTCTTTGAGCAAGGGGCTTCAGCAGGGAATGTGGGAAAAGAAAAGATAGTGGATCAAAAGAAGGCAAATCCAGTGGCTTTGCTTCTCTCCTCTGCCATGATGTTGAGACACCTTCAGTTTCCTTCATTTGCTGATCGACTTGAAAATGCAGTGAAACGTGTAATCTCGGAGGGCAAATACCGGACTAAAGATCTCGGTGGATATAGCACTACACAAGAAGTTGTTGATGCTGTCATTACTAATCTAGACTGACAACTTCTTTATGATTGGCTCCTCCATCATGGATTCTCAAGTCTTAATAATTTCAGTTAGTATGTTTTTCTTATTTTCTATATTGCATTCTTAGATTTCATCCATGATATTCTTTTTTGAAATAATAAGTTGCGATTTTCTTTTTTTTTTTTTTACATTTTAAGATGGATTATAATACTATGGCATTCGGTGAAATAAATATCTGGATTTTTTTTTTGCAATTTTTCTTTAGCCTATATTTTATTTATTTATTTATTTGTATATTTTTTTCTTGTTTGCAATGTCTGCTCCACCTCCTATGAAGTATATAGCCTTCATTGCAACTGCACATGATGAAACCCCTTTTCACTTTATACTTATTCCGTGAAATTAGCAGCAGGTGATGATGATGTAATTTTGAAACTAACCCTTTAGTGAGCTTTATGATATCGGACCACCGATCTTTCTTGAACATCTGCTTGAAGAGGCAGATCTCTTTGCCAAAAACTGGGTGGCGATAACATAGATGGTGGAGTCCGATGGCAGGTTGTTGATAGTTCTTAAAATATTAGTCATCTCAAGTACACTTGAATACTGACTGTGATGAGATTGATATAGATGATTTACCCCTATATTCATACATTCAGGTTAGCAGATTTGAAGAATTCAAGGTTCAAGCAAGTGATACACTATGTCTAACGAGGTTAAGGCAACTTAGTTGGCCACAAGGTTGTTCTTTGGTAGAGAGGATTCACAATTCCATTCCTGGTGAAAATTTTAGTAAAAATGGCATTTATTTTCTGGAAGATGCATTTGTTTATACTGGCGAAGGCTGGAAACCAAATATTAATAGCTGTTTTTTTTTTTTTTTTTATCCAAATAACAAAAATGGAGACTTGAGTTTGGTTCGCGTTAGGACACGTCAGTACAGTCATATCATCAATTTTCATACATATCTTCAAGATAGATAGTTATTTATTTATTTAATTAATTACGTCTTCATTTATGTCGTCTATTTTAATTCTTGGAAATGGAATTATTTTAGATAATTATTTTAAACTTTTTTTTTGTACTTTTTTTAAAGTTACACAATCTTTTATGAATGTATTTGGTTAGAATTTACAGGAATGACAGATCTCATCTAGGAATTTATTTGTTTTGTTTTGATGGACAAGTATTGTCTTGGAGCAAAGAAGGCCACACAAATTAAGCCATGGGGCAAGATGGTGTTGAATGCGAAGAAAGCATGGGGGACAAAAATCTAAAACGAAACTCAATTAAAATCGGTACATTCGTATTGGAGCAGTAGCAAGCAAGCAATCAGCAGGCAACTTGAGCTGGCAGCATTATTTCGGGTCCAACTTTTCTTTTTAATAGTGGCCCCATAACAACGGAAATGGTGGAACGGTGAAAGACTTTGAATCGCACGCCCACGACCTTCCTTCCTCCCCTCGTGTCTTGGTGCATTGGACTTGGAATCTAGGTTAAGTCATCCCGGCCAAAACCTAACCAGAACTGTTAGTGTCAAGTACTGAGCTGAGAGTCACAATCTTTAAATACAATAAAAGAAAGGAGTAGGATAAAGGAAGAAAGGGTTTTTTGGGTTTGCATTCTATCACTTAAATTAGAGGTCGAGACATCTGAAGGAGAGAAAAATAAGAATGTAAAAGAAAGTGATATTAGATTGATAGTATTTTGATGATTTTATTTATAGATAAAAAATAAAAAATTTGTGGGATCAAATGGTGATATAATTAAATTAACGTAATACTGTATATATTAAGTCAATTTAAAAATAAAAAATATTTATGATTATTTGTTAATAATCTTTTACGAAAAACTAATAAATTTATCTTTTGAATTTGAAAATACCTTTAATATACATCTTTTGTACGTAATTTTTTAGATACTCACGTTTAAGGGACATGTATATTTGTATTCTATAAAATATTGATAATTTGTATATTCATAATGTATTATATATAAAAATTATATATTTTAATTCGTATTGATATAAAAATATAAAAAATATTATTTTTTATTAAATTTATATATGATTTTTATTAAAATTTTAAAATATATTATCTTAATATTTTTTATATTATTTTTATATCGTATTATTATATCATATTTTAAATTATTGTTTACAGTTGTTTTTTTTTTATTTTTTTATTAAGATGGCCGTTGTCATATGCTTTTGCATGCCGACATTTAATAGTGCTGGCCAAATAAGCATTAATGTTTCCCCAAGCTTACAAGGATTCAATAATAAAATACGTTTATGACGTAATAAAAATTCTGCCATTACAAATGAACCATGTGAGCATAAGCTGAAACTTAGCGCCCAACTTCCAACTGGATGCCATGGAAATATCTTTAATTAATTTTACTTTCATGTTTTAATTAATTTAAACGAGATCTAAATCAACTTGGAGAAAGATTATTTCAATGGAAGTCCAATTTTGAATATTACTAACTTAGATAATTTTTGCTAATTTCTTATGCCTAAATTTAGCATAACTAATTTCTTTTTAGTCAATTTAGATTGATCCAATAAAAAATCTTGTACCACCTCTGATTCTAAATTGTTCGTGACGATTTTTCATTGTTTCATAATTTACCTTTTTCATTAAAAATTCATCAATAAATTATGATATCATTGACTTTAAAATTAAATCAAATCGATATATTATTAAATTTGAATTCAACACGATTCGATTCAAAATTTTTAAATTTAAAATTTGATTAAATTTTATTTTTTATATTTAATCTTAATTTTTAATTAAATTAAATCATTCGAATTTAATTTGATAAATTTAATAAAATTATAAATATTGATAACAAATTTATATTTTTATTATTTATTTATATATTAAAGATTAAAAACTCTACAAAATTTAATTAAATTTTAACCTAAATCCGAATTACTCTTGAATAGCTTTATTACACCCCTAAATCCGACCATGGCTTAGATTGTCTTTGTCCCATTATCTAAAAACAAAAAGAAAAGAACGGGTCCCTCATCAGCAAAGCAAACAATCCAAAAAAGATTGCAACGTGTCACATAACCAAAAAACCGCGTGAACCGCCAACTGTTTTTCAAAATTTACTTTCACTTTCTCTTTGTCCCCGATTTTCCACTTTCAGTGAACCGGAAATCCCGCGAACTAACCGCGATTAATCATTCCCCAATAAAACCGCCAAAAAAAATATTAAAATAATCATCACGTTCTTAGAAACATGACTGACAGCCTTGTTTATTAATACTCACCAGAGGCTGACCCCATCATTTTCTTTTCTTTTCCTCAAAAATCACATTTTTTTTTTCTAAATTCCAACTACCCTTTTGAGATTTAAGCTTGTTGGTTAGAAATGGAGAGTCAGATTGTGACGGATTGCAGTGAAGTAGTAAGGGAATTGATGGAAGTGATAGAGACTATTGGATCCTATGATGGGTTCAGGAAGACTCAAAGGAAAGAGTGCTTGAATTTGGTGAGGAGGTTGAAGCTTTTGGTGCCACTTTTGGAGGAGATAAGGGAGCTTGATATGTCATCTGTTTCGGGTTTGGGTTTGAATTCTCTGGCTAATTTGAAGAGAGCACTGCTTGGAGCGAAGAAGTTGTTGAAGAATTGTAACTATGGAAGCAAGATATATTTGGTAATCACGTGGTTGCCTACTTTTCAATTGTTTCCTTTTCATTGATTTGCTTTTTGGCTTTGTTGTCTTCTGCCCCGGTTGAGGATCTTTGTTTTTTTTTTTTTTTGTCTGTCAAAATTAGGCAATGGAAAGTGAGGCGGTGATGTGTAGATTTCATGCTGTTTATGACAAACTAAATCAGGCTCTTGATGACATACCGTATGATGAGCTCGGAGTTTCAGTTGAAGTGAAAGAGCAAGTAATGTTTCACCTTTCTTTCTATTAATTTTGGATCTACTACTTTTTGATCATTCGTTACCATACTAAGAGTCCAGCATTCTATCGACAGATCACATGGCTGTTGGTCATCAACTCTTAGTTCATTGGTTGAGTTTCTTGATACTTTTTAGTGTCTGTTAAATATCCTAATTTGCCAGCTTTTTGCTTCACTTAAGTTGGGTGTTTGTTATTGATTGGCTTCCAGGTTGAGCTAATGCGAATGCAACTCAAAAGGGCAAAGAGGAGGACAGATACACAAGATATGGAATTAGCAATGGATATGATGGTTGTGTTCTCTAAAGAGGATGACAGGAACGCAGACAGTGCTATACTTGAAAGACTCGCAAACAAGCTAGAATTACATACCATTGCAGACTTGAAAGCTGAAACAGCAGCTATTAAAAAACTGGTAACGCAGAGAGGTGGACAGAATGAAACCATACAACAAATTTTAGATCTCCTGGGAAAGTTCAAACAAGTTGCAGGGATTGATGAAACTGTTTCCCTTGATGGTCCTATTTCAACAAGAACTCTCCAGAGATGTCAATCTTCCATAATACCTCATGAATTTCTCTGCCCAATTACATTAGAGATCATGACAGATCCTGTCATTGTGGCAACTGGACAGGTAATCTCAAGTCAAACCAAGTTTTGAGCTTCTGATTTTATGCTACATGTGTCAAGAAAACTGAGATAGTTTTTTCCTGCTTTTTTTTTTGAAGACTTATGAAAGGGAAAGCATTCGGAAGTGGCTAAATTCCAACCATCGGACCTGTCCAAAGACTGGACAAACTTTAGATCACTTGTCTCTAGCACCAAATTTTGCACTCCGCAACCTTATTCTGCAATGGTGTGAGAAGAATAATGTTGAACTGCCCAAGAAAGATAGCTATGCATCCTCTGATAATTATTCTGCTGAACTCATGGAAGAGATCTCTTCATTGGTTCAAAATCTATCTTCCACTCAGCCTGATTTGAGAAGAGATGCAATTGTGAAGATCCGCATGCTCTCAAAAGAGAATCCAGAAAACAGAATTTTCATTGCCAACAACGGAGGAATCCCTCGTTTAGTTCAGCTGTTGTCCTATCCAGACTCCAAGATTCAAGAACACACTGTCACTGCCCTCTTGAACTTGTCAATTGATGAGACAAACAAAAGGCTTATAGCCAGAGAAGGAGCTATTCCTACCATCATTGAGATCCTGCAAAATGGAACTGCTGAAGCTAGAGAGAACTCTGCTGCAGCTTTATTCAGCTTATCAATGCTTGATGAGAACAAAGTTCTAGTGGGAAACTTCAATGGAATCCTACCATTAGTAAATCTTTTGCAAAATGGCACAATCAGAGGTAAAAAGGATGCTGCCACTGCACTCTTTAACTTGTCTTTAAACCAAGCCAACAAGTCTAGAGCCATTAAAGCAGGAATTATACCACCATTACTTCATTTACTCGAGGATAAAAACTTGGGCATGATTGATGAAGCACTCTCAATCTTATTACTTCTTGTATCTCAACCTGAGGCACGAAACGAAATCGGCCAATTGTCATTCATCAAAACCCTGGTAGAAATCATAAGAAGTGGGACACCAAAGAACAAGGAATGTGCTGTGTCAGTTCTTCTAGAGTTGGGGTCAAACAATTCGTCTCTTACTTTGGCTGCTCTTCAGTTTGGTGTTTATGAACCCCTGAGAGAGATCACCATAAATGGAACAAACCGAGCCCAAAGAAAAGCAAATTCCTTGTTACAGCATATGAGCAAGTGTGAACATATTCCTTGAACTCCCCTCAAATGGTTCCCAAATCCCAACTTGTCTGGTTGTGCCTGTTCATGTTATTGGCTGTGTAAATCAAACTCAATTACACTAATTTTCTTTTGTTTCCGTCTGTCATTTGTGTCATTTGTGGCTTCACAACGTATTAGAGATTGTGAATTTTGTGCCATTACCTACGCTAAATCATATAAATATCCAAATAATCGAAGTTGTTTTTCCTTTTCTTTTTTTAGTGAACCAAAAATCAGTCTTGATATGTATATTTGGTAAAAAAATAAACATCTTATTGCTAAAAAAAATCATAAAATAAACTAGGCTGTAGGATTCAATGTTGCAGAGGCAAAAAATTAAAAGAAAAAAAATGAAAATTCTTCTAAATTATGCTTGGAAAATAATGAGATCACCAAAATAAGAGTCAACGAGGCAAAAAAAATTTTTCTTGCTATAACGAGGAAAAAATTTTTTTTGTTCCGAATTAAAAACACAATGAAATTAAAAATCTATTTAGATTATAAAATTAATTTCGATAAAATTAAAAATAGTGATGATGATAATATTAAATATTATAATTAAAGGCTCAAGCTGGTGGGCAATATAAAAGGGCTGAACAATAAAACTCAATTGGGCCGAAGCCATAGAAACTCAGCCCATTTTCAAGACAGAAAGTCCATCAAGGGTACCATTTTTCTATGAAACGTGGCAGAATACTATTGATTACATGACAAATCTGTTTTTGGAAAAAAAAAAAAGAATATCTGGATTTCCACTTTTATAATATTTTTTTCCTGTTTGACACCATTTTCTCCGAATCTAAAAATCTTTTTTTTTTTCACGATTTTTGATAAAAATTTCCCCAATTCTTTTTTTTTTTTCCAGTAAATTCCCCAATTCTTTTAATATTTCATCTTTTTTAAACACTTTCATCTCCTGTCCCCGAAGGAAAAAAATTATACAAAAGGGAAGGGAAATAATTTCGTATTTATCTAATATTCTAGGGTTTGGATTTTTGATCGATCTGAGAGAGGAATATGGGCGCGGAAGGTGATTCGAGTGAGTCGCGACTCGGTGGCGTTGGAGGAGGAGAAGAGGGAGTGATGATTAATATTCGCTGCTCAAACGGTACGAAATTTACGGTGAGGACCAGCCTCGAATCAACTGTTGGATCTTTCAAAGCTGTTTTGGCTCAGAACTGCGATATCCCAGCTGATCAGCAACGATTGATTTATAAAGGACGAATCTTGAAGGACGACCAAACCCTTCAAAGCTACGGTAAATTTTATTTGTCTTTAGAAAAATTTGTTGTAAATGCTGTGTATTCAATGCTTACTTTAGAAGATAAATCCATTTTATTGAAGGGTTAAATTATCTTTGTAATATGTGCACCCAGATTTATGCATAAATACTTAATTATCACTTGACCATTTCACTGTCTTCACCCTTATTGAAGGTTTGCAAGCTGATCATACTGTCCACATGGTTCGTGGTTTTTCCCCATCTTCATCTACACCTCCTCCTGTGGCTACCACAAATGTTGAAACTCCTAGTAATACACCAGGGGTCACACGGGGTGTTGGTTCTAATGAGGGTGCTGGGCTGGGAGCATCCTTATTCCCTGGACTTAATCCACTTGGTGGCAGTGGAGGTTTGGGTTTGTTTGGATCTGAACTTCCTGAATTTGAGCAAGTACAGCAACAACTAACTCAAAATCCCAACATGATGAGGGAAATAATGAATACACCTGCTTTTCAAAGTTTGATGAATAACCCAGAGTTAATGCGTGGTTTGATTATGAGCAATCCTCAAATGCGTGAGATTATTGATCGGAATCCTGAGCTTGCACATGTACTTAATGATCCTAGCATTCTCCGGCAAACATTAGAAGCTGCAAGGAACCCTGAACTCATGCGTGAAATGATGCGAAACACTGACAGGGCTATGAATAATATTGAATCCTCTCCCGAGGGATTTAACATGCTTAGGCGTATGTATGAAAATGTGCAGGGGCCATTTTTGAATGCTACGACTATGGCTGGAAATAATGGAAATAGTCCAGGTTCGAATCCATTTGCTGCTCTGTTGAACAATCAAGGTGGTTCTCAAGCTAGGGACTCACCTAACAACACTTCTACAACTGGTTCTGAAACCACTCATGGACAAACTTCCCCAAACACAAATCCGCTTCCTAACCCTTGGAGCAACACTGTTGGTGGTGGTGGTAAGTTTCAGCCTTCTGTACTTCATTAAAGCATCTTTTCTTGTGTAGCCATGCTCGTTGGTCCCATGTGCATATTTTTCATTTTATGCACATGCTATATCTATCATATATAGAAGAAAGGTAGACTAGAATCCAAAATGCTACTGATTGACAAGAAGAAATTATGTATTTGCAGAAAGAAGCATGATTCTGAAAGCTGATGGTCTAAGTAATTTTGATCATGTGGACTTGATCAATGTTTAAAATAAATCATTATACTAATTTTCTTTTTTTTCAGTTGTGGGGTGAATGATTTGATTTAGATTCATCTAATTGTAGCTCATTGCCCATGTTTATTTTGCATGATTATGAAATTTAGTCTTTTGTTTTGACATTTTGCAATATGAATGTGGGATTCTTTCTTATTTAGAAATTTTTGTGCAGTAAGCTAAAGCGATTTGTCCTACAAGATTTTACCACTGTATCTGCATGAAAACTAATATTAACTAAAATAAAATATCTGAAATGTCTAAAATGGGATTTTATACTGAGTTTGTTTAGTTGTGAGATGAATGATTTGTTTGAGACTCATCTAATCATAGCTTGTTGTCCATGTTTAATGTTGCGTTGATTATGAATAACTTTGATCTTTTGTTTTGACTTTGTCTGATATAAATGAGGGATTCTTCATATTTAGGGAAAGAAAATTTATATGGTAAGTTAAACCGATGTTTCCTGTATGGTTTTACCACGGTTGCAGCATGAAGGTAATAATGAGTGAACTAGAATATCTAAATCTTTTGTTATCTTTAAATGCAATTTGCTACTGTTGCATGTATGTTTTAAATCCAGATTTTCCTGATGAAATACTGTTTGCTGCAAATTGTCAGGGGGAACCCAGACCAATACTACTCCAAGGTCAAATTCTACTGGGGATGCTAGGACACCAGGTGTTGGTGGTCTGGGAGGCCTTGGACTTCCTGATATGCTGCCCATGTTGAATGGAATGCCAGATGCTTCTCAGTTGACTCAGTTGTTACAAAACCCAGCTATATCACAGATGATGCAGAGCATAATGTCTAATCCCCAATATATGAATCAGGTACTTTGGAGAATCACTTCTTTCAAGAGATTGTCATTTGCTAATTTCCATTTTGTTAAGAATCTCTTTGTACTTTTAGATTCTGAATCTCAACCCCCCACTACGTGGAATGTTTGATTTGAATCCTCAATTGAGAGAGATGATGCAGAATCCAGAGGTGCTTCGTCAGATGGCTTCCCCTGAGGCAATGCAGGTATTTTTTATGCCGTATGCATCTCTGAATTCTTTCCTAATAAATGCTAAATGCTTACATGACTTTGTGGTTTTGGATCTGTGTTTCTTTTGTATAAGATCAACCTTAGCTGTTATGGTCTTATAGGCATGTTAAGGCTACCCCACTGGATAATAACAGATTATTTGATATTTTCAGGTACTATTTTGACTGTAAAGTCACCCATGTTCACCTTTCTTTTGTTTTCTTTTGTTTCTTGCAGCAAATGCTAGCTTTACAGCAATCACTTCTGTCTCATCTCAACCGACAACAATCAACCCAGTAAGTGATAGTACCTCAATTGCCTTTCGCTAATCTTGCTTTTGAGGTTGCTGGAAGCCTTGTCTAAGTGAATTAATATGTCTGCTTTATTGATTGGACATAGATTTCTTGCATACTATGCAACTGTACTAGATAATTATTTCTAAATTATTGTTTTAGATGGGGCTACCATTTGAGGGATTTAAAAAATAGAAGCAAATTCTCAATTTTTTATTTTTCATTTGGTAATTTGGCCCTAAGATGATTAGTCTTGGCATATTTTTAGCTTCATGGATATTTAATGTGCTTTACGATTAATGCCTTGATGATTATCATTGCTTTTTTTCACCATTTGGCTTTCTTACAGGGATTCAGCACAGACTGGTGCTACTACAGGTAACATAATAAAAACAAGTCCAACTTGTAGTTATGAATTTTCTCCACAAGGGGCATGAAGAATACTTCCTTGAACCATCAAGGGATCTCTCTAACATTGACCTCTCGAACTTGCCTTGTAACCTTCCTTTACCGGCTCTTCTTTGGTCGATCTTTATGTTTTACACTTCAGTTTGTTTAATTGCACTTTCAGGAGCACCTGGTACTGCTGGTCTGGAGTTGTTGATGAATATGTTTGGTGGTCTGGGTGCTGGTAGCGTGGGTGTTCCCAACCAACCTGACGGTTAGCATTCTTATATCTTTTCACATCTTTATCATGACTTTGCTTTCACTCGATTTGCTACACTTCTCGGTCACTACTAACTTCATCTTCGTTGTTTTTCCAGTTCCCCCAGAAGAACTGTATGCTACACAATTATCACAACTCCAAGAAATGGGTTTCTACGATACACAAGAAAATATCAGAGCACTACGCGCCAGTGCTGGAAATGTCCATGCTGCGGTTGAGAGACTTCTGGGAAATTCCGGGCAGTAATTCCTCGAAACTTCATGCTTTTAAATTTGACCAAGAACTCCCATGTAAGATTAGTTGATTCGGCCTGGTGCCTGAGCAAACCACAGATTGTGGGTATACATGCTGGTTCCTTCTTTGGGCTGTGTTTAATAAGTAAACACGATGATATACCCACCCGAGAACACATGTTGATATAGGCTTATGCATATTTGGATCATTCCCTCTTTCCCCAGCCCACTTGCTTATGTACATACACTTTGGATTATTGTTTTTCTAATTTTAAGAACTTCGGATGATGCTTCTGGCTTTGTGATTTTTGTTCCATGGAATCTTACTGGAAATTCTACTCATACATTGACTGTGAAGGCGTTGAAGAACACTTCAAAATCCTAGATGGAACACGAGAAGAATTTTATTACAAGTTTTTTTTTTTTTCCCAAAGATCAAAATTATTTACTTTTATTATTAAGTTTCGTTTTCATTATCAGGTTTTTTTTTTTTTTTTTAGATCTGTAAATCCTTTTTGTCTTGGTCTCCATGTTGAATCTTTTGGAATATAAGAATAAGGGACAAATTATATTTCATTTTCACTAGTATTATCTCTTTAATCTTTTTCTTTTGTTTTTTTTTTATTTTTCATTTTGTCCTTAACTTTTTTTTTTTTTTGAGAATTTTCCACAGCATGTTTTAACTTTTAACTAAAGGGAACCTTAATATTGACAAATGTTAGAAAAATAAAGCGAAAAAAATGTATTGTTGTTTGATTTTTATCTTTAATTTTCTTGTCTTTTTTTTTTTTTTTTGGGGGGGGGGGGGGGAGGGGGATTATGTAAATGCTCCAAAGGTTAGGGTATCGCGTTGTAATTTTCCCTATGAGGGAAACTAAAAAAAATAAAAAGTACAAAGTACAAAGGACTAAACGGTAAATTAAGCGACTTTGTTAGAGGCCGGGCGAAGTTCTTTGCTTTTCAAACCGATCTTTCTCTCTTTTTCTCTGTTCCTCTGCGTTTTCAATGAGCTAAGGTAAATGTGTTGTCTAACTCTGTTTTGATTCAATATTTTGGCCATATTTCTCATTTATTGCAGTTCATTTTCCTTAATTGTTGCCTTTTCTTTTTTATTTGTTAGGTAATCTTGAGCGTTTAAAATACGATTAACTTTGACAGCATTGCATAAATATTTCGATTTTTGTGAAAATTTTTGTATTTTAATTCAATGGGTATCGTTTTTTCAATGCATTTTACGAAACCCATGTCCCAAAAGTTGATTAATTTGTGTTAAATGAAGAACCCTGCATACTGGACCTTTAAATTTTTGTCAATTTGACATTTTTTTGTTGATATAATTAAAAGAGAATGAAAGAATACAGTTGTTAGTCTGCTTATGTCTTTTAATCTCTGTTTTTTGTTGATGCAATCTTCAATTCTGTGATTTATTGAGTTAAAATATTCTTTGTTCAATGTGAATGAAAATAACCTAATTGTTTTACATTTTTAATCCCAAGTTTGCTTGTTATCCCTGTAAAAAGAAAATTAAACCTAAATGTATGGAGAATGTATGTGTTACGTTGCATTCACTGTTTCATAATATAACTAGATGGTGTTTAATGAATTTCATAAAATTTTATGGAGCTTATTGGAAAGCTATAGTTTGCTTTTTTGGAATTTGGAAAAATTATTGATTTTAAACATGAGGATTCATTTGTAAATGAATTTCAGTGTATACTTTATTGTCAAATGATATGAGTTTCATTTTTAATTTGGTTCCAAATTACGGCCAGAGTAATACCTTCACTGTCTATGGTGGGTGTTAATAGTTTTAAGGTGCAGTAATTAACAATTTTCATTTTGATAATCGGACAAAACTAGTTCAAATTTGACAGGGAGGTGAGGATGGTACCTTGTTATTGTTAGCTAAACAAATTCGATTTCTACAAGGTAATATTAAGTGTAGTATTCCTTTTCTTTTGATCATAATGAGAAATAATATCTGCAATGTGGAGAGAAAACAATGTGGCTTCTATTAACATTAATTAGGGAGGATGTACTTTCGGGAACTTTAGTTAACAAAGATGAAAAGCAAAAACAGAGGCCTACTTTTGCAAGACGTAGCATGTTTTCCTTAATATTGAATTGCCTTGTTATTCGTCCATAATCACAAATTGTGTCAGGGATTCTAAACTGTACATCATTCAATTCCCTTGAGCTATGTTCTGCCTAAGGTCAAACTCCTTGCATGAAAACCCCTTAGCTTGTGAAAATCATTCATATACTTTCTTCTTTCATAATATTCTGAATGGCCATTGTGTATAATCCCAAACATGAAGAGAAGGTTGGAAAGGTACATGTTATGTGATAAACAAAATGCGATCAAGATTATAAAATTTCATTTCATGAAATTGGTACTATTCTATTTCTGTCTCTTTTACCATTTACAGTATCGTTCATAGAATTGTCTTACATATCAATTTAAAAAATGACCGTCTATTCTTGTGTGAATTTATTATTACATCATGTTTGTCATGAGAAATGGCTGACAAAATTATGAAGTTTTGTATGGTTTCATCACCTTTTGCTCTAATGGTTTTCTTGTCACAATTTTTTATGCCGTGGTCTGCTTGGTTTTGCTTTAAGGGATCTCATCCATTTTCCTGAGTGATCTATTATTAGGTACTGATTACAGCTTTGGGTTGCTTAATTTCACTTAATAGTTATTTTCAGTTGAAGCCTAAATCTAGAACAATTTATTTGGTCGTTTGGGCTCTTACTGGTCAATTATGGAAAGCAATTTGTATTAGAAGCCACAAAGCTATAATTGGTCATTCGGGTTGCGGAACTTATATCTCCAACAAGCCGTTTTTCCCTTTTTAGTTTAAGAACCATGTGATTTAGTATTCTGTTATCATGATCATGATCTTCTTATTACCTTTACCAGAATCAAACATTATCAGATGGTTCAGCAAACAATAGAATCCAAATTCAGTGAATATGGACTACGGAATCCAGAAAATAACTCACCCACTTGTGATAAGCAACCTCCAGTTGGTGCAAAGAAGACACCATTGAGGGATTTGCAGAACGAAAATATAATCGTGCCCAACACCACAGGAAGCTTCCTATTTTCTAAAGATAGAGGGCCTGTTATTAATCCTATTAAGGTTTCTGGGACTAAGAGACCATCCCCTGAATGCCCTGTGAGCCCCTCGCACTGCCAATCTCCAAGTGCTGCAAATGGGCATCTTGTCTATGTCCGTAGAAAATCTGAAGCAGAACTAGGCAAAAGCAGTGCTTCTGACAGTACCAGCTCAAGTAATTGCCAACAGCTGAGGCAAGTTGGTCAACTGGAGGAAATTAACCAACTAAAATCCCAAACAAAGGAGCCAAAAGTTTCTTGTTTTCCAGCGTTTGCACCACTCCCAATGACTTCCTTGACAAGTTCTTCTGCCAAACCTTCAGTACCTTTTCCTCTTGGGAAGTCTGCTATGAGATTAGCGCCCCCAGAATCCAATCAACTTCCAATTGTTTCTGCTGCCCCTTTGTTGGATAGTCCAAAGGGAATTAAAAAACTTCACTGGGAAGAGCGGTATTATCATTTGCAGATGGCATTGAAAAAATTGGACCAATCCGATCAAGAGGATTATAACCAGAGTATGTCCATGTGTTTGAATGAATCAGTCTTACCATATTCTACTCTTTTGATTGCAAAATTCTTATAATACTTATTTACAAGTTTATTTTTGTTATCTTGTCAGTGCTTCGATCTCTCTCTGCAGTTGAACTCAGCAGACATGCTATTGAGCTGGAGAAAAGATCAATTCAGCTGTCACTGGAGGAAGGTAATATATGTGTGTGTGTGTGTGTGTGTGTTTGTTTTATTTTATTATTTTTTTGGGGGGGGGAGGGGAGGGGTGCCTTTTTCCATTTTGGTTCAATTATTGGTATGCATGTATGTATAGATTTAAAAATATGCTTAAACAGAGTCATTTCTTTTATGATGCCAATGTATACTGTTTAGCATACCATCATTGCAGTTAATTGGTGATTTACTAGATTCAATATATCCTATTTTGTTATCATATCTTTTTAGCAACAAAGCAGTTGTAACTGCGAAGCAACTTGAGCTCCATAATCTTTGTTTAGCTGACCGTTATTTACACAGGCACTGAATTAATGGCATTCATATTATGCTTGTGTAATCCTTTAGCATCTATTATTATTTTTATAAAGCAGGGATCTGATATAACCTAATCTCTTTTTCTTTTCCCTGTTGTTACAGCAAAAGAGGTGCAGCGTGTTGGCATTTTAAATGTCTTGGGAAAAACTATGAAATTGGCCAAAGCACCCTCCAATCAACCAGATCAGTCGTACAAATGAAAGGCATCAAAGTTCATGGTAGTGAGTGTTGTAAATTGTAACCTATCCTTGGAGCCTGGGTGCACAAACATGCACACTTATTCGGTTGTTCCTTCTAGTTTTTCTGCAGTGGTCACGTGCTGGCTATCTGGTATTTACTGTAGTTTTCAACTCGGAATATCTTCTGTGTATTTTTCCTAGCAAAGGCTATGGACAGTATCAAATTCAAGCTGTACTGTCATATGGTGCTGAAATGATCCTTTAAGTTGCTGCTTCTAACCCTAGTCTTTCCTGTTCTTATCTATTTAATTTTTGGGATTAAGAATGCTGAAGATTCTATTCATGTCCTTCTGTGTATATTTCTCTAGCTTGTGCCGTCAGCTCAGAGCAAAGTCATTGAACAACTATGAAATTAGTAGAATTATCTTTGAACATGGTTTGCTTCTTTTTCTTTTTCTTTTTTTCAAAAAGAAATGAAGTAATCTGCAAGTAGTAAAATACCAATGCTACGATGTGAAGGGTCAGCAGAATGAACAGAACAAGGGTGAAAGCTAAACTAGATTAGCATCCTAAAAGGATAAGAATGTTGATCTTCAAGGAGTTGTAAATCAAATTTTCAACTCTCAGAAATGCTTCAATTGAAAGCCGTATCAACAATCTTATCAGCAATACTAATTGGATTCTTAGCTTTATCTTTAATAGCTTTGGAAGCAAGTTAGTCCTGGACTAAATATAGCATTGAACCAATGAGCCATTGAATTTTTAGCCATGATCAAAGTCAAGTGACATTCAATAGGTTTTAAATTCGAATGCTAACATTTGCAATCACTTTTTTTATTCTCATGTAATTAAAAAAATAAGATCTCATTCTTATAGTTATAGGCTGCAATAGTAGAATATGCACGTTACAGTCAATGCTGGGTAAAAGCACTGAAGCATAACCTGCGGTAATGGCTAAGGCTAAGGTAACCACCCCATGTTTCCAACATCCAACTGAAAAAAACCGCCCAATTCAAAACTTCCCTGTCCCATAATCTAGTAACTGCCAACTCTCCTACATAAGCAAGACATCCAACATTTTTACACTTTTTTTCCTCTTTCAGTTCCTCATTGTCTCTTCGCTATTTTTTTTTTTTTTTCTGAAAATGAACGTAAACATTGATTCTGATCCTGGGTTTCGATTCCCTTCTTCTCCTAGCCTACGTAACATCCCGGACTTGCCTTCCTCGTCAAGCCATGCTGTGAATTATGATCCGAATCCCCGCAAGAAACGGTCCAAATTGATAAAGATCGACACTGGTCAATTCCCAACTTGTTCTAGCACCGTTTCCAGGCCTAAATATACCAAAAAACCTGACCCTGGTGCACCAAAGATTACGCGGCCTTGTACTGAATGTGGGAAGAGGTTTTGGTCATGGAAAGCACTTTTCGGACACATGCGATGTCACCCTGAGCGACAGTGGCGTGGAATTAACCCCCCTCCTGATTATCGCCGGCCTGTTTCTCCTGTTAAGCAGACAAATAATGTCGAGGTCTTGATGACTGAGGAGGATCATGAGATAGCAGCATCCTTGTTGATGCTGGCTAAAGGTGCTGCTGCTAGTGAGAGCGAATGTGGTACAAGTTATCAACCTGGGGTTCAAGAAAATGGTGCTTTTGGGGCAAATTTGGGTGCAAATTTCCGGTTCGAATGTTCAAGTTGCAAGAAGGTTTTCGGGTCACACCAAGCACTGGGTGGCCACAGGGCTAGTCACAAGAATGTGAAGGGTTGTTTCGCAATAACAAGAAGTGACGACGGCTATGTGATTGAGGATCAAAGCGGCAATGATGATGGCTTTCTAAAAGAAAATGTGGAAGACAATAGTAAGGTGATGATGGTTTTGGGGCACAAGTGCAGCATTTGCTTGAGGGTGTTCTCTAGTGGTCAAGCCTTAGGTGGGCATAAGAGGTGCCATTGGGAGAAAGGTGATGAAACATCAATGAACCAAGGGCTCAACCTTTTGGCAGCAAGGGGAGATCCCGGTTTGGACCTGAATTTGCCTGCTCCTGTTGAAAGTGATACATCTTCTTCTTATTCTTCAGGCCTAGCTTTGGATTTGAGGTTAGGTCTCTGAAGAAAGCTTGAATTCTCATTTTCCCAGGCATGATCTTTGCTGAAGTTGTATGTATGTGACTTGTAACCTAGGATTAGAATTATTCTGTTTACCTGATATTTGACAGTGTATTTATTTTGTTCAATAACATTTTCAGTTTTATTTGGTTAATTCTTTGATTTATGAAATCGAATGAATCAGAGTAAGTATATAATAGTTTTCAATCCTCCCATCCCAACACTCCCTTTGCTTTGGTTGGTCCAATGTTCCACTATGAATAGAAATAATCCTGAGTTCAGAGCAGCTTTGTTACATTGATCCCTCTCAATGATAGAATCTTTGGAGACTTGGTCCACTCTTTTATCTTCTTTTTTTCAACCACACAGCTCGAATCTGATCATTATTTGCGGCAATTCGACTTTTAAGATTCTTGTGATCAACTTCTTGATCACCCAACTTTTCTGCATATCACCATTGTCTTAAAAGTCAACATTCTTATAGTTGTCTGAGAAGAGAGAAGAATATTGGACCACTATATATGTGCTTCCTCTTGAATCAAAAGCTTCAGTAAGTTTTTGTCTGAGCAAAAGGTTTTGAATTATTGGATATGGAGCCATAAATTCATATGCTATTCTCATGCTTAAGCAGGTAAATGAAATAAGCCAAAAAAAAGGGCTGGCACTATATACTTTATTATGCTCAAAACCTGACAGGATTTTAACATAATTCTCTTATTAGGTCTTTTATACAGTCGACCTCAAAATATGGGATATAAAATTCTGGCAGAATCATGGTTGATTTGTGTCACAGGAAACTGTTATTTATATTTGCTTTAACTGTATGTGAATCTTCAAGGTGAAATCTAAAGTTGCTGCAAATCCTTCTATTTTGTTTGTAAATTGGAAGAAGAATATCACAGAAGGAAAGATCATGCCTCAGTCAGTGTATTATATAAAAATTAAGTCATTTTTCTCTGTAGTTTGTAAAGTGGAATTTGCCCATGTCTCCACCATTATACATAAGCCAAATTGTATTCTCATTCCCTCTTTACATTATGGGCAGCCCTTTTTTGACTTTTACAAATGGTTTCCACTTTTTCGCCTATATAAAATTAATTTCAGGGCTTGGGTCAATTATTTATGAATAGAAATATATAAGTACTATATATTCTACTAGACACTAGCCCTGCCCACCTAGAAATATTTTCATTTTCTTATTTGTTATAGCCGCATGCATGATGATGATTATGATAGCATCCACTTACCCAATAGACTTTTGCCTATTCTTGGATTTAATTTATGTTATTAATAGCCTACAAAATTTTGCAATTACCATGGTGAGGAATGTCTGCAGCCTGAAGAAAGATCGGTGTTGAGGATGTATAATGGCCTTCTTTTTATATTAGAAGCCTTCAATAGAAATACAACGATAATTTTGATATTTATATCGATTTGATTTATTAGATTGATTTGATATATTTAATACTCAATTATATTTTTATTAGTTTTTAATAATTTTTTATCATTTATCTAAAAATATGAGTGTCCATACATCTTCAATTTATTCTTAATTTTTTTAATTATTTTTTTAATATTATTTTGATTTTTAATGTCAGAATACAAACATAAAAAATATTTTTTATTTTTATTTTTAATCTTCTTTCTCTTTTATCTTTTTAGAAATATTATGAGATCAGAGCTCCATACAAATAAGTAAATTCTTTAATCAAATACAAGTTATTCATCAAGCACCAACGGTTTTTTCAATCAAATCTCCATCATATGCCCATGAAATTCTAGAGTGTGTGCACGATATATAGATGTCAAAAGATATCGAAATTCAAGATAAAAAAAATTAATAACTTAAATTTATCTAACTCCATGTAAAATGAAATTAATTTGATTTTAAAATTTAATAATTTAAGTGTCTAACTCGAAAAACTTAAAATTTTTAAATAACTCATCCCAAAATAACTCCATTCAAACACTTAAATGATTCACCTGTCCATTGGATATAGGTTAATTCCTTCTCCATCTAGAATCTGTTTTAATAAATAAGATGGCTGAAGTGTAAATCTGATGATCTAATCCTTGGAATTGTTAATTTGTGCAATTTGCTTGAGTAGATGTCAATGATTCTTGTCTGATTCCATGTATCTTCCAAATGAATTTGAATCCAATATGAATCCTCCTGGTATCTTTCCTCCATCCAATCAGTGCATGTGACTGTGTTTGACAGGAACTTGTGAAGCATCCACTATGATCTAGCCTATAGCTTAAATACCAAATATCCAATGTTATAGAAGATTTGTTGTGCTCTCTTTTCCCCTCTGCCCTTTTAAGCTTCTTTTCTTTAGATTCACGAGTTTATATATTCATAGCTTGCCAGAATTCTGATGTGTTACGCACTTGAAAGGTTCATTATCTAGAAAAGTAAATTTTTTTTATTGAACAATTCAATCAACCAACAACTGTCATGACTTAGGCTCATCTGATATATATATATTTGTAATGCTTTCATAATTCTGATGGATTCCTCATCTCCAACTCAACCCCACATCAGATATACCTACCCTTATAATTCATAGGGTCATCTCCGTCATTAAAATTAAGAAAGTGTTTGATACGAAGTGATTTGTTTAAAAATTATAATGATCTGTATTCAATAATTGCATCATTTTATTTTGTAGGAATTTGAAAACCATTTGTGATAATAACCTTAAATCACTAGAATGATAAGGTCATTGCTTTGAGAATGATCTCATTCTCAACCTAAAGAATGATAAAATTTTATCATCATAATAAAGTAATTTTCAATATTATTTTGTAACTAATTTACCTCACAAAAATATAATTAATATTATCCTCAAAAAGTTGGCCATTAAAATTTTAAAAATTCAAATTTTTAATCATTTATTCTAAAAAAATTTTATGTTATAAATTTCTATTGATTAGAAAAAAGAATAATGAATTTATTTAATAATTTTTTAAAATTATTTTTATTAAAATTGATTTATTCTTTATAACTTTTATAAAATAATATTTAACTATTTTATAAATTATTGATTTAATAAATATTAAATTTTTTTAAAAGTTAGTTTAGATGTTTTATATTATATGATTTATATTTTATATAATATCAAATATAATTACTTATAATATTATATCAAATATGATAATTTAAACTTATTAATATCAAATCACTATGATGATTTAATCATTATAATAATTAAATTATTGTGATAATTTTAAAAATAATATTCAGCATTACCTTAAAAGGTAAACAAACTTCCTTTATATGTATGAGGAGAATCTCCATTAAATTTCTTAAAAAAAAAGTGTTGGAGAATATCCACTATGAAGCCCTTTTTAGTATCTGCATTGATTCTATTTGCTCCTGCAATCCAAAAACTAACTTATTTATTTACTTTTTCTGGCTAAACTACTCATTAGAAATTATAGACTTGACTTTGATTTGGCTATACGTTACGCGATCACTAACTCAAATATATTCTATTTTTTATTTTAATAATTGCATCTTCATGCTACATGTTAAGGTTTCATTTGATAGTGTTACGTGGCCTTTTAATGAAAAAAATATGTGTATATAATATAATATATATTGATATTTAAATTTAAATTTGTAAGATAATTTTTATGAGATAAAATTATAAGGTTTTAAAATAAAATGAATAATATTTCATAAGTTAAATATAGGTCTTCATAAATTGTATTAAAATAATCATTTATATTATATTATAAAAGTCACTAGATGCTATATGATAAAATCATAAGAGTTATTAAATACTATACGATAAGAGTTACTTTTAGAATCTCAACGTTTAGTGTAATTTTAGTTTTATGGTTGAATTCGGTTTAACAAAGATATCAAACTTTAAAAGTGAAGAGATTGTGATGCTTCTAATCTTACATTGAAATAATGTGTAAATATAATATGATATATATGTTGAGATCTAAATTTAAATTTGTAATATTTTTTTGTAGATAAAATTGTAACACATTTAAATCAAAACGGATAATACTTCACATGTTAAATATAAATTTTCATAAATATTATCGGAGCGTTCATCAATCAAACTAAAATGAAATGCTACATGATTGTAATCACCTTTATAATTTTAATATTTAATATGATTTTATGATTTATATATATTTTATATTTGGGTCTGTCTAACGTTTAATGTACACTTTGTATTTAAGCCTGCGCAACATTAGGGAAGAATTAAACTCAAAAAAACAAAGAGGAATTTTGCAATAAAAAAGGGCAACAGTTTCATATAGAAATATTAGATATAAAATTGCAATTGACGAAAGAAGCGAACGAGGTCAGCCTCAACAGATCCATCATTAAACAATACAACAATCAAGAATAATTTGGCTTTACAAAAGAGTTGGGTGGAAAGCACGAAAGGGTATCTGTATCTCTTAATTAATCGCCATTTTAATTGAATTTTTTGTGTATTTTAATCATAATTAATTAGAAAGCTTTACATTACACCACATCAACTGACATAAATTATGGGTGAAAAAGCACCCCAAAAAGCAAAATTTAGTGAGTTGAATTAGCATTTAGATGCTGTCGTAGGCTGGCTATTGTTTAACAATTTATTTCACTTTCGATGACCAATCGGAGTAATTAAAAATATAATAAAAAATATAACATCATTTTCATGTTACATAAAGTATTTAAATTTTAAATTTTAATATTTGTATTTTTTTATCTTAAATTGTAACTTTTTTTTATATAAAAAATTAATAGAAACCAAATATATTTGTTTATTACAAACATTGATATGTAACTCACATTTTTCTAAGGATTTTGAATTCAAAATTACTATATATATGGGTGTGTTAGTAAAATGCTATTGATTATTATTGTAGTCCATGTAAATAAACAAGTGGCTGAAAGGGCTATTGGGGCAGCAACTAGGTGGGAAAATGGTTCAAAAACAACAAATATACATCAAACCCTTGATGTTGACTTGCAGATGAAGTCATCAATGGGGGCTCCCAAATTTGTTTCAAGTATACATATTTTAGTTTAATAAACTATTTTAGTTTTTGTGGTTAAAATTTTTATTGTGTCCTGGAAAGCAACATGGGCAGGCCCTGCCTGTTTAGCTCAAGCAATCAGATTCAAGGAACCCTTATTTTCTGCTGAATTTGGAATCACAAGTCATGACTTAGGAGGATTCCACATACATAATTAAACTGCTTAATAAGACATTAATTATAATTATTAAAATATTAATCTTTGGCTAATGCATTGCTTGGATGCGGCAACTCGAGCAAAACAGGAGAAGAGAGGAGAGGTCATGGCCTCCCGATATCTTGAGAGCCACTTGCAGAGTTAAAACAACTTTTCTGCATAAAACTGAACCGACCCTTCGCAAATTGATTATCTTTAACTTCCAAAGGGTTTTGGAATTGTAGGCAAAAGCTTATAAAATCTGAAAATGTGTTAAAAACTGGATTGCTCAGAGGAAAAGCTTAATGTTTTTCTATTACTAGTTCACTTATATTGGTTTTGTCCGACTGTTTGACATATCAATTTTGTACATGATGTCACTATTCCATGTAAATTCATTCGTGCAAGACAAGTAAATTCCATGAATGATGAAGACATGCTATGTCTGGTGAATGATTAAGATTACTGTAAATGTAAAAATACAAAAACTACGCAAAAAAAAAAAGAGAGTTCAGCCAATAATAAATATAAACAAACTGCAGAAAATCTGAGCAGGCTAAAAAACAACCAACATAACCCAAATTTTTAAGAAAAAAAAAAGACAAATTCAAACGTTAGCTTCAGCTTCAAACTTTGAGAAAAGCTCTCCTCCCTTTTTCATCAACTGATGTCTGAAGAAGATCTGGAGCAAAACCCAGATATTGTTTTGTTTTTTCATCTTTATTTGTCTCAGGTTTTGTACAAATTCCTTTGCAACACTTGTCCTTTTTGGCGTCGTATAAAGGACTGAGAAATGAGAAAATCTGATTGGCTGTTGATGTGGGACCTATGTTTTTCCCGGAGAGAAGATTCTTCACGCTTGTAGCCAGGGATTATAATTTATAAAAACACCACCAAAGACTGATGGTAAATCACTGTGAAGCAAATTGCCTTGTACTTTGTTTTCTTCATGTTTTTTGGCCTTTATGTGATGGGGTTTAGGGTATTGTAAGAAGGAAAACACAGGGAGCTTTCATTCGCAGCCACATCTTTGTTAGATTTAGATTGCTTCACTAAAAGTCTAGTCTATAGTACACAGACAGAGAAACCCAAAGTACCAAACTGGGTTTTTCTCAAAGATTCTTTGTAAAGTGAGTCGCTTTCTTTTCCTTCTTTTTTTACTTCGTTGTATGTGGGGTTTTTTTTTTTTTTTTTCTACCAATACAAGTTTTAATTTGTGTTTGTTTGAGGGGGAGTTTAGAATTATTGATAGTACAAATTCAAAGGATGATGCTTGTGATTGTATGGGAAAGCTGACGTTCGAGTTGTGGGAATCATTTTCTGGAGTCAACTAGAATTTGAGTTGCTTAAAACTACAATAACTAAGGATACTGTGGTAGGTTTCTTCCTCTGAAATGCATGTCTGATAGCAGTTCAATCAAAACAAGTTTTTCTTGACGATGTTTCTGCGCCTTGGACAGATTGGGTTTTTGGATACTGGCAAAAGGAATCTTTCCTGGAAGTTCCTCTTTTTGTTTTTCATCTTTACTGTGCTTTTGTGTTTCGGGTCATGATAGTGTTTGCAATTCGGATGTAATATAGATAGGCTTTTAGTAGAACCAAAATTTTGAAGCGTTTTCGACATGGAAGGTGATGGTGGATTTACACCAAATTCTGCATTCGGGGACTTCTCTGATGTGGCCATGGATTTGGATTTTATGGATGAACTCTTGCTTGAAGGATGCTGGTTAGAGACTAGCGATGGATTCAACTTTATGCAGCCTGGTCCTTCAACATCTAGTGGTCTGAATGACCCTTCTCATTGCTTGCCTGTATCTGGGTCTAATACTGTTCCTTTTAGCATAAACTCACATCAAATGCATCAAGGAGAGACAGATACCGAAATTGAGGACCTTTCTAAAAGTCAATCCCAAAACTGGGCTACTGTTGGAAATGATTCGTCTTTGTCACAACCTGGAACTTTTATGGTTGAAGGCACTGAGTTGGGCAGTAGATGGTGGATTGGGCCTCAATCAGAATCCGGTTCTTCATCTGTGAAAAAGAGACTAATGCAGGCTATTGGATATTTGAAGGAATCTACAAAAGATAGGGATGTCCTTATCCAAATCTGGGTGCCTGTAAAAAGAGAAGGCAAACATGTTCTTACTACTGAAGGTCAGCCATACTCTCTTAATACAAATTGCAAGAGTCTTGAAAGTTTTAGAGATGTCTCCAAATCCTATAACTTCCCAGCTGAGGAGGATTCAAAGGAGTCAGTTGGGTTGCCTGGCCGTGTATTTTTGGAGAAGTTGCCTGAATGGACTCCTGATGTTCGTTTCTTCGGAAGTGATGAATATCCACGTATTAATTTTGCACACAAGTATAATGTTGGTGGATCTCTTGCTCTTCCTGTTTTTGAACGAGCGAGTGGAACTTGCTTGGGTGTTGTTGAGATTGTCACAACTACTCAAAAGATCAATTATCACCCAGAACTCGAACACGTCTGCAAAGCTCTTGAGGTCTTCTCCTTCTTCTTCTTCTTTGTTTATCATCTGAGGTTCTGATAGTTGAATCAGTAAACCGCTCAAGATCTATTAAGATTATAGTATTAACTTTTGGTGGTTGAAAGTTATGATGAAAAGGCAGCAATTGGAACAAACCTCATGGGTTCATTTTAACATTGTAATTACTAACTACAATGTATGCAGCCTGTATATTGAATTTTAGGACATGTTTTTATCTATAAAAGTTGTCTTTAAACTCATATTGCACCTGAATATGCATTTTTCTTATTTTTCTTCATTTTAATAATTATAAACTTCATTGTATGCCTCATTTAGTAATTGACTTTTCACTTTTAGAAAAGAAAAATAAATAAATAAATAAATAAACCTTTCAGAAGTGCCAATGGTCATTTATTTGTTTATAATATTACTCTTTGCTCACCCGTGAGCTATAGTAGCATCTTTTTTCTTCATATTCTGGTATAAACAAAGCATATCTGTTCGCAGGCTGTTGATCTGAGGAGCTCACATAACTTCACTCCTCCTAATGTTAAGGTAAAAGAATATTATCTTCAAACTATAGTTTTGACGGTTCGAAATTTTTATTATTCATTTCTGATACCCAAGAAGACCTCTATATTCACAGGCTTACAACGAGTTGTGTCAAGCAGCATTGCCTGAGATAACTGAGGCTCTAAGATCTGTCTGCAAGACATATAAACTGCCTTTGGCTCTGACATGGGCTCCATGCCTAAATCAAGGTAAAAGCGGATGTCGGCATTCTGACAAGAACTTTTATCATTGTGTTTCCACTGTTGATTCTGCTTGTGTTGTGGCTGATGAAGATTTTTCGGACTTCCTTGAGGCGTGCTCTGAGCACCACCTGTTCAGAGGCCAAGGAATAGTTGGCAGAGCATTCACAACAAACAAACAATGTTTTACAACAGATATAACCGTATTCAGTAAGACAAACTATCCTCTCTCTCACCATGCTAGGATGTTTGGATTGCGTGGTGCTATAGCTACCCCACTGCAAAGCATTTTTACTGGATCAGTTGAATTTGTTTTGGAATTATTCTTGCCAAAAGATTGCCATGACAGCGAAGCACAAAAGCAGATGCTCAACTCATTGTCTAGTTTTATGCAGCAGGCTTGCCAGAGTTTGCATGTAGTTGTGGACAAGGAGCTTGAGGAAGTAGTGATACTGCCAGTGAAGGAAATGGTAGCTGCTTCGGATGGGAGATCAGACAAAGAGGAAACTCAATTTAGGATTCCTTCTTCGAAGGAGAACTCTCCAGAGGAGTCACCATGGATTGCCCACATGATGGATGCCCAACAGAAAGGTAAAGGTGTTTCTGTCTCATGGGAATATCAAAGAGAAGAACCAAAAGAAGAGTTCAAGGTCACAACTCATTGGGAAGACACTCAGCTAGAATCATACAATAAGCAGGTACTTTCAGATTTTGGGCAGCTCCACCAAAATGCTGGAACTAAAGCTAGTGTTGAGGGAGATGGTGGTGGCTTCTCTTCTTCTGGTGGTTGTCACATTTTAGCCGATAAAAGAGCAGGTGAGAAGAGACGAACCAAGATGGAGAAGACAATCAGCTTGCAGGTTCTTCGACAGTACTTTGCAGGGAGTCTTAAAGATGCTGCTAAGAGTATTGGTGGTAGGAAAATATTTCATTACAGTTGGAAGCCTCACATTCTTGTTTCACTTTATGTTCAACTAAATATTGCTTAATGATCAAAGTGACTACCTCTAATTTTTCAAATAAATATATAGCTGGAGTAATTTTACTACATATAATTATCACAATTTAAGCATCAACAATCCATCTGTCCCATGTCCTATCTCTTCTCTGCAATCTATTCTTGGTGAGCAGCAGTTGCACTGCATTTCTTGAAGATAGAGATTGATTTAGCCTAGTATTTATCAATACATAGGGTGTTGCAGAAGTTCAGGCACCCAGGTTGATATTGATATACTGAAAAAATAATTTTCCAGAGAAAGTGTCTATAATGATAGCACTTTTGTTTAAGAACCCTTCTGATCAAGTTAGGGGAGGAAGTTAATATATAGAATGGTTCAAGTGATGGGAAAACAATAGCGGGTGTTGGGCCTTCTATGATGTTTTCAGCCTGGTTTCTCCCTTTACATTGTTACTGTGACATTTCTGTCACCATTCCCCATTTTGTTGTGATAGGATAAAGGCCTTTGGCATCCATGCCTTAGCAGTTTGTTCCTTTTGTGTTTACACAAGTATGAACCCAGATCACTGAGAGTCACTTACCCAGTTTGTTTATTCTATTGCAGTGTGCCCCACTACATTGAAAAGGATATGCAGGCAGCATGGGATTACTCGATGGCCTTCTCGAAAAATTAAGAAGGTAGGCCACTCTTTAAGAAAACTCCAACATGTGATTGACTCAGTTCAAGGCGCTGAGGGTACCATTCAAATTGGGTCGTTCTACTCAAGCTTCCCCGAACTGAGCTCACCGAACTTTTCTGGCAATGGCCCTTCTTCGTCATTGAAGATCAGTAACCATTCAAAGCCATCAGAAACTCAACTTGAGAGCATGTTCAGCCAAGGAGCTGCTGCACTAAAATCTCCATCTTCTTCATGCAGCCACAGCTCTGGCTCAAGTACCTGTTGTTCCACTGGAGCGAAACAGCATAGTACCACTATCAATGCCTTAGGTAGTGCAGATGGGTTGGCAGTGGAAGAACCTGGTGGAGAACTAAAGAGAGCTCTCAGTGCTGCTGAATTGAACGCCTTGAATCAAGAGGAGCCAAAGCTGCTTGCAAGATCCCGAAGCCATAAAACATTTGGTGAGCTTCCTAATTCTGAGACTACACCTTCCTTGCCAAAAACTGACGGCCCCAATTTACAAGCCAGGGGTGCCTTTAAAGTAAAAGCTATGTTTGGAGAAGTTAGGATACGGTTCAGCTTGCAACCAAGTTGGGTTTTTACGGACTTGCAACAAGAGATTGCAAAGCGTTTTAATATTGAAGATGTCAGCAGACTTAATCTCAAGTACTTGGACGATGACCATGAATGGGTTCTTTTGACATGTGATGCTGACCTTGAGGAGTGCATAGATATATACAAATCATCCCAAAGCCACACTATTAAAATCTCCCTCCATCAAACATCTCATCCAAGTCTAGGAAGTTCATTTGGTAGCAGTGCCCCATGATAACTACAGCATCAGTTTCCCATATGGAGTATGGATTGACAACATTTTGGATTCTGGTGTAAGTAATTTGATGGCTGTAGCACTAGCAGCTTGTTTAGGGATGATACAAGATTTATTTGCCATCTTAGTCAATAGAGGGAATTGAGATGCACGAATTTTAGTCCGAAAGCAGTTTGGGTGAAGGTCAATTATGCAATGAGATTGAGAAGATTGAGAATAGACAATTTGATGCTATGCTATCATATGTTTGCATTTTGGATTACTGTAACAACTGCTTCATGAAATGTATTATTATTTACAGAGAAATGGATATATATTAAAATGTTGCTGTTCTCCATTGCTGAAGCTGAATATCCCAATAACAAAAACCATCAAAGGTGATCAGTAAAAATTACAAAAAGAAATATTTTAATCACTGCTTCAGAACAAGATCATGCTCAAACTTAAATCATGAAATTATATATATGATTTTATTAGAAAATGGATTCTTTGTACTTTTTTTCTTTTTTGAGGAAGGACTATAGTTCACTGCTGTTTGTTTAGCAATTGGCACCAAATATTCCAGAGATAATGAAGCCAAAGAAGAAATGACACAAGGACAATCCCTTCATCAGCCACGCTTTGTTTCTTTTCTACGGATCGATTCCCTTGCATTTCGATGTATCTTATTTTCCACCCTTACCATCCGAAGTCATATTCAACATCTTCTCTGCAAGTTCATCAGCCTCATGCTTGTTTCCTCTTTTACACAAGTCATCAACCATCCGCATGAAAGACGCAGGATCAAGTTTATATCCTCTGATAATCAACTTGTCATGGATTTTCCCTTTTTTGCAAGGAGACCGCATAATATTATTGTATGTGCAAACATATTCCTTCTTAAGATAATATATATATATATATATATATATATGAAAGTATCAAAAATAACTGAATCAGGTTCAAAGCTTTCACCCATCATCTCTTTGAATTTCTCTTTAGCTTCATCTATCCTTCCAGCCTTGCATAGAGCACTAATTATGGTTGAATATGCAACTAATTCAGTAAGTCGATCTGCCATATTGGCTAAGGTTGACATCAACACAATTTATATTCAAATTCTTGCAGTCATTCGGTTATGACACTTCCGGCCCTGCTGCCATAGGCATGTCTCCCAGGATCCAAATTTATTGACAATGATTAAATGTTTCACAGTAACACAAAAAATTTTAACAGTTCTCAGATAAGCCAAGCAGGCATCTCAAATTTATGGCACAAGATGAATAGGTTCAGAAACAATCACTGGCTTTCGAACTCAAAACAGCAGGATAAGATGCTAACGTTACACAACATCAGCTCAGTTATTTCAGTTTCGAGAATAATGTTGGTGCGACCTACATTCCACCAAGTTGATATCAGGACAAGGTACAGAATATAACCATAACGAGGCTAAGCAAATAAAAGTACTTACACATTTATCAATACAAGACCAATAATCAAAATATTGACCAGTGCAGTGCTTGTGCCCACTTTCATCACCTTGGATTCTCTTAACACATGCCTGTAGGAAAGCAGTAACAAGTTGCAACACAATTCAAATCATAGCTGAAGATTTTCTAAACAAGAACAAGAAACAGAATTTACAAGACACAATGTCCAGTTATAAATTTAAGCATTTTGAATTGGCAAACCACTTTGAGAGTGAATATATATACATATATATATATATATATGTCAGACCTATCATTTTCACCAAGCAATGTATGTTGTTGTCAGGTTTTGCTTTAATCTTGTTTTCAGTGAAATATGGAGTTGGGTATGGCTCGGTAGAAGAAAACAACTTGCATTACAAAGACTTCACATTTATCCTCAATAACTAGTTCTGGCCTCCACCTTTCATGAGGTTATACAGGGTTTCAAAGTGGGTGGAGCATGCAATCAACCCATAGAGAACCATCAACTCTAGAGAAGGTATATTCTTCTTCCTTTAATAAAGCATTTGTCCAAATAGACATAAAATTTCAAGAAAACCAGATGAAAAAGCTAGGAAGGCAGATTTAAGAATAACTAAATAAATAAATGAGTAAATATGCCCTTTTTGTGGGATTTTCCAAAACATATATACACTTATGGAAACAGCATAACATTGCTGCAGAAACGATGTAAAGATGCAAAGTAGCAAATGAGATGATATTTGGCGAAAAAGTTTGTTGGCATCAATAGAGTTAGAAATGGAATTTAGGTGTTTGAGGGAATCCACAAAATTTTCCCCGGAATCTTGATGGTGGGTATTTTTTTCCCACATTTGGTTCAGGTAATCTGATTATGTGGGAAAATATCAGATTCTCAACAGTACCCAAAGTCCCAGAATCAGAAACTCACCTCTCTTTGTGGTATTTTAAGATTCTAGGAAGGAAAGTTGCTTTATTTCCTAATTTGATCTAAATAAAAAATTTGTCACATATCTGTTACCCTTTAAAAAAGCAAGTCTGGAACTCAATTTTAGCTTTTTTCTTTTTTTTTTTTTTAAATTGCCTTAATTTTAATTCAGTTTTAATATGCGACAATTAAGAAGAAACGCCTTTTCCTTAGAACAAAGGCCTTATTTGATGCTTTTTCCAAAATCTTTGCAAAAGCATTGAATAAGGCATCTCTTTGAACAAACGCCTTATTTAACCCATTCAAATAAAGCGTTTCCTTTTTACTAATGCCTTATTTAATGCTTTTTTCAGAATCTTTACAAAAGCATCAAATAAGGCGGGCGTTTTTTAACAAATGCCTTATTTGACCCATTCAAATAAGGTGTTTCCTTTTTACAAATGTCTTATTCGATGCTTTTTCCAGAATCTTTACAAAAGCATCAAATAAGGTGTGAGTTTCTTTGAACAAAAGCCTTATTTGATCCATTCAAATAAGGCAAATAAGGCATTGAACAAACACTCAAATAAGGTGTGAGTTTCTTTCAACAAAAGCCTTATTTGACCCATTCAGATAAGGCAAATAAGGCATTGAACAAACGCTTTATTTGATGCTTTTTCCAACATATTTACAAAGCCCATTTAAATAAGGGATTTCATTTTTACAAACACCTTATTTGATAGACAATCTTTCATAATCTTTACAAAAAAAAAATAAGGGGTTCAGCTCTTCCAAATACTATAATTGATTTTTTTTTTATATTTTAATACATCAATTACGGCTTGGTGTCTAATTAAACGCCGTAATTGAGTATATTTAATTAAAAAATAAATAAAATCTTTCTTTTCTTTTGCTGCTAAAAGCATCATTTGTCATTTGGATATTTTTTATTAAAACAAAATGAAAAGTTGCCTACAGCTTGTCAAGGAGATTATGGTAATTATACATGAATTAATAAACCAACATTCCCCCCAATCAAATGAGTGAATCTGATTACAGAATGCCCCTGAAAATCAAACAAAACCCTGAGGATCAAATTTTCCTAGGTATCACACTTTCCCCTAAAATCCAAGATTCTACGATCCAAACGCCCCCTAGGGGTAGTGATTCTTTGAAAAAATAAATAAGAGATTAAAATTGCTAAGCACTCCCCTAACAAACACACTATAACAATTAATAAAACAGGAAATAAACCACTCTAAAGAAAGAGAGAGAAAGAGCTTAAGACAACTTGAGCAGACAACAAATCAGAAATCCCCAACGAAAATTCTATTAATTAAAGTATAGGACAGCACCACTTTATACTTCTAACAGCAATTATCAAACTCGAATAATTGAAACAATGGCAAAAATGATTCAATAAACCTTGATAAAATTTCCAAAACTACTAGTTTATTACAAACCTCATATGAACGAAGTTGTTTCACACATTTAGGCTTGCAACCCTCTTCAAGATACCTCTTCTGATCAATAGGTTCCTCGTCCGCCCTAAAATATTTTTAAAAGATAAATAACTGAAATACGGGCACAGTATTGAAAGGCAGTCACAAATTGGAGGAAAAATGACACTAAAAATGTAATTAGGACACAACAACCTGTGCCCTGCCCACCACTTCTCTGAATGGTTAGATTAGAGAAAGGAATTGCTTATTTAGTTCCAATTTCATACCATATGAGATAATTTCATCAGAATAACCCAAAATATTATGATTGTTCAATCTGTTGTAGCGTCCATGTTGCCCCATACAAACAACCCCCACCCCCACAACACCATACTTGAATAAAAAACTAATATATACAAATGCACCATACAAGCTTCATGCACAGTCATAGACTAACAAAATGTTTACCTTGCCACGTGATCAGGAAAATGTATGTTAAACAAGATATATAATCAAACTCAGTCAACTTGCAAGCACATGATCATACAGATATAAGATACATGTTTAACTTGAAAAATAAATGGGAAAGAGATAAGCTTACATTGCAAACGAAGTCGACAAGTCAACAATCTAAAGCTGAAAGTCAGCAATCCAGTAAAATTTCGAGACCCTAAATAGAAAATGAAATATTGAAATTGAAAGAAGAAAAAAAAAAAAGAAGTGAAATTTCTTAAAACAAAAATAGGAAAAGATGAAATCCACTAAACCCAAAACCCTAGATTTACAGATCAAGAAAAATAATTGAAGCAAAGGTTGATGTTTGACCGACAGAAACAAAGATTACCTCCAGACAAGAACAAGAACCTCAGCTATGGCGACTGGCGAGCCCTTTTTTTGCAGAAAATACTATTACCTGTGAGCTTAAGTCGGTGTTTAAATTGCACTTAGTGCGTATTAGGCATCAGGTGCCGGGTCTGGGCCAGAGATTGGGGCCTATATAAGCTTATGGGGTTAAGAAAATAGTCTGTGAGTTTGGTTTATGGGCCCTTAGTAATGTGTACAGTTGGGCTATAAAAAAGAGGATTAGCCCACCTGCTGTGTTTTTACCACCGTTATTACCGGTGATTAATAGATTTGATAATTTAAAATATAATATAAATATAAAATTATAAATAAATACGAAATTAATATAATTTAAAATTTTAATAATAATTATGTATAGATTTAACAAAACAAAAAAAATAAATTTTATGATTTTATATCAATACAAATTATGATATATAATTTTTGTATAAAATATAATACGAATATATAATTTTAATATTTTATATTATATAAATACATAAATTGTTAGATCTATTAATTAGTATTAGTTTTGGACAATGAAAAATTCTTAATATGGCTAAAAAACTTTTAATTTTAGTTTTAGAGACCCAAAAGTATAAATTATATTATAATTATTATAAATTTTTATTTTATTTATTATCAGTGAATTTTTTAAAATTTTCAATCGAGATTAATAGAATAACATATATCTTTTAGAATATATTAAAAAAATAAAAAATTTTGTGCTAATAATATATAATAACAAACTCTTACTTTAAATTATATATTAGTTTTAAAGACACAAAATTAATATTAGTACTTAATACTTAATATTTAATAATTATTAGTACTTCATTTTTTTTTCTTCGGTTAGACTCAAAATTTTTTTCATGCACTAAACACATTTTTTTTACTTAAATAATACAAAACATTTCCTATAACAACGTGATTTCCGTAAAATGTTTTATTCTTAACTAATTGTTACTATAATTGTTTTATAACTTAATAGTATTCTATATATGTTGCATGCTCCTATAATTGATGCTCCAAAATAGTTTCATTTTTTTAATTTATTGAATATTTTATCGTTATGCAAATTTTTATAAAATTTAATAATTTTAAATATGATATAAAAATATAAAAATTTATTAAAATAATATGATTTAAAATTTTAATAAAATAATATATGAATTTGCTAAAAATAAAAATATGATACATATTTAATGTATTCAAAAAAATATAACATCATAATTTTATATTTTATCCGTATTTAATATGATATAAATATATAATTATTGTATTTAATTAATATTGCTTGATAAATCAAAACTTAATTTGTATGTTTTTTTACTTAGTTAATTAAAATACAAATGCAAATATTTAAGCGAAATAAATTCATTTTGTTGATCAAAAAATTCAATTAAATTGAAAAAAAAAAAAAAAAAACTTCGTTCTAGTCTAAGCTTAATTGTAAATTATGAAGGGAAAAAGTGAGAGTGAGAGATAAGGTTAATAGTTCAATCCGATCGACTTCTTAGAATCATTTTTTTATTAATTAAATTTTGAGTTGATTGGATAATATTAAAAAAAAATAAGTTAAATCAGATTAAAATTTTAGATAAATCGATTTGATATATAAAAAAATTATTTATTTATATATTTATATAAATTTATATTTATATTTAAAAATAATATTTTATATTTAAAAATAATATTTTATTAATTTTTAACCGTATTAAATTTAAATTTTATAAATATAAAATCAGATATAAAAATTTATCCCGACCGTTGTCACCTCCAGTAGCGGGCGAGTGAGGGAGTGGGAACCACTGCCAACCAATGTTCGAGCAGACATTGCTACACATGATCGGCATCGGGCACGACTCCGTCTAAACAGCCCAACCTAACTGTAGCTGCTCTACTGACGTGGCATATACCCGTTTAGTCTTTAGTCAAATGAATGTCCACATCATCAACTAACTAAACTATAAAGAGAATCCAGATGGATTTTGGACGGCTATATAAGGTTTTGTTTGGATTCCACAACACCTCAAATTACTTTCTTCTCAACACTGAAGAAAACTTTTTAGAATATTTTATTTTATTTTATTTCTCTCAGAGGCAAACAGGGCTTAACTGCATTTGGGTTGAATTCGATTTGCATTCAACTCTCATTTCTGCTATACATAAAAACTGCATCTAACATTCTGCTTTTATATACTTTCAGCTTCTTCGTCAAAATATTGTCATTTTTCTCTCATTTCGAAAGGCACAGAGAAGCTTAGCGTTTTTGCTTAAACGAGGTAAGGGTTTTATCTGTTTCTTGTTTGCTTTTGATCTATAACTTTGTTATCTTTGTTCATTTATGTCTAAGTATTTCTAGGTATCCAATCATATCCCTTGTTTTTTTTTGGCTCTTTCTGATGGACTATTGGGTGTCATGTTGTCAACTTTATTTGTGTTTTGTGATTTAGATCTGTCTAAAGTTTTGGTTTAATGAATATGTTGTTCTGATGTCTGCTAGGCTTTCTTATTACAGTTGTATGCTTGCAAAGTTTGAAATTTACTCTGGTTTCTTCATGTCTCAAGTTGATATCCATTTCCAATTCACCTAGATCTTGATGAGTTTTTGGTGTTTGCTTGAGAACACCAGATTCTGTAGAATTTGCTATTTGCTCATAAGTAGATATGTGTTTAATTCTTGTGTAGTTTCAGCTTTATGCTTTCTTTAATGATTCATATTATCAGAAATTGAGTTCTTGTTTGATGGCTGGTTCAAATTTTATTAGAGCTTTTTGCTTTTAGGAATTTACCTGCCATGAAGAGTAAAAATTGTGAACAATTGAAATGATACAGAATATGAATTGCATTTGACTAGTGCCTTTTGCAGATGACATACAGGCTCCCTGTTACGGACTAAGCTTTCTCTCAACAAGCACTAGCCCGCGAGGCACTTGAATGGACGCTTCCACCCAAGTCAGCCCTCAATAGATCGAGATCTGAACAAATAACCATAAACCATGGTTAGTCTCAAGCATTCACAATAAGGCACAATATATCAATATCAATCTCATCCATACACACAACAAGGCACATTCACATCGAGAAAGAAAAGAAACACATCGAGGCAACAATCGGGCATTCAATCGAGGCGAATTTCATTAAAATCGGGAATCATACATCGGGACCTCCCACCATCACCAGGGCCAGGGGGGCAGCCCATGGTGGGTGGCCTAAGCTCGCATAGCACCCGGTGAGACAGCCCAACAATACCCTGCCGGCTCACCCCCCCCTAAAGAGCCTTAGAGATTTTAGAGCTATGCTACCAGTAACCGTTACAATGTTTGAAATGGGGACACTTTTCCTAACACAAGGGGTCTACCCGGCCATGGCCCTATACATGGGTGGCTCATGGCAACCTAAGTCCCGGTCATGGCCTTATACAAGGTTGGCTCATGACATCCTCCCCCACCTATTCTAACGACGTCCTCGTCGACTTGCTGGCTTGAAATTCTTCGATCTTCCTTTGAAATCTCTGGAGGTCGTGCTCTCTCTCCCAGCTGGTTTCTTCTAGGCCTAGTCCCTCCCACTTTACTAAGTACTCCCGAACTAGTCTTCGAGATATCTTGGTTTCCCTGTCAGCTAAGATCTCTTGGACTCGACGCTCTGAGGGTGGTTTCATGGTGATGGCGGCTCTGGTTGGCTCTCTTCGACCAGCATTTGTAGGATCTGCATGGAATGGCTTCAAGTTGCTCACATGAAATACTGGGTGCACCTTCATCCACTTTGGAGGGTCGATTTTGTAGGAAGCATTCCCCACCTTGGAAAGGACCCAGACCTTCGTACTTGCGCACCAATCTACGATCTCTCTTTCTCAAGAACCTGGTTTGTTCAGGGACTAATCGAACAAGAACCAAATCCCCAACTTGAAATTGTTGAGCTCTACGACCCTTGTCTGCCCATTTCTTCATCCGTTTTGACGCTTTCTCTAAGTAGGCTTGTGCGATCTCCATGTTTTGTTTCCACTCCTTGCTGAGGTTAAATGCTCTAGGATTCTTTCCTCCATATTATTCCAAGGAAGTGTGGGGTAGCCTTGGTAATTGTCCGGTGATCACCTCAAATGGGCTCTTGTTGGTGGAAGAGCTTTTGTTGGAGTTAAAACAGAGTTGAGCAACGTCCAATAATGAGGGCCAGTTCTTTTGGTTGGCATGGACAAAATGCCTCAAGTATTCCTCTAACAATCCATTGAACCGCTCTGTTTGGCCATCAGTTTGAGGGTGATAGCTCGAGGAGATGTTGAGTTGGGACCCCAAAATCTTGAAAAGTTCTCTCCAAAAGGACCCGTGAATCTAGGATCTCTATCACTGACAATGTTTTGGGGGAGGCCCCAATACTTGACCACATGTTTGAACAATAGTCGAGCTGTGTCCTCCGCTGTACAGTACTTGGGAGCAGGAATGAATGTGGCATACTTAGAGAACCGATCAATCACCACCAAGATAGCTCCAAGATCGCCAACCTTGGGTAGGCTCGAGATGAAATCGAGGGAGATGCTTTCCCACGGTTTGGTAGGTACCGATAAAGGTTCAAGCATACCTGCAGGTTTCCTCTTCTCGACTTTGTCTTGTTGGCAAATGAGGCAAGTCTTCGTATATTCCATCACATCTTGTCGCATTTGAGGCCAATAATATCCTTGTTTCAATAACGCCAACGTTGCGCTGCCAGCCCGGATTGTCCGGCCCATGGGTGTCATGATACTCCCTCATCAGCATCTGTCTCAGACCTCCTGCTCTTGCACAAAGACTCGAGGTCTCTTGGTCCACAGACCCCATTTCTTTCCAGAAATGTTTGGACTTCCCTTCTTCCACTAGCTTCAAAATGGCACAGGCTTGCGGGTCTTTCCCTAAATGATCTCCAATCAACTTATGGATGTCTGTAGTGGCTCTGCTAGCCACCATTGGGGCCATTCTTCTGAGGGCCGCTAACTCTGGCCGCCTGCTCAAGGCATCCGCCACTTGATTAGTCTTCCCCGCGGTATGCTCAAATAAAAGTCGAACTCAGCTAAAAATTCCTGCCACCTAGCTTGTTTCGCCGTGAGTCTTGGTTGGGTGAGGAAGTGGCTAACGGCTGTGTTGTCTGTCTTCACGACAAAGTGCGCACCCAACAAGTAATGCCACCAAGTCCTCAAGCAATGAACCACCGCAAGGAGCTCTTTCTCCTGGGCTGTGTATTTCCTTTCAGCTTCACTCAGCTTCCTACTTTCGAATGCTACCGGGTGATGTTGTTGTAAAAGCACACCTCCAATAGCAAAGTTTGATGCATCCGTCTGGACTTCAAAAGGCTTTCCAATATCGGGGAGAGCTAAGATGGGATCCTTCATAATAGCATCCTTCAATCCCTCAAAGGCCTCCTGGCACTCGTTCGTCCAACACCATTTATGTTCCTTCTTCAGTAGCTCCGTGAGGGCCATGGTCTTACGAGAGTACCCTTCCACAAACCTTCTATAATAGTTGGCTAGTCCCAAAAAGGAGCGGAGCTCACTAACATTTTTCGGTATCGTCCACTCTTTGATGGCCCTAACTTTTTCCATGTCCATTCGAATGTGGCCACGTTCGACAATGTGACCGAGAAAATGGATTTGGGTCTGAGCGAATGCACACTTCTCCCTTTTTACATATAACTGGTGGTCCTGTAACCTTTGAAATACCTGGCGCAGGTGTTCTTGATGTTCTTCCAACGTGGAGCTATATAACCACTATATCATCTAAATAAATGACTACAAACTTGTCTAGGTGGTCATGAAACACCTGATTCATTCAATGTACAAAATGTGGCAGGAGCATTGGTTAGTCCAAAAGGCATAACAAGGAATTCAAATGCACCATACCGTGTTACACAGGTGGTCTTCGGCTCATCTCCCTCGAGGATTCTGACCTGATGGTATCCCGATCTCAGGTCCAGTTTGGAGAAGTACTTGGCCCCGCTCAATTGATCAAACAAGTCTGCTATGAGCGGGATAGGATATTTGTTTCTTACGGTGACTTTGTTCAAAGCCCTGTAGTCGACACATAAGCGCAAGCTCCCATCATGCTTTTTCTGGAATAGCCACTGGCGGCTCCGAAAGGAGCCTTTGATGGTCGGATGAACCCGGCTTGTAGAAGCTCATCCAACTGTTTTCTCAGCTCGGCCAACTCTGGCGGGGCCATGCGATAGGGGGCTCTAGCAGGGGGTTTTGCCCCTGGAAGTAGCTCAATTTCGTGGTCCACTGCTCGTCGAGGGGGTAGAACCTTGGGCAACATCTCTGGCATCACTTCTCTGAATTCTTCTAACACTTTCTTCACGCCATTGGGTATTGGTTCTACTTTCGACCCTTCTTTGTAGATCGGTATGGCCACAAAAGAGGGTTCCCCTCTCTTTACCCCTTTCTTGAATTGCAAAGCCGAAATCATTTTCTTCCCACTCTTTGGCAAGATATTGGCTGGCACCACACATGGGTGTTCTCCTAAGAACAACAAGCAGCTAGCAGCGGGGATAGGGATCACCTGAGCCAACGTCATGAAGTCCAATCCTAGAACGACATCAAAGTCATCCATGGGGGAGACTGTGAAGTCTACCTTCCCTTCCCATGGCCCCAATTGGGTTGTCACACTTTTCGAGCTTCCACTGATTGCAAAGGCTGGCGAATTGACCGCCTTCATTCGCCCACAGTCTTTACTAATCTGAAGACCACACCTTTTTGCTTCTTCTGGTGTGATGAAAGTGTCGGTTGCACCTGTATCCACCATGGCCTTGGTGGCTTTCCCATTGATCGTCAAGTTCACGTACATCAAGCCTCTGCTTTGCTCTTTCTTTATAGTGTTCAATTGGGTGTGAAGGGCACTGAGGAACCTTATTGAGCCCATCCTGGCTGGCTCCTCTTCAGCTTCTTCAACGCTCTCGGGCACTTTTGCAGACTCTTGGGACGAGGTCCTTAAGGCATTAAGGGCTCCTCGGTGCGGGCACTCAGCCACTCGATGCGGCCCCTTGCAAAGAAAGCAAGCAAGCGGTTGCCTAGGCTTGAAGATCCCTGCGTTGTTTGTCCTAGGCTGGGTGCTATCTCGCCCAAAGGACCTCCTGTCTGATCCCCAACTGAAGGGTCGGTCCAACCTAGTTATCTTTCCCCCACTCCCAAGATTAGAGCTACTGCCCGTTGGTGGAGGGTTCTTCCGTTTTAACGAACCATCATTAAAATCATGAAGACGTTCCGCTGCAGCCATGGCCGCCGTCACATCTTGCACTCTTTGCCTCTGTAGCTCTGTCCTCGCCCACGGCTTGAGGCCCTCAATAAAATGGAATAACTTGTCCTTTTCGGACATGTCCCTAATATCCAGCATCAGGGTAGAAAAGTTCCTCACGAACTCTCGCACCGTTCTGGTTTGCACCAACTCTCGAAGTCTCCTTCGAGCCATATAATCCACATTCTCCGAAAAAAACTGGTTTTTCAGTTCACGCTTCAGATCCGTCCAGGTCTTAATCGGGCACTCGTCATCGACAAACTTAGAGCGCCACCACAACTTGGCATCCCCTACGAGATACATCGATGCCATTGTCACCTTGTCTTCCTCTGAACTTGTGTGTACAGCTCGGAAGTATTGTTCCATGTCGAACAGGAAATTCTCAAGTTCCTCAGCATCCCTTGCCCCCTCATAGCACCGAGGCTCCGGTACTTTGGGCCTTTGTCCCCTGTCCGTCGAGCTTGAACCCGAACTGGCCACTGCCATTTGTAGGATGCTCATCTGGGCCCTGAGCTCCTCAAACTCCTTGTGGAGAATGTTCAAGGCATCTCTAGCCTCTTCGCTCACATTGTGGAGAGTATCGGACAACTCCCGCTGGGTTGTCTCGATCTCCCTCACTCGGTCTTTTGTTACCATATGAGTTTTCATTGCGGCCACCGCGGCCTCAAGTTCCTCAATTCTCTGCCGATGATCCGGTCCACCACTTGTGGCCATCTCATCCATTTCTCTAGCACTTCTCAACCGTGCTCTGATACCACGTGTCACGGACTAAGCTTTCTCTCAACAAGCACTAGCCCGCGAGGCACTTGAATGGACGTTTCCACCCAAGTCAGCCCTCAATAGATCGAGATCTGAACAAATAACCATAAACCATGGTTAGTCTCAAGCATTCACAATAAGGCACAATATATTCAAATATCAATCTTCATCCACTACACCACAACAAGCACATTCACATCGAGAAACGAAAAGAACACATCGAGGCAACAATCGGGACATTTCAATCGAGGCGAATTTCATAAAATCGGGAATCATACATCGGACCTCCCACCATCACCAGGGCCAGGGCGGGCGCAGCCATGTGGGTGGCCTAAGCTCGCATAGCACCCGGTGAGGACAGCCCAACAATACCCTGCCGGCTCACCCCCCCCTAAAAGCCTTAGAGCATTTATAGAGCTATGCTACCAGGTAACCGTTACAATGTTTGAAATGGGGACACTGTTCCTAACACAAGGCGTCTACCCGGCCATCGCCCTATACATGGGTGGCTCATGGCAACCTAAGTCCCGGTCATGGCCTTATACAAGGTTGGCTCATGACACTCCCCCTGTTTTTGCTTCCTTTCTCCTGGAACAAAGTTATAACATGGAAGGAGTTAAAATACTCTAGTTAATGATTCATATTTGGTTTGATACAGTTAACAATGCAACCAACTTTTTATTGAGTTTGGCTTAATAATTGTCAAATCAGAAAAAAAAATTTTTTTTACCTCAATTTTTTGGTTTCTTGGAAAAAATTTTCATCAACTATAATCCCTTCTCCTTGTTCAGGCTTATAAGAGATGGCGGATGAGGATATTCAACCTCTTGTCTGTGACAATGGAACTGGAATGGTCAAGGTTAGTAAATTAACTTTCTGATGTTGATAGGTTTAATTTCATTTTTGTGGTATGAAATCTATATACATTGAATCCCAAGTCTTTTACAAGACAATTTAACAATGATTCTATATTCGGTCATGTATTGGATTGATTTTGCATTTTGATGCTATAGAATTTTAGATGGCTTGCGTTTTATTTAGTTATTTGTTCTAAAGACACAAATGCTGATGCCTGCTTTGTCCTCGTATATGCAGGCTGGTTTTGCTGGTGATGATGCCCCTAGGGCAGTGTTCCCTAGTATTGTTGGTCGCCCACGCCACACAGGTGTCATGGTTGGAATGGATCAAAAGGATGCTTATGTAGGTGATGAAGCCCTGGCAAAGAGGGGTATCCTTACCTTAAAATACCCCATCGAACATGGCATTGTCAGCAATTGGGATGACATGGAGAAGATTTGTCACCATACTTTCTACAATGAGCTTCGTGTTGCCCCTGAAGAACACCCAGTACTTCTTACAGAAGCACCGCTCAACCCTAAGGCTAACAGGGAGAAGATGACCCAGATTATGTTTGAAACATTTAATGTGCCTGCTATGTATGTTGCTATTCAGGCAGTTCTTTCACTTTATGCCAGTGGTCGTACAACAGGTATCTATTTATAGATTCGATAACTGGTTTTGGTTGTATTCTACAGGTCATTGATTCTGAAATAACTTTAGCTTTACGGTCACTTGGCATTGCTATTGATGCTATTTTGTTACTTAATATTGCAAACTGGAAATTGGCATGAAGATTGTGTTTTGTATGTTTTCCTTTCATCTATTATTAACTCTATTCTCATATATTTGAATAGGTATTGTATTGGATTCTGGTGATGGTGTGAGCCACACGGTGCCAATTTATGAAGGCTATGCCCTCCCCCATGCTATTCTCCGGTTAGACCTTGCTGGTGGTGATCTTACAGATTCCTTGATGACGATCTTAACAGAGAGAGGGTATTCTTTCACAACGACGGCAGAACGAGAAATTGTTTGTGCAGAACGAGAAATTGTTTGTGACATGAAAGAAAAACTTGCTTATGTTGCTTTTGATTATGAGCAAGAATTGGAGACTGCCAAGAGTAGCTCTGCTATTGAAAAGAGTTATGAATTGCCTGATGGGCAAGTGATCACCATTGGAGCAGAGAGGTTCTGTTGCCCTGAAGTACTCTTCCAGCCATCTCTGATTGGAATGGAAGCTGCTGGAATCCATGAAACTACGTACAACTCTATCATGAAGTGTGATGTTGATATCAGGAAGGATCTGTACGGAAACATTGTGCTTAGCGGTGGATCAACCATGTTCCCTGGTATTGCTGATAGGATGAGCAAAGAAATCACCGCACTTGCCCCTAGCAGCATGAAGATCAAGGTGGTTGCACCTCCCCACAGAAAATACAGTGTCTGGATCGGAGGATCCATTTTAGCATCTCTCAGCACCTTCCAGCAGGTAACTTTTGTGCTTGGACTTCTAGTTTTCCAAGTATAGACAGCTCTTGTGAACAGGTGTACTGGGGTTGAAAGTAATTGACTTCCATTGCTTATATTCTATTTTTCTATGCTACAGATGTGGATTTCCAAGGGTGAGTATGATGAATCAGGTCCTGCTATTGTTCACCGGAAGTGCTTCTGATTTGGATGATTTCAAGTCTGCATTATTCAGTTATGTGTCTATGTGAGTTCAGTTTGGTTTGACCTCTGAAGCAAGCTTTGGTTTATCAGTGGAGGAAAGACGCTGCTATAGATATAGTTGATGCTTTGAGTGCTCTCTCATTACATTTCAGCTTTTAGATGGCAAAATTACCATTGGCATTGAGTAGCTTGTATGGAACTTGATAGTTGCTTTGGTCTATTAGTTTTCTGTTAGGCCAAGAATTCTTTTTGGTGCTTTCTTGTTGGATCATTTACCCCAAAATGAAAATTTTTTTTCTCTAATTTTCGTTTTGGATTGGTGACAAATTATAAGAACTAGAAATAATTTGCTAGTGCAAGGGTAAATTTCTTTTATTTGAATGATTTTTATTTTATTTTATTTTAAGAATAATACTCAAATGAATCCTCAAATTTTATTAAAAATTTGAAAACACAATTTTCCATTTTTCATTATACAAAATTTTATAGAAGGATCAAAATAGAATTATTTTTTAAAAAAATTAGAGATTCAAATGAACCAATTCAAAAATTAAGAATTAAAGTGAAATTAAAACCAAAATAATAATAATAATAAAGATCATGAATGAAATTTACCTAATCCATTAATTCATAACAAAAACATTACATGGATACAACTTTACACATATAAATGTAGATACACTTAGAGATTTCCGTAGGCAAATTAAAAAGTTGTCAAACTACATATACCACACAAGTATGTACTATTTTCTTGCTTGATCTTCACCAACCTCCATTAATTTGAGACATGATCCAAGTAGTAAACTAGCTTGACCAGTGGTAAGCAAATTCCCAGAATCCGGTTTGTCCATTCAACCCATACATGCCTTCACCAGCAACCAACCAAGAACATTGGGTGTCACATCGGGCAAAGTCCCTGTCAAAGGAATATGCATCAAAATGGAATTGTGGCACATCATCCCAACCCATGTCACAGTAAAACAACGTACTTCCCCAAACATTGACAGAGAAATCCCATCCAAATTCGCTCCCATCGCCAACGTTTTGCTCCCCGAGGTCATCATCTTTTGATTGGCAATGTAAGGTTATGTTTTTCCCATTGCCTAATCTGTTCTTGATGCTTGCATGCACATCATCTGAATGAACTGAAGTGCAAAAACTTAATATCAGAACAATCACCAGAGCATTACCAAATATCAGAGCTGAAGCATGCATTTTAAGTATATGGTAGTAATTGATGACAGATGCTCTATTAGTGTTCATATATATTTAATGCTTAATGTAATCTGATAGCTAAGTAATAAATTTTGTCATTGGGATTGCCGAGCTTTCCTTTTCCCATGCAAACTGTTATATCAGCCCCATCGTAGAGTTTAGAATAGCAAATGACAGAAACGGACTTTTCTATGATAAAAATATTGTTAAATCTTGTAAAGCCTGCTTACTGGTTGAAGCCTCCAATGCCTTATTGATTTTTTTTTTTTTTTTACAGAAGAGATTGCAGTTTAGAAATAAAATAAAAGATTGTATATTTTCAAATTTGAATCTTAAACTTGTTGAGATCCATTTGATTGTATATTTATTTTCTACATATGATCGTGGGCAGCCTGACAACTTCCCCCATGGGGCTGATTTATTAGTTTCAAGGCTATAAATAACATATAAAAATGGGATAGTACAAAATTGCTAAAAGCTGAAGTATATTTGATAAACAAGAGTTAATTACTTCTTAATCCTAGCTAGTTGATGTTCAAAGAACCAAAGTTGATTCCATTAAAAAAAAAAAAAAACCCAATGTTGAAAACTGAATTCTTGTGTGACCTATACAACCAAATAATGTATAGCAATCTGTGCAACTCACCGATGCTTTCTAATTGAAAGCTTCAATTTTGATGTTTGGTAAAAACCAGTTCATAAAACACAGAATGCTTGGGAATGAACGTTTGATGCTTCCATCGTCAATTGGTAGTCTAGAAAACAGTGGCTTCAGGAGAAACTTGTAGATATTGATATTCATCTTGCTATACTCGTTGTCTACTACGAAGTAAATGCAATTCTTATCAAATCCATTGAAATTTCCTGCAACCGAAACCCATTCAACAAGTAATGATTGGTTTCCGAGACTGCTTAACCTAGCTATACACATCTTATCAGTTGTTTGAATCTTCAATACTTCAAATCTTCACGTCTTTAAAAGTGAAAATAAAATGAAATGAAGAAATCTTATTATCAAGCTGTTTGTTCAAGAATTAGAAACGATGGTGTCCTTATTTGATAATTATGCTATAATTTAGTTTATTTTCATTGAAAAGATAATGATACAAGTGACATATGCTATTTTCATATACCTAAACTGTGTTTCAGTTCCCTATTTTAAGATTTAAGGAACAAATAAAAGTTAGATTATGGCTGATTAATTGCCAGCCAACTGCCTCCCTTAAATCTTTCTTCACCATTGAAACAATATGGCCAAAACAATCCAGACCCTATTTAAGTCCAATGATTCTCATCACACACAAAAAAAAAAAAAAACTCCATTTCCTTTGTTTTCTTCTTTTCAACCTTTCTCTAATATTAATATAAACAGAAAGAGAGAAAGGTGATCTCCTTCTTGGATTTAATTTTAGATATTGATCAAACCATGGGTGCTTGCGCTAGTCTGCCAAAGGGAATGAGGGACGAAGCCTCGGCTGCCCCACCTCCTGAACCACCAGTCGAGGAGGAGTCCGTTCAGGCTGATCAGCACAACACTGAGGAGGTGATCAAGGTTGAAAAAGAGGAAAACGAGGCTAATGAAGTTGATGATCAAGTATTAATTCTATCTTTTTGTTTATGTTACTGTATATATATTATCATAGTTCCACTAATTGCCTACTTTGCCTATTCTTTTTAATGCATTGACAGCCTGAAAAAACTGAGGGAAACAAGGAATCAAATGAGGCCCAGCAGCCCCAAGCAGAAGCTCCAGCAGAACCAAAGAAAGAAGAACCCAAAAAAGAAGAACCGAAGAAAGAAGAACAAAAGGAAGAACCCAAAGAAGAACCAAAACCAGACCAGGCACCAGCTGTCCCGAAGGAGTCCAAGGAAGAGAAGGAAAAGAAGACAGAAACAAAGTAAACTCAATAACAAAGTCATCAACATGTAATAGTGAGAATTATTTCATATCACCAAATATGGGACGAGAAAGCTTTCTAATCTTAATTTATTCTATTTGGGAATGAGATCTAATTAACACCAACAAACTAACCTTTATATCCCATAATTCTAGAATCAGTCGTATGAAAGATTAAAAAATGAATCATGTGAATGAGGTCTAATTGTGAGTTTTTATTTGTAAAATTATACTTTCCTTTTTGTTTTTGGAAATCATTCATTGTTTTTATTGTTTGCAAATTGCAAGGATTCCTGGTTTAAAAAATATTGAACATATATATGTAATTCAACCAGGCCTCCATCTTTCTTTAATTTGTTTGTTTTCTCAGAAAATTAATGTGGACGAAAGAGCCATAAAACATATATAATTAGTCAGACTGCAGACTGAAACAACCAAAAATTAAGAATATATAGAAATGTGGGTTCCATTTGATAAATGTTTTTATGTAGGTTTCAATACCAAACGCGCTCGAACAGGACATTAATACTTTAACAAGAATGTACATTTGCAGTGACATTTACAAATTCGTGAATCATAAATGTCGGGAAAAAAAAGAGAAAAAAATCACATAATTGCATTTTTTTTTCTCGAAATAAGTTCAAATTTTGAAGCTTCCATCTAAGGCAAATGAAGTTGTTATTGCCCTTTAAAGTGATACCTACAAAATAACCAATTAAAATGATTTTTTTTTTCCATATTGCAATTTCGTATATCTATTGACAATTGAGAGAGAAGTCTGGCGAGAAAGAGTGAAAATCATATTTAAAGAAGAACCAAAACCAGACCAGCAACAGCTGTCCCAAAGGAAATCAAGGAAGAGAATGAAAAGAAGACAATAACAAGTCATCAACATGTAACAGTGAGAATCATTTCATATCACCAAATATAGGACCAGAAAGCTTTAACAAGAATGTACATGTGCTAGCTGTAACATTTATGTATTCGTGAATCATAAACATGTCAGGGAAAAAAAAGAGAAAAAAATCACATAATTGCTTTGTTTTCTCTATTTTAGTTCAAATTGTGAAGCTTCCATCTAAGGCAAAGCCCATTTAATGTGGTAGCTCCAAAGTAACCAATTAAAATGATTTTTTTTTCCTTATTGCAATTTTGTATGTCTATTAAGATCAGTCCTGTAAAGAATGAAAATCATTTTTTAAGGTTATTCCTTCCCCATTATTCAAACCTCAAAGGTAATACAATACAAATTAATAAAATGGAAAAAAAAAAAAGTGCAACAGAAATTTATCAGCTAGAAAAGCCATTTTGTTTTGAGCATAAGGGTAGTTCATTTTATAAGGTTGTTGTCTGAATTCTTTTGACATGAGGGCATCAATCTTTCTTTTTTCATCAGATTTTTTTCCCATTTTTGTGCCAGAAAGCAGGAAACAGTGAATTCATTTAAGGAAAAACAGCTACAAGTCAACCAGTGTCAATTCAACAAAATCAATAATCCTGTCTTGCCTCATAATTTGGCCATAATTTGGCAAATATACAGATAGTATATTATGATTAGAATGGCCACCCCACTTTGCATAAGGTAACTTTTTAAAAAAAATTATAAAAACAAATAAAAAAAAAACAACAATATGTTCTAACATTTTAAATGGTTAGGACTAAGTATTTTTCTTGGATCATAATTTGGCAAATAGTAAAACAAATAGTACCTAACACAATACTATCAATTATCATTAGAGTGGTGCCTTTCTTTGCATACATATATAAAATCATATATCTTTCTAAAATTATAAAAATAAATAAATAAAAATAGTAATTTTTTTTTTTAAATATCACTTGTCAGCACAAGTGTGTATGATGAATTTAAAATGTATGTAATGTAATGTATGCATGTATGGTATTGATGATTTCCCTATATAAAATAGAAAAATATTGGATTTGGAAGTGATAAATTTGCAAAGGGAACCATTTTTGTTTGGACAAAACTTATATGAAGTTATTTAGGTAATGTTTGTAAAGTTTTTTTTTTTTTAAATGATTTAATAAAAATTTAAATAGATAAATTGATAGAATTCAATGGGAAAATCAATAATATAAAAAAAATATTAAAAATATTATTTATAATTCAAATTTGATCAATACTTATTTAACGATAAAAATTTTATCAATATTTTTTTAAAAAAAAAATCTATTTAATAAATATATCAAAATTTATTAAATTTTTTCAAATTTTATACGCCTAATCTATGTTATGAAATCTTTTGAAATTTGATTTTTAATTTTAATTTTTATTTAGTTATTTCTAATAAGAAACTCTACGAATTTCATTTATAAAATTTTATGTAAATATTTTCCTCATAATTATTGGAACAGAATTAAACATTAAATTGTTCAAAATTTCGGATTATCAAGTTAATTGTTCAATCACTAGATTAATTAGGTCAATTATCGATTCAATAAAAAAAATACTATAAAAAATATAAATATTTTAAAAATTCAAAATTTAAATTTTTAACTCAAGTTATAGTTTAATAATTCAACCATAAAATTATAAATTTTAAAGTATGTCATAGACTATAGATTTTAAAATATAAATTTCATAAAACAATTAATTACTACTTAGAACTGAAATTACTTAACATTTTATTAAAATCATATTTTATATTTTAATAATTAGAAATAATATATATGTTAATAAATATAATAAATAATAAATAATAAATAATTACAAATAATTATTATTTATAGTTATTAAAATATAATTATTATTTATAGTTATTAAAATATAAATATTATTTATTAATATATATAATAATTAATCTTTATGTAACAAAAAATAAATATCTATATATAAAATTAAAAAAAGGAAATATTTATATTTATATGAAAATTAGTAAAAAGAAAATTAAAATCATTTATATATTTTTTATATAAATGTAGATTTTTTATTAATTTTACATATATATATTTTTTATTAATTATTTTCAATCATGGTGAAATAATTAATCACTTTATTAATATTACATTTTTTATTAATTTTATAATTATTTTTAATTATGGTATCAATTTATAAAATTTTTTATTAGATCATTTTTTTAAAATTATTTATTTTTACACATATATAAAATTTTTTTGTAATGTCATTATCTACATATCTCCAAATATACCAACATATCATTAATATAAAGATATAAAAATTTGATAGTAGAAAATGAAAGTTGAAGAGTTTATTTAGATGAAATAATAGTACAAGAGTTTAATTAGATTATTTTGAATATTTAAAATATTTTTTATATTTTATCTAAATTTATTAATTAATATTGAATTAATCTGATTAAAAAAATTTACATAATTTATTGATTTGTTATATAAACAGTCGACTCATAACAATTTGAAGCGATTTAATTACAAAACCGCACCAACGGTCCGGTTCGATATTCATCACTATGATTTTCATTTTGTGTTTATATGCATGAACTTAACACTTCCTTCTCTCCTGGGAGGTTGCGTGACTATGCTTTAGTACACCCAAGACGCGTTCACTATTTAGATACTTCGGATTGTTCTCTTTCAAACAACAAACAACAACCAAAAAAAAAAAAAAACCATTGGAGCATTAAGAGAAGCAAGAATAAATCAAGAAGGTAAAAGGGTCTTGATCTTCTTGCTTCTCTTTCTTTGCCTCTTCACTTCTTGTGTAGTTTAAAGGGTCGTCGTTGCGTGCCTTGGGTGCCATTGTTTTTTTGATAAATGGGGCGGGTTGGGAACCTTATTCATGGGTTAAAGCCTCCATTGTTAATGGTGCTGGTTCAGGTTATATTTGCTGGGGTAAATGTGATGTATAAATTGGCAGCAAATGATGGGATGAACTTGAGGATCATCATCGCCTATCGATTCATGTTTGCCACCGCCATTATGGTCCCTCTTGCTCTTATTCTTGAAAGGTCGATCCATCGATTTTATCTTTCTAGTTCTTTTATTACTCGTTTTCATCAATTCTAGTTTATACTTGATGATTTTTTATTGCATATTTGATCGCCTAATCCGGAATTTAATGTATTAAATCTTGAATTTTTTTTATAGGACGAGCTTGGGAAAAATCAATCGCATGGTACTATTTCAAGCCTTTCTTTGTGGGTTGTTTGGGTGAGTTAATTCCATGAATATACACAAAAGTACATATGATCTGAAGAAATATATTATAATTAATTGAAAAGGCTATTTCTAACAACATAAGTCAAACTGAGCAGTGGATCACTTGGTCAAAACTTGTACGTGCAAAGCTTGGTGTTTACATCTGCAACATTTGCTGCTGCCATGGTCAACTTGGTTCCAGCAGTTACTTATATTTTGGCCATTTGTTTTAAGTACGTATCGTACTCTTTAGTGACTATGAATTAAGTATTTACAATCTATATATTATAGATTGATAGTACTAGATTTTTACCATTGATGTTTTCAAGATCTAAGTTTCTGGGGTCCAAATTTCATCACAGAATGGAGAAATTGGCGATTAGAACTGTCGCTGGGAAGGCAAAGGTGTTAGGCACAGTAATAGGAATAGGCGGAGCAATGGTCTTCACATTTTACAAAGGTATAGAAATTAACTGGTCAACAGATGTAAACCTTTTACACCATCATCAGCAACAACCTGGAGGCCCAGCTGGACTTTCATCACATGACACTGGCAAGTTCATTCTGGGTGCTTTCTTGGGCTTTTTGTGTTGCATTTCTGTGGCTTTATGGTTGATCACTCAGGTGACTTTTCAGACATTTGGTATTTCATATTCCCAGATTAAAACTTTGTGGTAAAATTTACATGTTCTTTTCATTCTTTAACTGTATCAGGCTAAGATGAGTGTCAAATTCCCTTACCTTTATTCAACCACAGCTTTAATGTGCATAATGGGATCAATACAAGGTTCAGTAATTGCCCTTTGCACAGAAAAAGATTGGAGCCAATGGAAACTAGGTTGGAATGTTAGGCTTTTAGCTGTAGCTTTCGTGGTATGCAAATTTCTTTGTCAACTTCAGTACTCTAATATTTCAGTTGGTTCTCTGTTGCTGTTTGGAAAACCAGGCCATGGCTTCATTTTCTGATTCTTGGAATTCTACATCTTGTGAAATTGTGAACTTAACTGTATGTTGCAGGGAATCATAGGCTCTGCTTTATTGGTCTTCTTGGTCTCATGGAGTGTAAACTTGAGGGGTCCCCTCTATGTATCTATTTTCAATCCTTTGGGGCTTGTCTTTGTTGCCATTATAGGCTCTTTGTTGTTGGATGAGAAGCTGCATTTAGGAAGGTATATCATTTCATATTTACTTACTACCAAACTAAGATATTTAGTACTCATTGTGATTCCCCCCATTACTTTTTTATTTCAAAATCACAGTAATGATTGTTCAATCTAAAATGCCTATCTGTGGCATGCCCTACATCACATGCACAATCTGTTCGTGTGCAATAATATATGAAGCATTTGAGGATCAACATGTTGTGAGCTGCACTTATATAGATACATATAAAAACTACCTCATACATAGTCCGTCTGTAAAATTTTTAAATTTCAGTAGTGGAATTAGAGGATTATCGCATACTCTTTTAAGTTTAAGGATAATTACAATATAAATATAAATATATATATATATATATAGAACTACCTTCTGATCTTATTATGGTCTTCTAATTTAATTGCTTCTGTAAATGGACAGTATCATAGGAGGAATATTAATTGTGTGTGGACTATATACGGTACTGTGGGGCAAAGCCAAAGAGATGAAGCAGAAAACTCAACTAGTACCAACTTCAACAGCTGATAAGGAATCTGAAGGAACAGAAGAATGATTAGATGATCCAAATGAGAATAAGGAAAGAGCAGAATCAATTTCCCACATCACAATCCTGGCTTGAATTGTTTTCCCATAACTCCAACCACTAGTAGCTGGCATGGCAGTTCCCCAAATTTTGGTACAGTTGTAGAGGAAGACATTCCAAATTCATATTTTCTAATTTTTTCCCCCTTTTTAAGCTATCTTATCATTACATCGGATAGAATACTTTTACCATATTCATCGATTATCATATCCTTTGATCTATTTTATCTGTACACACTTGAGACCAATAGACTATTTACATAGTTAGCTTCGTATGAATATAAGACTTCATTTACATTGTTCGAATGATTGTTCTAAAAGGTGAATTCTTATAAGATTGAAGTTCAATCCTAACATTTGCATTTCTTTTACCCTTTAGGCTTCGGCCTTCTGTTATAAATATATATATATATATATATGTAAATATGTAGCGTGCTTAGATAGTGCTTGTGACTAAAATTAATTATCGAATCAAAAGATTTTTTTTATGATTAATTATGACTAATTAATAGCTTTTGGATTAATAAAGCATGAATAAATCGTTGACATGTTTTCAAATTCATTTCCTCATATGTTTTTTACTTTAATTTTGATGATAAGGATGTATGCACTCTCTCGTACTTTACATTATTTTGAGCTTCAAACTTAGTTATTTGAGTGCAAATCCCTTGTTTTATAAATAAAAATGTGAGAAAGAAACGAAACAAACAAGGGTGGGGTAGTGCAAAAAGCAATATCTTCTTTCTTTACTTTGCCTAATTTGTCAAAAATCTATGGCCACCACAAATAAGTTGCTGTTAACTGCTCACAAAAGCTAGCTTTGCTTACCAATAGCAATAGAATTTCAAAAGATTAGTGTTTCCTGCATGACAAATATTTTTCAAGTTGTGGAAAATCTGTGACAAGTTTGAGTACTAGTGTTCATCTTGAACACTATGTTGAAACCTTTTGAATTTTGGCTGATTTTTTTTATTTAAAGTTGTCAAATTTTAAATTCTGATAATTAAAATTAAAAATCCGACCAATTTTATCGACAGCATTATTAAACATCGTCGCCTTTTTCTCTAACTTATTGATTTATCCTTCCACAATGTAAGAGGAAAAACCAAGTGCACCAAAAGCAAATTTTAATTTCTCCATCTACAGCCTGAAATAAAGCAAATTCTCCACTAAAGAAAGCCTTTTACAACTTTTATTGCATCCTCTTTCATGGTAAAGGTTCATTGGCAATCCCATATATATTAGCTATAAAAAGGTGGAAAAACAATTTAACATCATGTGTAGCTTAAATATTATAAAGAATGTGAATATAGTGTATGTGCATGTTTATTTATTTCTAGTTGGCATCATCATCACCTTGGAAAATGAAATACAGTAATGTTAGAGATTAGAAGTTCGATTTTCCTTGCTTTTTTCCTTCATTTTCTCAGATGTCAACCCATAGAAACAAAAAATGGCCATTTATTTAGAAGGAACTGTCAAAGCAGACTGCGCATCCACTAACGTGGGTGAACCATATATGAGAATTGCCACACCATGCATTATACACGTGTTGGGAACATAAAGGGGCCGGAAAGCTACACACACGTATGGCGAAACAACAAACGACATACGTTACAAGGTATCTCAAGCTTGACTTAAAAAAAAAAAAAGGAAGCGCCTTGGCGGAAGGACACCAAAAGCCAGAAGGTACAAAAACAAAGCAAAGCCACACGTTTGAAGTGGGAAAATGGGCACGTGTGGAGGCGCTACGTACATGGTGACGTGATTAAACCGCAGCCTCGTTTTTACCGAAGCAAGAACTTTTACAGCTTATAAATTCTGGGGACTCAGCTCCCATTTTCTTTCACAGTCACAGAGCTACTTACCACCTGTGAATAGCTTTGCTCCGCAGAGAAACGTAAGCAAGAAAACGACAATTACAACACAATTATCCTGCTTCAAACATCTTTGTAATTGGGTTTTTGGTCTTTCGAGATTAACACAAAAGAATGGGGCAGATCATTAACATTTTGCATGGATTGAAGCCTTTAATATTGATGGTGGTGGTTCAGGTGGTGTTTGCTGGAGTTAACGTGTTGTACAAGTTGGCAGCCAATGATGGAATGAGCTTGAGGATCATCGTCGCTTATAGATTCATATTTGCCACGGCAGTTATGGTTCCTCTTGCTCTCATTGTTGAAAGGTTTGCTTTCTTTTTCTTTAATTTCTTTTTCCTTTTTTTTTTTTGTCAGCTTTTTCCACTAGTCAGGTTGTGTCAAATTAGATTGATTGTTTCGACTCCATGCATGGATGTAATTTGCCATTTTTCTCCACCATCTCTCACTCATTTTTGGCAAACAAGGAATAGGAAATTATGTTATTCTCCTTATTTTGTTTCTTTTTCTTTGTTAATGGCTACTTCATCGAATTTCTAGTTTCTATATTCGGATGGTTCTTCACAATGTTTTTAGACAGTGTTTGGAAGTTATGGGAATCAAAGAATCATCAAAAAGATTTCAGTGTTTCTCTTTTGTTGCTTGAAGGATCGGAATATGCTTAATTAAATAACCATTGCTTTTTGTAATGTTTGTTGCGCAGGGAGAGGCCAAAACTGACTTGGACTGTACTGGTTCAAGCATTTCTTTGTGGGTTATTTGGGTAAGTTTGTTTACCAGGTTTAATTAAAGTCAATATTAATGTTCCCCATATCAGGTTCCTTTGCTGCTGGTTTCCACGTACTATTAGTAACCCATTACAGAAGCCAGCTAGACACAACCAAAACTCAGTTCCAGAATCTCTTTAATTTGCTTAAACTCTTGCATTAAAGACACTCCTGCTATTTTTCCAGAAACCAACGTCCTCCCGTTTACCCAGGCCCCGTAAAGTGGTTTTGGATATAAATTTAAAGATTTGTTTATTTACGTTACGTAAAATATTAAAATTTATATATTTATATCATATTTTAATATAAAAATTATGTATTATAATTTATGTTAATATAAAAATATAAAATATTTTTTTAGTTTTATTAAATCATATATAATTATTATTAAAATTTTAAATTATGTTATTTTTATATTTTATTTTCTTATTATGTTTATATCATATTATATTTTAAATTATTATATTTATATGTATGTCTGATGGGATGCATTTGGATAACTGCATCACGTTACAGTTGAAGTTATTGTTTTTAGCTGGAAGGATGAAAGAGAAAGTAAAACATAAAAAAAGTAAAAAGAAAAAAAAACCTAAAAAAGTAGTTAATTTGTTGAAAATATTGTTTAATTTTGTATACAACTCCAATTATATATACCTTTGCCTTTTCTTCTTATAAAAGTAAAAAGGGATAGGTTAATTGATGGTAATTAATTAATATACATATAATATATATATAACACAGTGACTTCTTAAAATATACTAAATTCCGTTGGCAAACAAACCTTTTCCTTGCAAGAGCAAAAGTAAGTCTTTATGTTCGATATTATGCAGGGGTTCACTATCTCAAAATTTGTACATTGAAAGCCTGGCCTTAACATCTGCAACATTTGTTTCTGCCATGACTAATCTCATTCCAGCCATAACTTTCATCATGGCCGTCACTTTTGGGTATAGACTTCCTTCTTTAACTCTTCCAATTTTGAGTTAAAACAGTAGCTTTTGTTGCATGTCATCAATGGTCTAATTAAAAACTTTGATGGGTCCAATCCACTTTTATGGCAGCTTGGAAAAGCTAGCTTTTGGAACAATGGCAGGGAGGGCAAAGGTGTTGGGAACATCAATTGGATTAGGTGGGGCAATGCTGCTCACTTTTTACAAAGGAGTCCAAATTAATATGGGATCAACCCATCTTGATCTTCTTCCTCATGGCAGCCACGGGGCTGTTTCACCACAACCTGCCTCTGCCCATCATCAATTTGGCGCTTTGCTGGCTCTTACCAGCTGCATCTCTTACTCTCTATGGTTGAACATTCAGGTAACTCAATTTAATTTAATTTCCCATCCTTTATTCATTAAAAAAAATGGGTTTTGATGAATTTTCTCTTTTTATTTGTTTTATAGGCTAAGATGAGTGAGAAATACCCATGTTATTACTCAAGCACAGCAATGATATGCACAATGGGAGCCATACAAGCCATTGTTTTTGCACTTTGCATGGAAACAGATAGGAGCCAGTGGAAATTAGGCTGGAATGTTAGGCTTTTAACTGTTGCCTACTCGGTATGTTACCGAAATTGTTGAAGCTAGAAAATCACTTGGGTTTCTAGCTTTGTGGCTAAATTTGGAGATTATATACTTTTTTTGCAGGGAATTTTGGGATCAGGGTTGATGTATAGCTTGATCACTTGGTGTGTGCGAATGAGAGGTCCCCTTTATGCTTCTGCTTTTAACCCATTAATGCTTATCTTAGTGGCCTTTGCTGGCTCATTGTTTCTTGAAGAAAAGCTTTATCTTGGAAGGTAAGTAGTAATAATGATTGAACCTTTTCCAAAGTAAATAAATAAAAGCAACAATATATAACTAGACAAAGAAAGAGTTACGGATTAACGAAAAAGAAGCAATAAAAAAATGTTCATTGTACATATGTAACAAAGGAAGGTTAAAAAAAATCATAGACGATGAAAGTGGTGCTATCTTACATTTAGGGTTTATCGTGATATTATATTAAATATTTAACATTGTATCAAAGTTTAGTATGATTCTTGTTTTATATTTATTTTGAGTTTATCACATGATAATTATGCTTACACGTAATGAGATATGTTAAAATAATATTATTTCATGTATTTTAAATTTTAATTTTTTTATAATTTTATATTCAAATTAAACTTATTTACTCATTGCCTATTGATTTCTTAATCAACTTAATTTGACAAAAATTTTTTTATCTAATTACAGCATAATAGGAGCAGTGCTAATTGTGATGGGGCTGTATGTTGTGCTGTGGGGAAAAGGGAAGGAGATGAAGAAGATGAATCAGTTAATGCCATCAATCAAAAGTTCTACAGAAAATGGACCCATCGAGATTATAGCTACTTCTACAGAAGACAGCATTTCCATTAATAACAATGTTAACAGTATTGTGGCCAGTAAAGATTCACCAAAGGAAGAGAAATAGGAGTTAATTAGGAAAAGAAGAAAATGATAGAAAACTAAAAACATTGACGAAGAGCAAGAACACAAGTGTTAATTTGGTAGAGAAAGAGGACAATGCTTTCCGTAAAGTTCTCATTTTCCCATGTCTCTTTTGTTTGTAACAATCCGTTCCATTGCTTTTATTCAATGTTAATTTTAGGTTAAGTTTGAATTCCACCGTATTTTCGTATGATGCAATTGAGTTAATTATATTATCGTTGAATCCAAATGTTAACTTCATAAGATCTATATAATATAAATTTTCTTTTAATTGTCACTATAATAACTTTTATTATTATTTTCGATCTCACTTAAATCAATTTATCGATCATCCAAATGAATATTTAGCGGTAAAAATGATCCATGACTTTTTAAGCTCTCAACCAGTATTCCAAAGCAAGCACTGAGAATAGTTTTCTCCAGATACTTCTATATATAAATGGTTTGTGCTGCTAACCATGATATCCCTAACAGCCAATGATCAGTATCTACAGCACAAATTAAGAAAATAATTTGTGATTGGAAATCATCTTTAAGACAATTTTTATATAATATCTTAATTTAGAAATCTTAAAACTAGAGCCGATCATAAATGTTTGAATAAATTTGGTTCTACAATAACTTTAGGATTACTTGTTTCAATGCATCAAGTTAAAGTTTCATTGAAAATGAATGACAATGACTGCAGGGATCAATAACTCATTTCATTACGAAGAAACCAATAAAAACTCATTTATATAGTACTATCAAGACTAGACATGCAAACAGGTCAGGGCAAGTTTTTTCACTTCAAACCTAACTCGATTTTTATAATAAATATTTAAATTTGATTCAATTTAATATTAAAATATTATTTTTATCTTCTACTCTTATATACATAAAATTGTAATTGATATAAATTTAATAAAATAATATTTTTTAACATATAAATATAAAATTAAATAAATATATAAATATATATAAATAAAATAAAATTAATAATAATAAAAATTTTACATGCTAAATCTTAAAATCTGATTTTGACTTTAAAAAAAATCCAATCCGAAATCTAATTTAAAAAGAAAAATGATTTTATATAATCGAATTAGATTAAAACTTGATTGGATTATCAACCCTAATCACTGTAGCCTTTACGGCATCTGACATGAAAACAGAAAAGACCCACTTTCAGATGTATTGAAATATTAAGACTTATAGTACCATTAACTGCATGGCTTAGAAGTGTGTACTATTTTACGAGGGTTAAACCAAGCAATGGTGACGATAGTGGTTCGAACTTCATATGTTTACCGGAATGAATGTGTTGTATAAATTGGTAGCAAATGATTTTACAAGGGTTATACCAAGCAATGGTGATGATAGTGGTTCGAACTTCATATGTTTGCCGGAATGAATGTGTTGTATAAATTGGTAGCAAATGACGGAACGAGCTCGAGGATCAAACTCTTAACTTCAAACTATGCTTGCTGGAATGAATGTGTTGCTGAAATTGGTAGCATGTGATGGAACGAGCTTAAGGATCAAACTCTTGCTCCTCTTTTTCAAATGTTTGAGTTTTTCTTTTATGAAGTTATAAATACAAAAGAAATTACATCAAAATTAAGTATTATATTCATATACGAGAAATTATCAAATAATTATTAAATAAATTTAATATAAAATTAAATTAAATTTGAACATAATAAAACTTAAACCTACAATTTCGAATTCTATAACTTACCGGATACTAACCCAAGTACTCCTAGGCAGGCTAGGGTTTTTTTTTTTTTTTTTGCCTTGATTTATGAAAAAAATAATATCTATTTATATTAATTTTAAATTTAATAATTTATAATATAATATTATGATATGAATATGATATAAAAAAATAATATAAATATAATAAAATTTAAAATTTTAATAATAATTATATATAAATTTACTAAAATAAAAAATATGTATTATGCGTTATTTACATATTATATATAAATTTAAATTTTACAAATCAAATTTTTTTATATTTTTATATTTATATAAATTATAATACCTAATTTTTATATAATATCTAATATAAATATCGAACGTCGCACGAATATTCGTACGTTCGCTTCTAACTAATCCTTATCTATAATTTCTGTTGAACTTTCTCTCACACAGGAATAGGCCAAAACTCACCTGCGCTGAACCCTAGGCACGAGAGGGAAGAGATGACGTGGCAATCCAAGGGTCCGACAATTATCAATATCAAAAACCAATCACAGCCATCTGATGTTCCACTCATGGCGATTGACTCTATTAAAGAAAAGCGTTAAAAAAGAGAGACAGGGACCCCATCCAGTCAAATCCTACGTAGCTTAATACCATACATCAATAAACACCCTATAGTTCTCCTCTTTATTTTTTTTTCTTTTTTTTTTTCTAAATTTTAATTATATTATTCAATTTCTATTTATAAGGTTTGTTTCCTGGAAGGACACCAAAAGTCAGCCAAAGAAATAAAAAAAAAAATTCAAAAACTTGGTTTTTTATTCACCCTTTTGTACTTTTTTTCAATTTTATATTCAATTTGGTTAAAAAATAATACTAAATATTTATATATTTTTAACACAAAAAAAGAAAAAACAAAATAATTAACGCAAGACTAATAAAACTTGAAACACTATTTAAATTTAAAATAAAATAAAATAAAAATAATCAAGCTCAAATTTTTTTTTAAATAAATGAGATGATTCATATGCGAAATAAATTTGAAAAACAAAATCTACTATATGAAACAATTTTTTTTCAAAATTTGAAGAAGTTGCTTTGTAAAATTTTTATAAAATAAAAAGTGGCACATAAAGCAACGTCTAGTTCATTATTTTTTCACCAATTTATTTTTACCCTATTTATTGTTTGGTTAAAAAGAAAATGCTAACACTGTTATTTTGCAAGCGTCTCTAATAAATGAGAAAGGGTTTTTCTTTATTTTTAAAAGAAAAAGAGATATGGGTTTTTCATTTTGAAAACTGCAAAGTTTTTTCTAGTTTTTTTTTTTTGTTATGTTATTAAATACAAGAAAGATTAATCTGTTGTTCATTAATGAAATTTATTTGTCATAAATGATATAAATGGATTGAAGGGAACTTCAAAATACATTAAAAAAGTTACTGTTTTCATAATGTTCATCAATTTGACTCGAACAAACCCAATTTAAAGTTTTTATTTGTAGACATTAAATTCAGAGTTAATTTTATTTTGTTTGGTTTCCAAGAAAAAGAAAAAATCAATGCAGTTTCCCTCAGATAAGGCAAACGCTAAAGTCAAACGGGCCATTTTTGTCGTTGGTTGGAGCCTGCTGTTTAGCTCTGTAGTTCATGCTCTAATAAAAAATTATTTTTTTCATTAAAAAAATCACATCAACCCAAAGAACTAAAATCAAAAAATCAAAAACAAAAAGTGAAAATTGTAATATTTAAACTGTTTTTTTGGCCGTCAGTTGAATTTAACGTGGGTCTGGAGTCCGGAACAGATAGAGAGAGACTTCAGGAAAAAAAAAAAAAGAAAACAAAAAGAAGACTGTTGAATAGTTGTCTGACTTTGATCCCATCTACCCACAACCTTTTCAGCTGTTCTGTTACGTAAAAAAGTTGTCTGGGTTTTTTGTTTTTGATCTTGTCTTTGGATTCGCTGCATGTTTCAGGTACAAAAAATGGATCTCATCTTACTTTTTTAAGATTTCATAAAAATCTTTGTGTTTTTTACTGTCTTAAATCTTATCTTACTAGTTACAAGCCCAGTTCAAATGACCTTTTTTTTAATTTTTTTCTTTTTTTTTTGTTAAGAGAGGTTAAGAATTTAATATAATATGGGTTTGTTTGCAAATTTTGTTCTTTTTTGTTCAAGATCTTTGGTGTGGTTGTGAAGCCGAAGCTATGGTGTTTTAATCAGATTCAGCCTTGAGATTTAAGGCCTTGATTTTTGGAAGGTAAATTATTTTTTTTCTTGTGCTTAATTGATAGTAGGTAGATCACACATTTGGGTTGGGATAATTCTATAATCTTAGCTAAATCATGGCCATTTATGGAGAAAATTTTCGTTTACGTGGGAAATTTGATGAGAAAATATCGAAGTAGCTATCTTTCTTCTTCAAATTTGAAGATTGTCTCTGGAATTATCCAATTTTTTTTAGAACAGAAGATATATTTATTCTTCTTAAGATGCTTATAAATCTATGCAATTTCTGTCACATATATGGTGGATAAACCAAAGGCTTATAAAATATTCAGAATGCTTGTGTTCCATGTGAAGCTTGCCCTAGTGATCTTCTCTTTTATTCTTCCTTTTCTCTTTGGTATCTTTTCGGTTTTCTGTTTCCTTTTCTCTATCTTTTATTCTTTACTGGTAGATTTGTGGTGGGAACTGAGTTGTTTCTTCAATGGGCAGCCACAGCTACATAATCAGCAGAGTATTACTGTCAGAAATCTTCAGAACGGATATTATAATTGAGCTGGCTTTTGCTCTCTAATTGAAAAAATGTCATTTCGTAGCATAGTTCGTGATGTGAGGGATAGTTTTGGGAGCTTGTCTAGGCGGAGTTTTGATGTTAGACTGATGGGGCATCACAGAAGAAAATCTCATGGTTCTTTACATGATTTGCATGATGAGCCTCTTGTAAATCAGAACAGCCATTGGGCTAATCTCCCTCCAGAGCTGCTTGTTGATGTGATCAAGAGGTTGGAAGAGAGTGAGAGCACGTGGCCTGCTCGAAAGAATGTTGTTGCATGTGCATCAGTTTGTCGATCATGGAGAGTCATCTGCAAAGAGATTGTTAAGAATCCTGAATTCTGTGGGAAGCTTACTTTCCCATTGTCCCTTAAGCAGGTAGGGATCATTGTTCATTAGAAATGACTTTAAATTAACTCTGGCTTTTTTAATTTATTTGAAGATTATGCTGAAATATATAATCAGTTCTTACTATATCGAAAACTCAAAGACTGCAACTCAACCTCTCTTGTTTGACTTTTCAGCCTGGGCCACACGATGGAACCATCCAGTGTTTCATTAAAAGGGATAAATCTAAATTAACATATCACCTCTTTCTGTGTCTTAGCCTTGGTAAGCGCGATTCTCTGGAACCATTTGTTGAATCAAGTTGCCTTTGTTAAATGTTGATGTAATCTAAGTTTTGATATTATTGTGGTAATGCATATGTTTAAATGAGGTATCGCGTGTTATAAATTAATATGATTTGATTTCTGTGTACTCGTATGTATCGTGCTGGAGTACATAGGCTGTAGCAATGACACTTGTCACGCTTATTCTTGAATGTGAAATATGGCCTGAATTATTTCATTTAAAACAATCATTGAAATGGAAGAAAGGGACTATGCATTACGAAATAGAATTCTTCTATGGGGTTCTGTATCATTAATGACTTTATTTGATAAATTGTTTGATATAATTGATGATGGGTTCACAAGTTATGTGTTTAAAGATAAAATTGCAGTTGAAAAGCTGTTGATGTACATTTTAACGCATTAGTATTATAATCTATGTACAATTTCTCAAAGCAGCAGAAAGAGTTTTGAACTATGCTTTATGATAAGGTACATGCTAGAATAAAGAAGTGAGCAGGAGCAATGCACATTGTTTGCCAAAAGGTCTATTTACTTTGTCATTGGGTAGAAACGGCTAGCACTTTTTAATTTCCTATGATAAAGAGAGCTTTCTAAATGTAAAAAAGCACAATTACCATTTACTTGCAAGACCTAGCAGTGGATATCCTTCTCAGATGCTTGTTAGTCGATTTGATAACAAATGAACTTCCTGGCTTTGCAGTTAAGACAAGACGGTCATTCCTTGTCTATCACAATGCAGACATTTAAGTGCCTTCTATGGTTTTCAGATTTCATACTTGTTCTTCCTAAACTAACCACTATAGTTTGTGTTATCATTTCTCTTTTGCAGCCTCGCTAGTTGAAAATGGGAAATTCCTTCTTTCTGCAAAAAGAACACGCAGGACTACTTCTACCGAGTATATTATTTCTATGAATGCCGACAACATTTCAAGATCAAGCAGCAGTTACATTGGAAAGCTGAGGTATGAATGTGAAACGAAACTTGTGAATTTTTAATGCAAATATTGCCCTTCTGTTCCGAGGATTAATGTTAGCAATTCGAATCAGTATCATCTTTCTAGTTCTCCAAGTGTAGAAGTAGAAGAACCACTGCTTTATTAACTAATATTTTCTGTAAAGCTCAGTAAATTTCCTTTTATTTTGTAAAAGGAAAATCAATCATAGGATGAAGTTGGAAAATTAAACCCATCCTTGTCAGTCTAGTTCTAGAGAACTATGCTTAATAATTTCTTTCATAACTCTTTTTACATTGATTTCAACATTGCCTTTGCCCAAATAGTTTTCTTCAATTTTAGAACTAGCTTTTGGAAAGATTGTTTATAACTTGCATAGGTTTTCATGTTTATGGAATACAATTTTGAAAGTAAATGCTTTTTTCTGTTCCAGGTCAAACTTCCTCGGCACAAAATTCATAATATATGACACCCAGCCTGGCTATACCTCTGCTCATGTTCCTCCACCAGGCCGAACAAGTCGAAGATTTTATTCCAAGAAAGTTTCCCCGAAAGTCCCTACTGGCAGCTACAACATTGCTCAGATTACTTATGAACTAAATGTCCTTGGGACCCGGGGCCCACGAAGGATGCATTGCATCATGCATTCTATTCCTGCCTCAGCTCTTGACGCAGGTGGTTGTGTCCCTGGCCAGCCAGAGCTTCTTCGCCACCCTTTGGAGGACTCATTCAGGAGCATTTCCTTTTCAAAGCCTCTTGATCATTCTGTTGAGTTCAGCAGCTCTCAATTTTCAGAAATCGGTGTGTCTCATGATGATGATGAGGATGGGAAAATGAAACCCTTGATCCTCAAAAACAAGGCCCCTAGATGGCATGAGCAACTACAGTGTTGGTGCCTGAATTTCCGGGGCCGAGTAACGGTCGCATCTGTTAAGAACTTTCAGTTGATTGCTGCCACACAACCAGCAGCTGGTGCACCCACCCCATCTCAGCCTTCCCCACCTGATGTTGATAAGATAATCCTTCAGTTTGGCAAGGTTGGCAAAGATTTGTTCACCATGGATTACCGATATCCCCTATCTGCATTTCAGGCTTTTGCAATCTGCCTGAGCAGCTTCGACACGAAATTAGCTTGTGAATAGAATGATAATTGTGGCCAACAAAACACTTTTATTCACTAGTGTTGTTATTCCTCGTTAATTCATGTGACCGATCAATCAATCGCTTGCTGTCTAATTGACGTTATGATTTACTGCATAATCAAGGTAACAAACTTCTGATAAACAGATGACTCGACCATGGAAATTAGGGACTGTTTCATCTCCGTGAACTTGTGAATTTTATAATCAGATTTTGTATAGATTAGTTTCTCAGGCCTGCTACCTTCCCCTACCGACATGATTCAAGGGGAAAAAAAACGATGCTTTACACAAATTGAGGTTCTTTTTTTATTTACAATACCTAAGCAAAATCCAGAAGCATTCGGCTTCCTATGCAAAAACAATGTGCAACTATTCACAAAAGGTAATCCCAACGTAGGTAAATCATGGTTGAAGCCTCCATTTTTCCATTTCATCTTTGCTTTCCCTACTCAAATAACCCCATTTCAATTGGTTCCTGCAGTTCTTTTTTTTGTATAGCTTCGATAATGGCAAGCTCAGAACCTAAGCTTCTTCTTTCATCTTGTCGTTGACAAAAGGATCAGGAGCTGCTACATTTACCATTGCATAGAATGAACTCGCCTAAATACGCGAGGTGGTCTTTGCTTCTCCTCAACAGGGATCAGGTTCTCCATTAGCTGTATTCGAAATAAACAGCAAGGTATCAGAATTGATACATTCGTCATCATTTTTCAAGCAAGGAGCACAATCACGTTTAGATTTCAGCCATTACCACATTGTTGAATTATTTACTATTATAATAAATTTTGTCATTATAGCGTATAAGCATTAACACTGATGTCGCTTTTCATCATATAAAATCCAATCAGCCAAGCATCATTATAATTTATGCGGTAAAAGAATTTAAATGTCTGCTTAAATGATATATAGGTGTTGATGTTCTTTGAGTTTTTCCATCTTCTACAACAGTGACTGCAATTTATCTACTACTACTACTACTACTACACTTTATCATACTAAACCTTCAGGTGTGGTTTATTCAATGTTTGCTGAATTGATCTTTTACCCATAAATAAAACATATAGACTGGATTCAGCAACAATTACATCCCCCAAAAATGATCACCATATCAGTTATAGGAAATTTAAGAACTGATTCATAAAACAAGTCGAAGATATCTTAGACATTCGACGCACACAATAGAATTAGAAGGTGCTAAAATAGACATACCTGCTTAAACCTCTCCTTGTTCAGCTCAGCCTACAAAAGTAAGTTGAGAAATCAATAATATGGAAGCATACATCTAATGCATAATGATGATCCATACATTCCTCGACACGAACAGTATCTATTTACTGGTTGATTAAACACATGATTAAAACGAAAAGGGAGTGAAAATCTATGTTCTTTCACATCATTTCGATATCTCTAAACGGTATTCACTATTCAACTAATCTAGTTTGGAGTTTACTAGCATAATCTTGAAATACATTTTAATTTTAATCTTAATCAAACATTTAGAACATCAATCAATAATTATTCATCAAACTTGGCAGCAACTGAAATTCTTCAATACTATAATTGAAAATCATATAGTATAACAGCCTATATACCTCTTCCCTCAGCAACCTCGCATTCTCTTCTTCCAGTTGTCTCAACATAGATTCCAATTCAACTGTATAAGCCTAAATGTCAAGTTGCCAACAAGGAAAGCAATACAAAGAAACAAAAAGAATCAGTTAATCATAACTAAACTAACCGTTTAATTGCAGAAAACAGGTTTTAAAATTGGAACAAAAGCAATTAAGATTTGAATTAGATACAAGAAGCAACCAAATAGTATTGAAAAAGGAGAGCCTGACCTGTTTGCGTTCTCTAGATCTAGCGGCAGATTCTCTGTTCTTGATCATCCTGCGCTGTTTCTGCTGTGTCGCTTTGTCCAGAGGCGGTTCCTCGACGGCGCGTCGTTTTCCTCTCGGGCCTCCACCTGCTGGCGCCACCAATCTCTGATGATCAGCGTTGTTTCCAAACGCAGAAAATTGACTTCCACCACCGTTGATAACCGCAGGGTCCATAACATAGACCCCTTCACCTACTCCCACCTGATTAACAACTCCCCTGACATCGTCTTCTCTAACCGCTCCAGCTTTCGTCAAAAAATCCTCCAATGTCATCTCTTCCGATTGACCTTCCCGTCTCTGATCGCCGCCGACGACGATCTCCTTCCAAACCTCGTCGACGGACTTGTTCGCCACATCCTTCGGAGGCGATAAACTACCTTCCCGTGAGATGGACGCGCCGGGGAACTGCGGGTGGGCGTCGGAAGTAGTTGGTGGCGGTGGTGGGGACGAGTAGATGTTTTTCCAAAGATCATCCATGCTCATGCAACCAAGGCCGTTCTGAGATTGGTTTTGAGGACCGGCGAGGAGAGTGGAGAGCGAAGAGCATAGAGATGGCTGACGTGGCAGATCTGGATTCGTCTGTGACGTGGTCGTTATCACGTTAGACGATGCCATGACCCCCCCAATTTTCGGGTTTCTTCACTTCCTTGTTCACTGTTTTTTTTTTTAAATTATTTGGCTTTCCACTGATTGGAAGAATTTGAAACTGTGAGGAAATTTATTTGAGAAGCTAAAAGAAAAACTGGCAAAGGAGACGATGGCCAACAGTTTAAATGCCACGAAGGAGGGAGAGGGAGAGAGAGAGAGAGACAGGGGAAGGAACTGAGAAAGGAAAGAAGAAGATGCGAGATGGATAATGTGTACTCGCTGCTATAGCCGCCCAGTTGTCAAATGTAGGGGTACTTATGTCATTTCAAATATTGGCGTTAAAGCTTTGACGCATATTGCTTACAAGCACGATAATGTAATTAATTAATCCTAATTCAATATTATATAAGAAATATGAAAAATTTTATAAGTGATAAAACAGCATGAACGAATGTTCTGCTCTATTATTTTGAGAAAATAATTTTCAATAAAAAAACCCAAAAAAAAAAAAAAAACTAAAAATTCTACAACGTTGGCAGAGTGTGATAAAATATCCTACCAACTTTCCTACAAAAAATTTCGGCCTAGAAAAGTAATATATAAGGTACCCTACAACTCAATTTTCCAAAGCCTTAAATAATGTCTAAGACTGATGATGAATAGAGCAGCCATCCAGTACTGGTTTGTTTCATTCTAAAGCCATAGTTCTGCAGAAGCTAGGGTGCTAGAAGCTCAAGCAGTTCTCTGAAATGGACCATCAGATCTGAAACCTTGGCCACGACCACGTCCCCTTCCCCTCCCACGTCCACGACCTGAAACAGTGATTAGCCAAAATAGTGATTGGAATTACACTAAAAAAATAATGCAAGAGTTAAGAGAAGCATTAAATTCGATTGCTGACACAGGAAAACCGAAAGAGTTTCAGGTACTCCCACCAGCTCACCTAGGGCCTTTGTAATTTTTGGGATTTTGCATCAATGTTCTTTGCTAGTCGTTTATTTGCTAGTCGTTTAATGGAGATGGATATACACACACATATATATATATATATATACAAGTAGTCAAAATATACTTGCAACTCGAAGAACTATTACTAGAGAAATTACATATAAATTACTTACAATAGACTGGACGTTTAGACATGTGCAAATTATGATTTAGGCTTCTTGCTAAAATAATTCATCCACCAAAAGAAAAATCTATCAGCAGTACCCATATGATGACATTATCAGCAATGATAGGGAAAAAATTGCTAAAGAGACTTGAGAAAATGGATTGTTTTAAATTTGTTTCTTTTATAGAAAAGAGGGAGAGCATGGATTGGTTTTGGGATATGGGAAGTCACTAAAAGTAGTACTCACTACTCGGTACAATATAACAGAAAAAAATGAAAGAAAGCATTGGAACCAAAGACTTACCACGACCCTGGACAGGCAATGGTCCCGATGGACCATTACCATTGTAATATCCTGAGTCTTGCTGCATATTTCCACCACCAAACCCTCTTCCACGCCCTCGGAAACCACGTCCCCTCCCACGACCCCGACCTCTGCCTCCATATCCTCGTCCACCATCCCATCCTCCATTCCTCTGCTCCACCACACCATTGATATTGCCTGCATGAGAAAAATCTTACGTAATTGTCGGTTCATAGGTGCTCCAATAAATTTAACAAAAAAAAAAAGAAAGAAAATGATTTGATACACAGCAAGAATCTGGATAACAGACTTGCAATCATCATGCCGAGGATCATTACCATCTCATTCCAACAAAAAACCTTAAATCCAAACATCTGTCCCGCAGCTATTCAGATATGGAAAGTAGTATATGGGCCACAAAACCTAGCAACTATTTGTAACCAACAAACAAAACACAACCTTGCTGTCAAGATTGTTGTCTCTACCGTCCTCTTCCCCATTTTTCACCAAAAGCATATGATAGAACTTAACCTTACCCAGATGATTTGAAATCATTCTTACAGAATTCAAGTGTCCCTTAACTTTCATCGCCAACGCAAGCACACCCATGTTCTTAAGTCTATATCAGAACATGTTGAAAAAGCAAAATAACAAAAGGATTTTAAGATCTCATCGTCTCAAGTACTATAAACGAAGGAAAATCTCTTTTCCAAAAACACTTTTAATGACTCAAACTTATGTCGCAATTATTTCACTTTAGAACTGACAAGCCATGATGATTGCCTATACCTCGATATTTTACTTGACCACCATGTCCTTTGCCTAAAATATCAGTGGTCTCTAATTTGAATGAGATGGGAGTATAAATATTCAATTCATGCAAGACTCGACATAAAGCAGAAATACACAATCATCAATTGTACATTATTGCCTCACCTCCTTCATTGTCATCAAACTCAGCCAACAGCTTCACTTGATCAGCTGGGATTGGTGGTTGATATCTGATATCAAACATGTCACAGACCAATAGAAAAGCATGCCAAGACGATCAATAGTAATTCACTGGGTACAGTGAACAATATTATACTCAACATTGTTAACTTTTAAAGACAAAGCAGTGTCCAATTACCCTACAGAAGATGTATCCAATTCTTTTTTGGACAAAGTAATCGTGATTATTGAAACATGGCGAGTGGTTTCTAGGCTGCAAGCAAACAACACGTTAGAGTCAATAAGATGTTAGCGAATGCAACAAAATGAACGCATGGACTACCAGAAAGAACAGAAAATCTAGGTTCTTACGGAAGAAGGCCTTCTTCTAGTGGTTCCCATGTGTCAGTTATGTCTATTGATCCAGTTGATGTGTTCTGATGAAGACCAACAATCCTCCTCTGAAGGAAGTCAACACATTTCAGTACAACTCCAAGAAAAGAGGGATTATAAAGCAAAGAACAATCACATGTCAGAAGCGTGATATATAACTAAAACTACAAGCAGGACGCAGCTATCTTGTGGCAAAATCAATAAGGACATGACTGTTCAAAACCTATACATAACAACAAAATTAAGAAAAGTGAAACATTAACCTAAAAAAATCAAACAACCACCTTAAGTAATTCAGCAATCATGACAGTCTTATTGATAGCTCTGCCAGTGGCTTTAAGCACAATCTCATTTGCACCTTTCTCCTACAAAACAACATGAAACCAAAGCTTTCAACAGAAAATTCTATAACCAAAACACAATGCTCTCTTTCTCCCACAACAAAATTAAATCAACGCCTAATACAATCCTAACATCCAATAGGGAAAACCTGAAGCAGAGTCATGGCGTAAGAAATGTAATTCCTCATTCTTCCTTGAGCAGTAATCCTCAGTTCATTCTCGTTTATCGGTGTCTCAGCCTTTGGCCTCTCCACCTTCTGGTACCGGTCCATTTTTCTCTCTGCCAAAGGAAAAACACGTGTTACAAATAGCAGTTTTGTTTTTTCTCAGCAAACAAACAGAACCGAAGTTTGCAAACGATTCAACGATTAAATTAAATCCAATAAAACCAAATAAAGAATGACAAAAAAGGTGAAATCGAGATCTAGGGTTAGAGTAACCTGGCGAAACTGGGCAGTTGTTGCGAACAAAGGCGACAAGTGGCTCTGTTTTGAGAAGCTATTTATTTGGGGCAGAACCGAAGCAGTTAGTGGCGGGGTTAGGGTTTAGGATGAGAAGTGGGGGTTACGGTGAAACCCTGCCCATTGTTCAGTCAAATTTTGACACGTAAGCTCGTTCCACTTTTCTCGCCAATCAGTTTTAAAATCCTCTTTCTTTGCAATCTCAACCGCTTGTTTTGGTCACGCTCAATTAAACCTGTCAGTTTCAACTTTCATCGTTACATGAATAATAAAAATCATTATTAAATTGTTTTTTTATTATAAAAATCCAACGTGTTTACTTTTTTTTAAAATTATTTTTCAAAGTCATCTTCCCGATAAAAAAATTAAAATAAATAACAAAAATTACATTGGAGTTTGTTAATGGCTTTTCCAGACGGAGCTCTTTTAGATTTAATAATTTAAAATAAAATACAATTATATCATACGAAAATAATATAAAAATAATATAATTTAAAATTTTAATAAAAATTATATATAAATTTATTAATATACATTATCACATATAAAATATAATACGAATATATAAATTATAAATATTTTTTATGATATAAATATATAAATTATCAAATTTAATTTTAACCATTTATTTGAAGGGTGTATTAATAAGTCAATCCAATCTATACTCAAATTATTTTTTCAAAAAAATTGCATTACGAATATAAAATAAATTGTAAATGTTAAATTTAAATTTTATTAAATATTATTTTTAAAAAATTATTATATAAACTTTTAAAAATTTATTACATAAATTAACTAAACAAAACCTTAAGTTCATACATAATATTCTTAAATGGGTCTCAAACTTTTAATTTAAAACTTGATTTTGTTGCCAAGTTTAAAACTTGATTTAGTTATTAATTTTGTGATTTATTAAAATAATATTCTGTAAATATATGAATTCAAGTATTTAAACTTGATTAAACTAAGATTTGGATTTATTTAGTTCAAATAGCACGATTGCTTTTCAAAACTCAATCTAGATAAGGCTAAGCTGAGAGCTTTTGACCGTGACAACTTGGTTCGGCTTTGCTTAGAGGTTTGGAAAAAAGCTGTTAAACGAATGGCTTGTTTGGATAACAGCTTTGTTTTGAGGTTTAAACGTTGAAAAAATAATTAAGCATGAACAAATCTGTAACTTCCAAAAGCCTTTCAAACACTATCAAGTCATTAAGAAACAGTAAAATTCCACCCCGGATATGTGGCTCCAACGGGAAATTTCTGTTCAGAAGGAACCCCAATTGAAATAAATAAAGAATCGAAAGACAGAAGAAAACGTTCGGGTGACATCTATTTGTCTCAGGTGGATTTACCCATTGACCATTATATCATGGCAGAGGCACCACCGCACAAAGAGACAGATATTTGCCAGTTGGATGAAGAACAGTACCCATACAATGGCAGTTTGGAAAAAAAATTCATGCAATTGATAAACTTAAACCTAATAATTTAAAATATAATATGATAATACGATATAAAAATAATAAAAATAAAAATATAAAAATGACACGATTTAAAATTTTAACAAAAATCATAAATAAATTTAACAAAATCAAAATAATGTATTTTATATTTTTCGTATCGACATAAATTATGATATGTAATTTTCATGTAAAATACGATACAAACACATAAATTATTAGTATTTTACATGACACGAATAGACGAATTGTCAGATCTAATGAAACTCATAAAAAAATCAGCAAAATCTGAGGTGGGGAGCACCAAAAATTGATTTCCCAGTTAGAATCTTCTCATCATCTTGTCTTTGCCTAAGCTTTATTTTTGTAATACTCCAACCATGTGAAGGGAAGGTTCATTCTTTCTTTCTTTCTTCCCCTGAGTTACAGCCTTCTCTTTTGCTTTTCAATTTTGTCAATCCATTCGTGGACAGGGAATAGGGAACAATGAAAGAGAATGAAATACCTTTGGCAATATGAGTTAGAACGTTTTGCTCAAACACTCAATCCATCTAATCCACACTGCTTGTCAGTAAGAGACTGCTTCCTTGGACTAATCACTATCCCACAATCCACCGATACCTGCCAATGCCAATGCCAACCCCATTTTACTTGTTAATTCCAAGAATTAAACAAAAGAAAATCACAATATAATGCATGTTGGGATGTAAAAAATCACAATATAATCATGGGGTGGCGTATCCCACATTGCAGAGAGGGAGTAAAGTGGGTTCAAGTGATAGCCCACCAGTGACCAAAAATCACATGCTGAGAAACGAAATAAAGACTTTTTTTTTCTACCCATAAATAATCAAAATGACATTTATTCCCTTCTGTCCCACTCTACACACCAATTGCTGCTCTCTCTCAAATCACCCATAAACAAAATCCAAAACCAAAGAATAATTCTCAATCCAAAATGATAAACAAATGCCAGAAATCATTGAAAAATGAAATTTTTCATAAATTTCTTGAAAATAGATCCAACGATATAAAAATAATAATCTAAAATATAATATGATACTATAATACAAGTAATATAAAAATAAAATATGATGTCGACTTAAAATTTTAAAATAATTATATATAAATTTCATAAAATTTAAAAAATATATGTTATATTTTTTTATTAATGTAAATTTTACATAAAGCTTAATAAAAATACATAAATTTAAATATGAATATAAAAAAATTAAATTTACTTAGCAAATCTAGTGACAGGACAGGGCGCCGACCACGGTCAAAGGATGTTTGCGTGAGAAAAGCTAGCCGCACGATGGCTATACGCCATTGGTGCGTCTGGGTAAAGCGCGTCAAAAGTAAGCAATTATCGTTATTAAAGTTAAACATAGTTTTAATCATATAAAACATGAAAAGACAACAGACGCCGAAAATGCATCAAAAATTATGAAAAAAAAAAAAAAGCTGAGTGGGACAGCGAGTAATGGGCGGGTCTGGCTAAACCAGCCAGTGCCGACCGGAACCGCCTCCTATCGCCGCCCTCTTTCAAAAAATGGCCAACATTAGAAAAGGAGGAGGACAATGCTGTGATAAGAAAGGGTAAATTGTCTTAAAAATTTTAACCCAGAAAAGGGAAAGTTGAGAAAGGAATGAGGAAGAAGACAATGGCGTGACCTGAACGCCAGGAGAATCGAAGTCCAAGAGACGGATCTTAGCGCTAACATCACCCAAAACTCTAAGCTCAACACGGTCATTAAGAGAAGCTTCTCTTATTAAATCAGCTGCATCAGCTTGCATCAAGTTAGCTCGTGCAACGGATATGGTTGCCTCCACGTTTCTGGTGCTGTGAGCTTCTTGGTAAAATCCAGGAACCGAAGCTTTTCCCAAAGGAATCCCACGGTACATAATGGTGAACCTAGACTCGCCGTACTTGATCCCTACCTTATTGGGATTCACTGCTGTGAAAAGCATGTGGATGGTTAAAGACAAAGAAGCGGTTGTTGGGGTGGTAGGGACGGCGGAGGCTGTGCCATCGAAGGACCAAGGATTAGATGTGGTGATGCCCATGTATTGGACCCCTACTTGTTGCAGATCGAACTGGGGTTTCTTGGGTTTAAGGGCGAGGACGATTATGAGGACAACAGCGAGAATGAGGAGAGCTAAGAAGGAAAAGAGGAGGAAGAGGCAGCAACAACAGCCTTTGAAAGAAGCCGAAGAAGAGGAAGAACGAGGGTAATAAGCGTGGTGGCGTTGGGGAGGTGGTGCGGTGAGGCCATGCCCGTGGTGGTGCTCGCCGTTGGCTGTTGGACGCATTTCTCTGGGGTGGGTTGATGGTGCGGGTTGATGTTTGTTGGTGGCGTTTGCTTTTTTCTCTAATTTTCAAAGAAAAAGTCCCTCCCCTTCTCTCTTTTCCAACCTCACTGCTTTTCTGGGGTTTCTTTTTGGAGCTGCAGTTGTTTATCGCTTTTGAAGGATGAGAGAGAGATGGAGAGGGGGAGTGGGATTGAGAGAAGACTAAGATGAAGGGTGGGCTTTTTGTTTTGTTTTCCGGTGACTTTGCCTGAGAGGGTAAATTCAAAGGAACAGAATGAAAGAGAGAGAGGAACAAATAGTGCATAAATTAAGGTATAAAAAATAAAAATAAAAAAAAGAGATCACAGAGAGCTTTATGGGAATAACGAGTAAGGATGTAAACGATATGCATTCAAATTATTTTGGATTCGATTTCAATATAAACTCAAATAAAATTCGAATTTCACTTTATTATTATCAAATTAAGTCAAGTTCAGACAATTTAACTTTATTATTATAAAATTAAATCAAATTCAAACAATTTAACTTATCCCATATTCAACAAATTATCAAACAAATCAAATTCGACATTCAAATATTTTAATATTCAATTCAAATAATTTACAAATTTAATCATATTTTTAAATTTTAATGTATTTTTATTATTTTAATTAAAATTTATTATTTTACTCATAGTTCAAACATAAAAGTTAACCGAATTTGAAATCAAACATGAAAATAAATTTATTTTTTATTAAATAGATCTAATAAAACAAGTAATTCAATTTTTATCTTAAATTTAACTCAAATTTAAAAATTAAAACTCAATCAAACTTAAACCAAATTTCAATAATGAATTTTGAGTTGAATTCTAACTTCTCACTATATTGCCTTAGTTCGACTCAATTTCACCCGTAATTACAATAATCCTCCACAAATTTCTACACGCAACTATTCTTTAGATAAATGGTAACTGGCAAAATAGGCCGTCCCGTAAAACATCTCAAATTGTATTTTGTAATTCGCAAGGTGGGGAGAACAAACAAAAGAAGAAATCATACCAAATTCTAGAAGAAAATAGAAAACAGACCTAGCTGAGAAATTGGTTACATTCATTGCTGATCAGCAACATTATCACGGAGTGGACTAGTGTTGCCGGGCTCGGCTTTGGCAGTCTCATCTCCCTTCCTACCATAATCATCAACAACTAGCACATCATCCATCATATCATCCTCCCCAACATTGATATCTTCCACATCCTCCTCATCCTCATTGTTTCCACCAGGTATCTTTCTCTTCTTTGGACCATGCTCAAGTCTATGGGTATCCAATTCTTTGTCCATTGTTTCTTGCAGGTTCATGTCATTGTTTGGTTTCCTCGCTTTCCTGGCATTTTGCCACCTCTCCAACTCCTTTTCGACATTGGCAACACACACTTCTCCAATCTGTTTCTGATATTCAGACAGTTCCTCTCTCCTAGCTGTCTTCCATTCTAAAAATTCCTGTTATGTAAATGCAAATATATACATCAAGAATATTAGCATATTAATAGAAAATTCCTATCAGACAACCTGTCCCTGAAATCCGACCTTTTTCAATGTATGAAACCATGTGTTGTTTTTCTAATTAAATGTCTACTTGCCCTCAACTTTTGTGACTTGTTGAGTGCTAATTTCAAATTCCATTTAAGAATATCAAGGAAAACTTTAAACATAAAAGTTTCCTCCTGGAAGAGGAAACACAAAAAAAGGGCGAAAAAGTAATGTCCGGAAGATCATTGTTGGTATTCCCAATGATCAGGATGAAAAACAACTGCCCATCTTCCTCATACAAATGATTTTGTAGGGAACTCTTTCAGAAACAGAGTGCATTTATCGTCCCTGTCACTCTAAACAACAGAAATCTGAAAATTTTGAAGAGTAATAATAGCATCCACAAGACAGTTGAAATGCCAAAGGATAAATGCCACCTTTTTCAGAAAATGTAGCTCCTCACAAGAAACTAGTGAAGAAGGTTTTTCTTATAAAATATTCAACTTTTCTCAATGTGCCTCAAGAAAGATGGGAGAGAACTTACTTGTTCCTTTTGCAGCTCATGTATGGTTGCATCTTCATGCAATGGTTTCGTTGGCAAGTAATATATTGAAGGCTCTGTTTTAGTCCTGAAACACATCCCAAATGCAATCAAAATGAGTAGAAAATTATCAAAAAAGAATTTTTGCAGTCTACCTATCCTAGAAAGCAGGAATATTCACGTCTTCAGTTGCTTCAACACTACTATGCACATGAACAGAAACTTATCTTTGTCTCAATAAAATTGTGAATATGGACACTTTTGGACCAAAGTTAAAAATAACCTGCAACAGATTGGTGTACAGGAATGGCGTTAATACTAGAGCCCTTCATTTTCAAAGCGGATAGTAAAGCAGAAATGATTTTATAACCAAAAAGGTACCGATACCATAGCATAATAAAACTGATAATAAATGTACCTTATAAAATTGCTAAGCCTTTTGTGGTGCTCACTCCACTGAAGAAACAACAACTCCAGCTTCTTTTCTTCCGCCTTGGCAGCTACACGAGCCCTAAGAGTCTGAAATACAGAGGAGGAAAGCAACAAAAACAATAACTGTTTGTTTCCTTCTACATTAAACATATTTCATTGTTAACTAACAGCATCATATGATCAATGACAAACCAGATCTCTCCTTCTCTTTTCTGCAATTTGTTCACGCTCTTGTTGCCTCAGCTTTTCACTTTCTTCGCGAGCTCTTTGCTCAGCCTATGAAGAGATTCAAAAATTCAGTAAAGAGCAAAAAACTTTATCATAGTAAATCTCCAAACCGTTCAATGCATTATTTATTTATACTTTAGACAGATAAAATCAGGAGTCTCATGGAAACAAAATCATACAATGTTCTTTCCAGCCAATTAATGATCTGTGTTATATTCGCTATGAATTGCTGAGCACATAATAAGAAACCAACAATAACAAGTTACTTGATTTACAGATGAAACAAGAAATCAGAATGAAATTGCACATGCTTACTCTTTGCAAAGAGTTTGACCTCCGCATATATGCCTCTGATCCTGAAAGTTGCTTATCTTCTTTCCTGAATCTCTGCAACAATACAAACAAAAATGCTGCTGTTATGAATCTACAAAAGGTTACAGATAGAAAGAGGTAACACTACCACTAAATACAAGGAAATACTCTTTTGAGGGAAAAAGGGAGGCTTAGAACATGAAACCAATAATTAACTTGTGGGGTTTTCTAAAATGATTGATTTTCCAAATTATGGATCAAGAATACATTAATATAAAACCACCTCAAAACTGGAGATAGAGGCTACAATTGAAATCAAAATCTATATGAAAAAGAGCACTACATCCCAACTATTTACAAACTTTGCAACTTATCTCAAAAAGCCATTTCTCTAGTAGACAAACAATACTTGCTTTACTTAACAAGGTTGGGCAGTTTGATCTCAATTCAGAGTAGGAATTCAATGATTATCATTTTGCTAAGACAGTAACTACTAAATACAAATACCTCCAAAGTCCCTAAAAGTTGCCCCAACATTCTTTTATTCCTATTAATCAAGCTTGGATCCTCATCCTTGGGCAAAATCCTTGGAACGTGCTCTGCAATGGGAGCTTCAGCGTCCTATCAACAAAAAACAACAATAAAAAATATCAGAACCGTAGACCTAAAAAATGCCACAGTTTAATCAAATTTAAAATTAGAGTCCAAACGAACCTTCTTCACTGGCCTTTGCTCTCCATCCCTTCTAGGCCAACCACTTTGCTGCAGAGTAGATAGCTTTCTATCAGTCTCATTGACTGCTCCAGATCCTTCGATAGCTGTGTCACTGACATCCTTTGCCACTTCAGCATCATCAATAATCTCACCATCTTCCACCTTCACTCCAAAATCAAGAAAGTCACAATTGAATGTTTCAAACCCATAACAAAAACATGAAAAAAAAAAAAAAAAACAAAAGCTAGGTAATCAATAGACTCTTACTCAATAGTTACTAAATAACGAAAATCAAGCAAGAAAAGGTTTACCTTGACAACAGCCGACGACAATCGCCTCTTAGCCGGAGGTTGGTCTTCCACATCAGTCCTATCAGCCTATAACCAACAAAAATTAACCCATCTAAAAAAACCCTAAACGCTAAACCCTAAACCCTAAACATAAGCTAAGCAAAATAGATAGGTAATTATCCCAAAAACAAGGGGGGGAAAAGAGCAAAAGCCAAATTTACAGAGAAATAGAAGCATACCGATCGAAGAAAGCCTCGCTGACGAGCACCATTGGCGGCGAAGTTACGAGGGCCGGCGCCCGAAAATCCTCCCCTTCGGAGTCCCCGAGGATCCCTCAGCCTCTCCGTAATCTGTATAAAACAAACAAAAACTAATTAAAAAAGTATCTTACAGTATACGTAATCATATACGTAGAATTGTACGTAAAAAAAAGAGAGAGAAAGAGAGAGAAGGAAAGAGAAACCTCGCGTTGTTGGCGGTGGAGCTCATCGATCTCTCGCTGAAGCTCCTCTGCTGTCTTCTCAACGGCTGTGCTTCCCATTTGGATTTTTATTTGTCGATGGTAAAACGAAAGAGAAACAGAAGAAGAGAAAGAATGAAGGTTAAGCTCCTTGCCTTTTCCCGACGCCTAGATTTTGTTCGAAAGATAGGTTTTGTAAGAAAAAAAAAAAGAAAAGCCCATCGAAATCTAAACCCAATAACTCAAAAAAGGCCCATAAAACCCTAACCGATCCAAATCACAGCCCATTGATGAACTTTCTTTTTTGAATAATTATTAAAATTTATACATTTATATTGATATTTATACGAAAATATATAAAAATTGTTAATTCAAAAACATAAAAAAATTTTATTAAATTCATATGCAATTATTATTAAAATTTTAAATTATATTATTATAATATATTTTTTATATCATATCATTTTTTAAATTATCATATTTAATCCTGACAAATTGAGGGTTAGAGAAAAAAAAAATTTTCGGCTTTTGCGGCTAAGCTTTGCGATACAGTTACCATGAATGACACAGCAATACTGATAAACAGAAGCTTAAAGTTGATTCAAGCAAATGAATGATTCTCATATACCCAAAATGAAACACTATCCTTTGATTGCTTTTCTGTCTAAGAACAATGGTATTATTCCTTAAATATAGACACGGAATCTAATCTAAGTCGAAACAGAGAAAAAGAAAGGATACCCACAAACCGTACACAACTAATTCTCTTTCGTCTCTTTTCCTTTTCAAATGACCAAAAAAAGAAAAGCTATTCGTTGAACTGTGCCCCTCAGCCTCAAGTTAAATCCCCACCAAATTCTTACATTGCAGATATAGTAAGAAAAACCTATTCCTACCCTCTTTCTCTACCTTTTTATTATATCTAAGAAAATCCTATGTTAAAAAACCAGGAATAACACATCACTGGTCTTCCTCTTCCTAGGACTGGATCATTTGTAGTTTATTCCAACCCACTCTCACAAACAGCAATACTTACATTGCATTGCATCCTATCTTTTCTTTTAAAACCCAATCCTTGGGTTTTCATCCATCCCAATATCAATCAAAGTAAACAAAAGGGAAAATAAAGTGTAGCCATAACAGCAACACATTCAAATCTTCCCAAGTCAATTAGCTGAGGCACCGCCAAGAGTCCCATTATGAGATCTTAATGGACCTATTGACTGCAATCGGTGGGAAAGTTTTGCAGATGGTTCCAATTTCATGTACTGCACACAAAAAAAAATGTAATAACTGTTTAGTAGATGCACAACAAGATATTTCACCATAATTAAGCAATGAATAGCAGAAGATAATCGCATAAGAAAGCAAGATTGTGGACAAGTGGTTACCTCCTCAAAAAAGGCACTAATCTCCTCCTCTGTAAGACCACCATCATCTCCAGTATTCTCTTCCCAACCAAGGGAACGTAAAAATGCAGCCTCTTCCTCTCCAGGATATAGAAACGCATCATGGCTTGAATGCCTGTCTCCATTGCTAGAACACCGCTGGGACCCATCATAAGTATCTCCATTGTAAGTTATTTCACTCCTATTATCAGTTGGCAAGTCAGCAATTGAGATCTCTGATGATGAAACACCCCCATCCTGCAGAGTAACAGAAGTACTGGAATCTTCTGTGCCAAGTTCATCAGACTGCTCTGAGATAGATGGTGACAAAGCAGGGCCAAGATCAGGGACAGAGGAAGCAGAGTTTGTAGTAGATTTCTTCTTTAGAAGGTTGAAGAAATCATTCCTACTCTGCGCTTGAGATGCTGGTCTCTTCTCAATGGTTATCTGGAATGGAGTCTGATTCCGTTCAGCAGTGGCAAACCTGGGGCTGTTGCCTGAGCTCCTAAAGAGAGCAGATGCAGCAGCCGATGGAGTGACACTTAGTGGGCTATTCACTAATTTGCTGCTTCCATTAGTAGGACTCAAATTATCCTTTGTGGTTAAAGAGACCCCATTCAATTCTTGTGATGGTTTGAGTATAAGAAGCCTGCCGTTATTTGAAGCTTTCAGACTGTCAGATCTTGAAGTTCCACCCCGTGTGTAATTAAGAGAGAGTGAAAGATGCTGCTGCTGCCCAACTTTAGGTTTTGATTTCTCTGAAGGACTGACCACCTACAGGCAAAAACAAGAAGCAAAAGAAACAAAAATGTAAGTAACCTTAACCTTAAAATATGATCTTAGTTTTACTCAGAAAACTAGAATAAGATCTCTATCCATTGGCCACGATTTCAATCAACTTCAGAATTACATGATAAGCCCAAAGTCACCAGTGATTCTAACTATGATGGCAAAAAGCTAAAAAGCTACTATCAGTATCACAGAATCATAGGGCAATAAAAGGGATAAACCCAGTATAAAACAAAATTTTCCAATTTTTCCTCATCCTCTTTCCAGTTACCTCATCTCTATTCAGTAATAAATTAATTTACAATATCAAATTCCGTCTGCAAACAAGTAATAACCAATGAAGACACCATGCCTTTAAATGCGAGGCATATTTAGGAATATAAGAAAATACTTCCAGAGCACACATTTATCCTAGTTGCATTAGAAAATTGCATAGATCATATTTCCAACACCTCAAAGCAAAACAAAACATTATCAAATGACTTAGTCATGAAAAGCGATATGTAATGCCACTAAGGAATCTTTCTTAGTGAGATTTGCACCTAAGATCACATTTAGAAAATTCTGTACCGCTAGAACTAAATATCATACTTTCTACCTGTTCATGCCTACACGCACACACAAGAAAAAAAGAAGAAGAAGAATGAGAATAATATAGTATGCTTGATTTAACATTTCAGTCATTACAAAACTGAAGAAACAAAAAACTTGCTACCCCAACAAACAACAAAAATATATTTTGCCAAACTATAGAACTCCATACCTGAACAATTATTAACTGGTACATAACACTTAGACTAAAATTTCATTAAGATACTTCGCCTACTGAACTTAAAATGCAAAAGTACCAAGTGGATCTAAATGAGAAGTTCAAATACAAAATAAAATATACTCCTCAAAGTATATATTATAAGAACAGCATATACCCTCAAAGTGAAAATAGTATCTTAAGAAGAAAAACATATACATAGAGAAGTTGAAAAATAGCTCACCAGAGTTTTAGGCATCAATGGCGTCACCAAGGGAATTAGTTGCCTTGACTGTTTGATAGCCAGCTTCTCAAGCCTTTGAGTTCCAACATTTAACTAGATCAAGGAACACATCAGACCATATCAGCATTTACAAAGTTTCTAACAAATACACTTAAGAACAGAAGAATTTTTTTAGTACACTTAAGAACAGAAGAATTTTTGAAGTTACCGAGGGAGGTGTACGAGCACAAGAAGGCCCCTGAGCCACTGTTTCAGCCATATTAAGGCCTGTCACTGTAGTGGAAGCCACATAAGCTGAGCTTGAAGAAACATTTTGTGAGGCAACTGCAACACCACTGCCACTGCTTCCCACACCCACGGGCATGTCTGCTAGAGCTGATGTCCAGCCATCACTGCCAGTAACAGCTGAGGTACCCACTGGCAAGCTCTTCACAGCAAAACTCAAGCCAGGAGATGAAATCCTTCCTATTTCTGACCCAACTTGTCTTTCATCAGCACCAAGAACAGGAAAATCACGTTCAAATGCAGATTTATCACCAACAGCAGTGCTAGCTATGCTAAGCAAACCATTACCACTGCTGTGATTGCTTTGGTTGGTTGCACTTGAATCATTTGTTGCTTTCCTTGGCCATGTGTCAGTATGCTTGCCAGTTATCATAGACTGTGAACGCCGTAAGACATCCTTCTCATACATGTTTGGCAGCATGTTATTGAGAGAATCATAATAGTTTCGGTTCCTTTGGTCACTGAGAATATCCTTCTCCCTCTCATGGTAACCATTAATATCTTTTTCCCAATCTCTTTCTCGGTGGCCTTTAGAAAAACTGCTATAAGATCGTGAGTGAGCAGAACCATTGCTGCTAGAACTCCTTCTAAAATAAGTAGAAGTGGTCCTATCCAGAACAGATGTCCAGCCTATATCATGATCACTGCCAACAGACAACTTATTTCCTGCATGCCTCAGTGCAGAATGATTGTCTACAACAAAAATAATCAAATAAAATATTAGAATATAAACATTTACATTTAATTTGCTTGACAAGACCGACAAGGAGATAAATTTCAAATTTGTAAAACTGCTACCAGAAACTAGGTAAAGAAGTTGCAGGCAACTAGATAGAAAAAATAACTTCTAGTCTTACAAAGTTCCATGATATTGTTCTCTTTTACTTAGTTAAGTGAAGATAAATGAGGCACGTAGTATAAAACTTTGAGCACTATATGCATCCTTGAAATGCTATTATGATACCAAGTTACCAGCCAACACCGATTTATCGAAGGCAAAAACGCAAGACAGAAATAACACAATTGAAGATATAAACCAAAATTACCTGAGCGGGAAGATGATGATGTAAATTGGTGATATGAATTGCCACTACCAGTTACACTTCCACCGCTCTTCAACCATTCCGGTACTAATGAAGGCTCACCTCTTTCCATAACTCTCGCTAAACATGATCATAAAGAAAGAAAGAATTTCCCAATTCTGTTCTTCTTTTCCAGGTTATAAATTTCTCAATATTCCCAAAAACCGTTCTGTTCCCCTAAATTCACTTTCGGTTATCAAATAGCTTACTTACATGAAATATCAAATAGCTACTATAATCCAAAATTTCCCAATTCCAAAATTCTTCGAAACTGTTCTGTAAACTGTAATTAGGATTTTGCTTTGTGTTCCTTCTATACAATATATACAATTAAGGTCACCAACACTTCAGTGAAAAAACAACCTTGAACGAACCAATTAATCAATCAATTCAAAGAAACTTGAATTATGGTTCCAAAAATTTTACTCAAAAAGGGCAATTCTTCAAATAAGCGCTTCTGCAATTAAAAGGACTTAGCTGTTTGTTTTTCTTTATTTTTCAATTTCAATAAAAGGGTTCCTTCTAGGGTTCTTCAAAGTTTAGGAAGAACAAAGTAAGAAAACCAAGACCATCATATCTGAAATGACAACTCTACCCCTTCAACAAGAAAGAACAAAACGAGACGGGTCTGAAAGAACCATCCAGACCCAATATGGTAAATAACCAGAAATACCGAACCCTAAAATTGTCTCATACCATCCTAGAACAAACCTTTTCGAAAACCTTCTTCTTTTTCTACTATCAGCAGAACTATAACAGAGTAAAACGAAACAAAGTCTAAGATTAGGATTAGGACTTTCAGTCGCTAAGCGTCAACAATCACCGAGGACATATTAAAAGCCAAGAGAACCTCAATCGTACGGCTCTCGACGCTTCGGCGTCCACAATTCTCACGCAGTGAGCGATGCAGCGAATCAAAACTATCAGAAACCAGAAGGAAGCAGACAAATAAACGGCTGTGTTTCTTTTTTCGGCTTGAGGAAATTATGAAACGACGAATCGTTTTGGTATGAACTTCCGGAGAGAAAGAGAGTGAGATAGACAGGGTAATGCTTTAGAATTGCGCAAGTTTTCATTTATAATAGATAGAAACAAAGAGATTAATATAAAAGAATTTCAATTTTTGTGTATTTTCTTTTTTATTTAATTTTTGAGGTGTTAGTACATTATTATGAAAAGAAAAAAAAATGTTTTTATTTTTTTAATTTCGGATTTGCTGAAACAGAGGAAGAAATTGGAAAGGAAAGAAAAACGTCGTGCTTTGGTTTGTTTTCTTTATCTACTCCTTTGAAAATCCGGAACAAACGACAACCATCATTTAAAAGCGTTTCGATTTTTATGTTGGGTCGGGCCGGGCTAACTCCGTTTTCGTTTAATGCACGGTTTTGGTGTTTGGTAGGTTGGGATTAAATACTTATATTTTTTTTTTAAATGAAAAACAAAAAGATTTTCTAAAATTTTCTCACACCTTCTGAAAACTCAACCCCCCCCCCCAATGGTAGGGGAGAAAAAACCGAAAAACAAAAAATTATTCGAAATTATAATATTTAATTTTATTTAAATTAATTTTTTATTTAATTCAAACTAAATATAAATATTAAATTTAAATCAAATTTCAAAAGATAAAAATAAAAAAATCAAAATTAATTATATATTTTTAAATTTTTATAAAATAAAATAATTATTTTATAACAAAATTTATTTAAATATATTTAAAATTATATTAAATAATATAAAAAAAATTAAAAATCAATAAACTTAATCAAACTGAATAAATAAATTTAATTCAAATCAAATCAAATTATATAAAAATTTAATTCAAACTAAAATCAAATTTTAAAAATTCATAATTTTATATATTATCTTAAAAAATCGAACCGAATTCAATCCGATTTATTATAACTCATTTCAAAAGTATCAAAATTTTGCCATTAATTTTATTTCTCCAAATTTCAGACTTTGTGTCAAACATGAAAAAACCAATTTCTTTTCTTTTTTTAGTTTCTCCTCCCCTCATTTTGCTTTCACTCCTGCCAAACATTATATGGGCACATGGTATGTAAAATTTCCGCAAGACTTTCAGAGAATAATTATCAGCATCATGTGGTAACTTCAAACTTCAAATGGGAACTGTATGAACAAGGATTATAAGCAAAAAAACATCAAACAATTGAATCATAACAAACCTTTATATACGAGGACGGGAATGGCATGGTTTACAGAATATGAACCAGCAGTGAGAAGCAAAAAGACCAAACCTTAGACATAGGCTTCATATTTTCTGTTAATATTACTAGCTTGCATTGTCAATACCAGTGAATTATGCTGGCAATGAACCTTGTAAGTATCAATATGGCAGCAGCAGCAGCTTCAGAGAGGCAGACCCTAATCTCTGAAATTTTGAATTCAACATGTTCTTTATTTTTTGAGACAGAATCAACCACCATATAGAGATCTTATGCATGCATCTGAATTTCCTCTTCACTTCGATGTATTGCTTCTTGCAACCTCAGTTGCGGAGCCTTCGTTGAGGGAAAAGAGAAGTTGATTAAGGATCATACAGGCACTCATATCCTTATTGTAAGTACTGTATTAAAATTCTCACAAAATAAATTTGTTGGGGATTGTGGGGAATTCCAGTCCTCCAAAAATCACAGCATTAGCCTTAAACTGATAAGATCTGCTTTCACAAATACCCATAACTCATAAGCACTACATGACATTTCACATTTTATCTATTTATTTCTAACCAATGAAGCAAAAGACCAAAAATGCCTACCTTTAGAATCTCTACTGCTTCTCTTTCTGTGATATCTAATTTATGAGCCTCAATTTGGACATCCTCAACCATTTTCTTGGCTTCTGCAGTGGATCTATGACCATATTCCTGCATTTCCTTCTTGAGCAAATTTAGTTGGGCTTCAACCTAACAAGAATGATTAATATAGCAGAAGTTTAATCTCTAAAACTGGCCCTTTACAAACTACAAGTTTGAGCATTAGTTACAAACTTTATTTGCATTTCAGACATTAGCACCATTCAAATAGAATTCATAGGAATAGAAGTGATAGAAAAGGGTAAAAATGTAGTAAGTATCTCTGCGTATGAGGGCTAAGGGAAGAACAAAACAAGGTCCAGATAGAATAATGCAACCCTGCAAGTTCTGTTTCAAATTGAGAACTCATGGATCCAAGCTATTTGGCGGTTGGATGCCTTCCTATCATTTTCAAAACAGGATGTATTGTTTTCAACATGAAAAACATCATGGAAAGTCTTGGTTTTGCTACTGCATTCATGTCATGTTTTCAAAACTGAACATAAAAAACCAATGAAGCAACAAAAACAAGTCGCAGGATGAGAAAACTAATACAGGCATCATCTGGCACTGTCTATGTGCTTAGCTACCTTAAAGTAGCAAACAATGATCTAGACCATCACTCAAATGAAGCTAGTACCAGCAGGTAAGGCAAGAAAATGCCTCCATATAAGTATCTCACTAAGGGCAAAGAAAGAATCTATTTGTAAGTGATAATCGAAGTGAAGTTCAGAGTTTAAATACTGTAAGGGACGGAGTTATCAAGCATAACTTTAAGCATGAAGTTTCTGATTTGGAACATCAAATTTTCAGGAACAATCTCTGCCAACTAAAGAGATGCTTCTGTTAGATCCACATACCGTAGTAACCGTACTACTTTTGCATTCCCCAGAAAGTATGCTTTATAGAATTTCAATTTTCATAAAGGTGAGATTGCACAGAGGTTTTGGAGCAGAAACAAATAGCTGGTGCTAAGTTCAAATCCTACAGGTATATACATGCTGATCATGAAATGCACCAAAAAGAAGTAGAAGAAAATGATAATATATATGTACTACTGTCATAGTGTGAAGACTCGATTTCAAAGCACTTACTTCATCAATATGGGATTGAAGCACAGCAATACAATTTTTCTTGCCCTCAATCTTGGTAGCCATTTCTTTGATTTGTTCCTGAAGGATAATCATGTCTTCAAACTTTCTCTCAGAACTCTCCCTTATTTTGTCAGCATAGCTTGCAAGCTCAGGATTAAGTGTAGCTTTACAGTCAAGTCCCATCACCTTAGCATGCGTTGAGCCTTTAGCATTCTGCTCATACTGAAAATCATTACCAAGCTTTAACCTAAAACCACCATAAAAAGTGATAGAAGCACTATTAATTGTTACTAAGAACTAAGTGAAAAACAGCATAAGTTGACAACACAGCAAGCACAAGTTCAGAATCTTAACACAAACTTTACAGAACAGAATCAGAGAAGATAATCTAAGCAGAAGGGAAAAGAAACTCATCCAAGACCCTTGGGCCTAAGGTCATAACAGCGCTTAAGACAACTTCATTATTTTATTACTACTTCAAAATAAAATTTTGCAATAAACTGAAACAAAGGAAAAGACACTAATATTCAACAAATTTTCCGTCAAAAGTTCAATCATACAACTAAGTTAGTCAGTATCCAGTAGCAATGATGCATTCCAATTTCCACCAGGGGTTTACCTTAATTTTCAGGAATCATTCTACAATAACTAAAAACTCATGCACCTAAATTCCACTTTCTAGTATAAAGAGGGATTCACTGATCCTCAGGATTAAACTTACTAGTAACAGGAAACCAAATTTCACATCAAATGCTTAAGCAATAGGTTCGAAAAATACGGTTAGAAATATAAACATGTAGAACACAATGGAGATAAGCAAATTAAAAACTCACAAAACCTCCTAATTCCTTGGTTGCATTCTATTGCAAGCGCCATAAGCTCCTTAAACTTCTGGTTAATAGTAGAATCAAGATCCCAAGACTTATCCTCCCACGAATTTCGCACAACCTCTGTCTCCTCAATATCCCTCTCCACAGCCTTGATATCCCTCTTCATCCTCTCCATATCTCTAGCATTAAAAGTTTGCAACTTCACTCTCTTTTTAAGCTCCTCATTCTCTTCACGATTTCGCCTCCTCTCCTTTTCCTTCGCATTCAACTCCTTCTTTTCCTCCAACACCTTCACCATTGCCCCAATCCTCCCTGTAAACTCTACGATCATAGCATGAAACTTCTTCACATCTTCCTCTTAACACCCTTTTTTTCCTTCTCTAACACTTCCCTCTTCGTTGGCCCCTTCCTTAATCCCTGCAGCGGTTATTGGGTTTCGGGGTTTTTTTGGGTTTTCGGCTGTTTTTGGGGCTTTTGCCTCCAGTTCTCAGACACTCTTTTCCAAAGCACTGGAGTTCTCCACCTCATTTTCCTTCTCTTTCCCTAGCTTCTCCATGAACTCCTTATCCAAAACCTCTGATAAATCATCCTCGCCACGTACAAATCGCATATAACTCTCCAATGTATATACAGTCATGCTATTATTGAGCAAAAGAAGTTGTGGAATTCTGAAATAAATGTTCATTGTGCATTGCTAGATGGACCAGCCGGTGAACGATACCGAGCCAATTGGGCCAATTGTGGGGGTACTAGGGGCAAGAAGCGTGGATTTGTTGAATTTGAAGGAACAACTTAGGGATTTCAGCAGGGAACCTAGGTCGTCTTCGAGCTTGGAGCAAGGGTAATCGAGAAGAGAAAGAAAGGAAGTGAGGATTTGAGAGGTCCTTGGCAGAAAGGGCTTGAGAGGGTTTGGTGGAGAGAAGAGGAATGAAATTGATGCGAAGGAGGCGTTGATAAAGTGGATGGTGGTCGTCTGGAAGGCGCGATCGGAGTAGGGTTCGGCGGCGGAGATGGCGCAGCCCATAACGATGGAGGACAGCCGGCTGTAAGCAAAGCTGAAATCGGAATCACGCGTCGGTTGTGTTACCGGAGGATGGAAGGAGTACGTGCGACGGCCGCGCGTGATGCCCCTCATCTTTTCTAGGTCTATGCGATGTGGTGTTTGATTTTGAGTTTTCTTAGTTTTTGTGCGTTTTCACTTTTCAGCTTTCATTTTCCCGCTCAAATAGGTGTTTTGGAAACCGGAAAGTGACGCTTCTCAAACCGACCTTAACGGCCGCGATGACGAATCATTTCACAGGTCAACTGGTCAACGTGCTACCTATCTCACAAATCCTAAATCCCCAAACTACCCCTATTCACATTTTTAATTTCTGTTTATACTCTTTCTTTCTTTCCCTTCCTCAAAGATCAGGCAGTCCCTTTCTGTCATTTCCTGTGAGTTTAGGGGGAGTATTCATAATAATCGAATCGAACTAATTTAATTCAATTAATTTATTTAACGAAATAATTTTGATCAAATATAAAAAATAATTTTACAAAATTTTAATTTTTATTAATTTAATTTTTAATCAAAATAATTAAATTTTAATTAAAATATAATAAAACTTATATATATAATTAAAAATATATAAAATTACTTATTTCATTTTAAATTATTAAAGATTTTAACTTAATATTTTGATACTTGAATATATGTATTAATAATTTTATTTAATTAGTTTTAAATATAAAATATTAAATATTAAAATAATTTTTTTTATTTTATTATTCACTTAATAAAAAAATTAAACAAATTATTTTTGATTAATTTTTTAAATTATAAAATTTAATTCAATTAATAAAAAAATATAATTTAATTTAAAATAATTTAATTTTAAACTAACCTAACTCACCAAAAGAAAATCATACTCTTGCCTATAGTTATTAGAATCAAATTGGACATTAAACCATTAAATTTTTGAGTTATTAGATTAATGATTCAATCACCGAGTCAATTGGATCAATTGTCATTTTAATAAAAAATATTATAAAAATTTAAATATTTTAAATATTCAAAATTCAGATTTTTAACTCAAATTATAATTTAATAATTAAACTATACAATTATAAATTTTAAGGTACATCATAAACTACAAATTTTAAAATATAAAATTCATAAAATAATTAATTACTAATTAGAATTGAAATTACTTAATAATTTATAAAAATCATATTTTTATAATTTAATAATTATAAATAATATTTATATATTAATAAATATAATAAATAATAACTAATAAATTATTCTAAATTATTATTATTATTATTATTTAATATATAATAATTAATCTTTATGTAATAAAAATAAATATCTATATATAAAATTAATAAAAAATAAATATTTATATTTATATGGAAAATTAGTAAAAAAGAAATTAAAATCATTTTTATATTTTTATATGAATTTAGATTTTTTTATTAATTTTACATATATACATTTTTTTATTAATTATTTTTATTATGGTCCAATAAATAATATTTTTATTAACATTTTATTTTTTAATTTTATATATTATTAATTTTATAATTATTTTTAATTATGATATCAATTAATAAATTTTTATTAGATTATCTTTTTTTGAAATTATTTATTTTTATATGTATGTAATTTTTTTTAACATCATTATTTACATGTTTCAAAATATGTTAACATGTAATTAATATAAAATTATAAAGGCTTTGATAGTAAAAAATAAGAATAGGGGTTTTATTTAGATGAAATAGTAATATAATAATTTAATTAGATTATTTTAAATATTTGAAAAGTTTTTTTATATTTTATTTAAATTTATTAGTTAATGTTAAATCAATTTAATTAAAAAATAAATTTAATTTATTAATTTATTATGTAAATCATCAATTTTTAACTATTTAAAATCATTTAATTATAAAATTAAATCAATTTCAACATGGATTCACTGATTCAACCAACGATGTGGTCCAATTCTAATAACTGTGCTCCTACTTAGGATTTAAGTTTCTCACAAGAAAAACAAAAAACAAAAAAGATAAAACCTGATAAAACGAAAACAAAAATTCTTTATCAAAATCCTTTGAATATCTTTCTCTAGTTTTTACGATCTGATTGATCGAAGTCGTCGATCCAATCGAAGCATGGGACGAATTGTCGGTGGCAAATACAAGCTTGGCCGTAAGATCGGTGGTGGATACTTTAGTGAAATTTATCACGGTTCGTCTCGTCCTTTTTTTTTCTTTTTTTTTTAAGTGATCCTTAACGATTCTGATTTTGTTTCTGCAGCTACGCATATTGACACGTCTGAGATCGTCGCTGTTAAGATCGCAAGTGTCTTTTTTTTTTCTTTTGTAGATTGATGATCTGATTATGGTTTAAGCTTCTTGGTGTAGAAATGAGAGCTAGAATTGTAAATCACCTGATTTTTTAAAAAAATTATGTTATATTTTTATTAATTTAATTTTGGCGGTTACAGGAGAACAATAAAACAAGGCAACTGCAACTGCTTTACGAAGCGAAATTGTACAAGATTCTTCAAGAAGGAAGTAAGTGGCATACTAAAACTTCAATTAATTCATTTATTAAATTTATAAAGAATTTTGAACCATGAAATCATTATTTTAATTAATGTTTAGGTGGAATTCCGATCATAAAATGGTCAGGTGTTGACAGGGAAGATAATCTACTTGTTCTCGATTTACTCGGACCGAGTCTGGAAGATCTTTTGGTGTACTGTTCCAGGAAGTTTACGCTGAAAACTGTCTTAATGTTGGCTGATCAAATGGTGGGCTAAAATTCATAGGGCAATGCCGCGGGATGATTTGGAGTCACTTGGCTATGTACTTTTATATTTTCTAAGTGGAAGGTAGGAAGGCAAGCTATTTTGAGTGATTTTTAATGCAAATATGTTTCTTGCCTTTGACTATGTTGGTATTTGTTTGTGTATTCAGCTGACTGAAAATTTTCATCTATAGCCTTCATGGCAAGATTTCAAAGCTGCCATAAAGAAGCAGAAATATGATCAAACACGTGAGAAGTTGTCCACTCTTATTGAGGTGCGTCTGCGTTTTATATATCTTTCTGTTCTATATTATGGTTCAAGTATGATTTGATTAACATGCTTTCTGTTTCCTCTGACTTTTGTTTATCAAGGATCTGTGTAAGCCCCATCCTGTGGAGTTCACATCATACTTTCATTATTGCCATTCCTTGACATATGATCAACGTCCTGATTATGGATTCTTGAAGCGTCTGTTCCGTAATTTATTTGTTCGTGAAGGTATTGCTGGATTCAATCTACCTTTCAATTCCGTAAACAGAGGTTTTTGAGTTGCATAGGGATGCAATAACATTTCTTTGCTTGAAATTGTTGAATACCTGCGATGCTTGGTGGTCTTAATTTTTCTGCACTTGGCATGTACTTTACTCTTGTATCTTCTTCTATGTTCAGAAAAGGCTCATTGTTTCAAAGCATGAGGCCTAACCAATGCTACCGAACAAGCTGATTGTGATCTATGGTGATGTCCTTGTTAAAATATGCTATTGAGGGGGAAAGAAAAGCATACTGCCAGTTGGCTTATTGGATTTTTTATATTTTTGGCCAAAGGCTTGTTGGACGACATGACATAGATGAAAATTTTTGTTTATAATTTTTGCAAACTATTTTTTGGTTCTTTTTTGTGGTAGGTTATAAGTTTGACTTCATATATGACTGGACGATCAACAAGTACCAGCAGGCCCCAAAAATTAGATCTCAGCCCCGATTATCTGTTAGTATATTGCTCCTTTTCCTCAAAACTTATAACAAAATTTGTTTGTCATTGCATTTAGAATTGCATATATCTGCTTTCTAATATTATAAATTGTAGAACCTCCTTCGTATTTGGATCCTTTAAATGGAGCATTGTTCTTTCTAACAAGATTATTTACCCAAATTACAGCCACTTGCTGGAGGTAGCTGCTGTGATCAATTACCAGTGGGTGTGGATAGTCATCAAGGTTAGCTCCTGTGCATCCACTTTGTGCTCAAATAACTGAATGGCGTCTTGAGGATGGTATCTTTAGAAACTATGCCATGCATTTGGATTTGGATGTGGCATCAAGGTCGAAAGAAATTTAATCTTGGTGTCACTTAGGAGTTTAGTTTCCTTTATGAATAAAACTTTAAACGGTATGGGGGTTTATTTTCCCTTATGAATAGAACATTTATTGAAAAAGGGATGATTTTCTAGAATTTTCTTTACCTATGTTGCATCTTGAAAAGTACAAAGTATACTTTAAAATTAACCAATATTAATCTTTTCTTTTTGCTGTGGGGATATTTTAGCAATAGCATCTGATGAACGCAGTGATGACAGTTGGCAATGGAACGAAGGAAGCTGGTGAAGGATCGAGCAAGCCAGTTAACCAGGAGGGCGAGGTAAAGGAAGTACGGGTGGCAGGTTCTAGAAAGAATGAAGAAGATCGCATGATTGGCAAAGCCGTTAGCATTGGGAATGGAGATATGTGAGGTGGCAAGAAATGAGCTGGAACCGTTAGAATTATGATGATTAGTGATGATAAAACTCTTGTACTTCAATACTTAATAATTGGTGTGCATATATATATATATATATATGATTTTATTGTATCGAGATTATTTAATGAATTACTTGATTTTTTATTTGAATGGATATGAGAATGAATATTATATTATTATAGATACGATGATAAGTATGATTTTAAATTTATATTAAATATAAGATAAAAATAAATAATATAATACTCATCCATACTTGTATCTTATATATATTTAATAAATAAATTTTTATTAAACAATATAAATTATTATTTTAGATTAATTAAAATTAATATATTTTTATTGAATACATATTAATATGTATTTATAAAAAATTAATTAAATATAAAAGATAAAAATTTTAAAAAATAAAACAATAAATTTTTATTTTTATTGTTTTTAAATGTTTTAAGATTATTTATACCTATTAAATATCAATAGATAAAAATAATAAATTTAAAATATTTATTAAATATGAATATAAAAATTGATATAGCCTACCTATAGCTAACCTTCTTTTCTATTCTCTGTCTATTTCTCGTGTCTCATAATTTTATCTTCTTCCCCTCCATCACTATCAACCATACGTCAATCCATTGCATAGCATTATAAAAAAACCCATAAAATTGCAAAATTCCTCCCTTTTCTTTCTCAGCTTGCTTGTCCCTTAAGCCCGTGATTTATAATTAAAGGGCTAAATATTTCTTTAAGTCACAAACATAAGGTAATTCCTAAAGCACTTGTTTCGCCGTCGTTCTTTCTAGGACTGAGACTGGATTTTATATAGCCATAAGATTACGTAGCTTAAAAAAAAAAATTTAAAGAATAAAATAGCATTTTGACTGCCGATTTTAGGTTACTGAAGCTAGGTAACCATTTTGCTTAACCTTTATTTCCTCATCCAAAACTGGTTTTTAAGTTTTTCACATCCCATCTCCAATGGTTTCCAGGATGATTATTCAATGCTGTTGAATCACATATGTGTTACTTTATAAAATTAATAGATAAGATAAAAAATTTAAAATAAATTACATAAATATACATTGAAGTTTAATGCGATTTAAATTTACTTTGAGATTTAAAATAAATTACATAAATATACATTGAAATTTTGGGTTTTTTGAGAATACAATTTTTACTGTTAAGAATTATATAAAAAATCAAATAAACAATTAATTTACATTTCACGACCACCAAAAACCCATGGACAATCATTAATAAATCCAAAAACCCAAAAACAAATTCAACATCAACTAGAAAAACTCACAAAATCTAAATTCATTATAAATTACTTACACATAACAAACTCACAAAATAACAACAAATCCAAATAACAACCATAAGAACTCATCAACAATGATTTTATTCTATGGGTTTTGGTTTGAATTTTTTTGGAATTTTTGGATTTTTAAAATACAGAGGAAGATGGAAAAGATCAATTGTCAACACACACCATAATAGTATACTTTTCCAATATTTGATCCCCTTACTTAGCCTTACGTAGAATTCATGTTTTTAACCTAATTTTTATTTGAAAAGTCTGAATATAAAAAAAATAATTAGAATTTATTGATTAGATGTTAACTATGTTAATAAAAACTAATAAAATGTCATGGATATATGGTTCAAGATGATTAAGTATATTTTTTAAATTTCAAAGGTTAAACTCAATTCGTGTTAAATTTAAATATATATTGTGTAATTTACCAAAAAATTTATATAAAAATCTTTATGTTGGTCATTTGGCCGTATCATGTAAAAAACAAGGAGATAGGGCTGAGATGTAAAACCATTATATGGGCACCACAAGAAGTGATAGCAGCGCTATTAATTGTTACTAAGAACTATGTGAAAAACAGCATAACCTTAACACAGATTTTTGGGGCTTTCGCCTCCAATTCTCAGACACTCTTTTCCAAAGCACTGGATTTCTCCGCCTCATTTTCCTTCTCTTTCCCCAACCTCTCCATGAACTCCTTATCTAAAACCTCTAATAAATCATCCTTACAGCGTATAAATCGAGAAGAGAAAGATGGGAAGTAAGGATATTTGAGAGGTCTTTGGCAGAAGGGGCTTGAGAGGGTTTCGTGGAGAGAAGGGGAATGGAATGGGAGGAGAAGAAGGCGTTGATAGAGCGGGTGGTGGCCGTCTGAAAGACGCGATAGGAGTAGGGTTCGGCGGCGGAGACGGCACTGCCTATAATGACGGAGGAAGGCCAGCTGCAGGCGAAGCTGGTATCGGAATCACGCGACTGTTATGGAAGGAGTCGGTGCTATGGCCGCAAGTGACGCCCCTTGTCTTTTCTCGGTCCAGGCCAGGCATTTTTTATTTTGAGTTTTTTCAGCTTTTCATTTTCCCTCTCAAATATGTATTTTGGAAACTGGAAAGTGAAAGTTGCTTACAGGCCGGTCAACGGCGTCGTTTTCACTGATTCCGCATTTCTTAAGGAATATAATTGTTTTTTTTTCTTATGTATTATTTTTTATGAATGATTTTTTTTACTTGTTATTGTTTTTAGTATATTGTATCCAAACTTTTTAATTTTTATTTTTAGTAACATTATACTTAGTAATTATTAAATATATTTAGCAGCATAAATTACGAAAATATTAAATATTGTGTTACCAATGATACAAAAAAAAAAAAGAACTTGTCTAACTTTTTTTTTGTAACATTGATGATTAAAATTTATAATATCAAAATACATAATTACATTACGAAATTTTCACGTGATTTAATTATTAACATTAAGTTATTGAGATAATAACTACAAAAATACTAAACATTTAGATATTACGTAACTTTTTAAAATTTTTTTAGAATATTTAATAACCTTTATATTATTTTTAGTAATTTTGGCATACAAAATCAATAACCTCAAAATACACGATTATTTTACATAAATTTTATCTAATTTTTAATTCATCAATTATTAAATCTAAAAAATCTTTATAATTTCTCAATAAATTTGGTTATTGCGATAACCTTAAAATATATAATTATTTTATGTAATTTTTAGTAATATTAAATGTACTTATAAGTCACTTGCATGGATGTTTGATACCATAATGTTACTTAGATACATGGAAGTATTGAAATTGTTATAGTTTTTTCTTTCTTATAATCCATTGTATTAATCAAATAATGCTATAATTTAACCTTTTGATTATTTATTATATTATTATTACAATTTGTCATATTAGTATTTTTGATAAAAAGTGTTTAAAAATGAGAAATTTACTTTATAAAAATATGATATCTAGTTTTTAATTAAAGAAAGTGATTGGCTTATTTAAAACAGTATTTTTATAAAAATAATTAAATAAAATACATATTTTTAATATTATATTTATTTTTGTTAGAATATTTTATTTATTGTTGGAACATTATAGTTATAATATTTGATTTTAATATTATATGCAAAATTTTGTGTGGTTTTGTCTTGCTTTAATAATTGTTAATTAAAAGTTAAAATTATGAATTCAATTTTTATTTTCTATCATCAAATGACTCATAAATAACTATATCTTAAAAAAAAAGGTTTGAATATTAAATTAATAATATAAATCATTCAATGAAAAATAAAAGCCAAAATAAATTCAATGAAACAAATTATTCTAGGGATAATTTTAAACATAAACTTTATATAATGGTAAATTTTAAATCAAATAAAAAAATATATATATATATATTATATTACAACATACAAAGTTACATGATAAAAATTATTTATATGAATGTTTAGGTGGATAATCTATTTTAATGACACATAGGATGATACTTATATTATTTTATTTACCAAATAAAATTTTTAATTAATTATTTAAATTGAATATTTTTAATAATTATTTAAATTGAAATCCAAATATACATAGAAATTAAATTTTTTGCACAAAATTTAAATTAAAGTATATTAAATCATAATTTATATTTTCTTTTTAAATTTAACGACCGTTCAAAGTATATATATTTAATAAAATTTTATTTTTTGTCAAATAATTCTATTTAGTAAATTATTTTAATTTACCATATTTAGATAATTATTAAATTCAAATCAAAATCAATCAAATATTGAAATTTATTTAATAGATTATTTCAATTTAATATTTTTATACAAGTTAATGAATTATTGTCTAAAAACCATGAATTTTTTAAAAAATAAAAGCTTATATTTTTATATGAAAATATGAGATATTTGAATATTGATAAAAAAATTAGATAAAAATATGTTTTTATTTTGAAAATAAATATAATATATTATTTATGTTATAATTCAAATATTTTTATATTATATATTTGATTAATTTATTTGTTTTTTTTAATCCATAACTTTTTTTTCTTAAATTGATTATAATTAACTTTTAGAATCGTATTTTTTTTGTTTTATTCATTTATTCAATATTTTTATTATTTACTAAATTATTAACATATTTACTTTTGTTATTGTACATTTTTAATATTGACAAATTAATATTTAAACTTATATTCTTTATTTCTCTTATATTTTTTATTATTAAATTTATTTGTCTACAATAAATGATATGAGAAAAATAATGATCACTACCATATCTAACTCATAATAAATACTATCAATTATGTTAAAAATGATTAAAAATAAAAAAATATTTTAAAAAAGTTTTTAAGCATAATATAAAGAATTATTATTATTTTATTTAAAAAATAACTTTATTTTATTTACATAAATAGAAATAATTATTAGCCAATATATTTCTATAATAATTACTTGAAGTATGTAAAAAATAAAAGCTAATAAAAAGAAAATAGTTATGATCAAATTAATAATTATGATTTATTATTCAATCATATATATATATATACTCATAGCAACATTATCATAAAAATAATTATTAATCGTAATTATTTAAATATTAATTATTGATTTTTTATCAAATAAGAAAAAAGTGATAGCAAAATTTGTAGTATTTAGCAAATGAATTTAAGAAAATATTTTTTATGAAAAAGAAAAGATTTTTATAATTTTTGAAAATTTGTAAAAAATTAAATTTTGTTAGATAAACAGTATAATTTGTAATATATTATGTATAAATTATTATTTAATTGTAACTTAATATTTATAAATATATGATTATATATTAAATAATAATAAAAAATAATTTTAAAATTACGAAAAATTTAATAAAAATTCCCGTGCATCGTACGGATTAAAAATTAGTTCTATATATATGTTTATACTATTTCCCTATCTTTGACCGTTTGACTAAAATATTTGAAAGATCTTTTAGGCGCTTCTTTCTTTTCTTTTTCAAGACGCTCCCTCCTTCACCAAAGATTATCTTTCCTCTGGTTCTCAACTTTCCTCAATGGCCCCTCCAACGGAATCGTCTCTTCTCTTTGATCTCCAAACCTCCGATGACTCCAAACGCATCCACTCACTCGTCTCCGATTACCTTCGCCCTATCACCGTAAATTCCAAGAAAACATCCAAGAAAGCCGATCAAACCACTGTTCGATCCATTGCCAAACAGTTCTTGTCCTTCCTTTCGAAATCATTCCCAATCATCTATAATCGTATCTACATACAAAACCCTAATCAACAACAACAAACCTCCCTTTCTCCTTTCTTCGATACGTACCGGCTCTGCATAAATTGTCTCGAATTCATCTCTTCGCAGTTAGCCGGCGGTTCCCACTTGGTTCAGATCCAGAGGTTGAAGCTCGTTTACTGTTTAAATGCCTGGGGCTCGTACGAAGAGGGAGAGAACGAAGCATTTAGGGTTTTGGAGAGGCTTAGAGGGGAGACCCATTCAGAGGGGAAATTCGTCCCGGGTATCGATGTTGGCGCTAGTGATTCGAAGTTTGGATCGATTGTGGTGGAGGCTGTGGCTGCTGTTGTGAAAAATGTGGCCATGGGAAAGAGTAAAGATTGTGCGAAATATGAAAGAATTCTTGCTTTGTTGGGGCAAGTTAGGCCTTGGTACAGGTATTAAATTTGTTGATTTAACCTAAATATTTACATATATGATTTGCTTATCTATGTGTTTGAGTCTTTTCAGGGCATTAGAAGCTGTTGTATTCGAGAAATCGCACAATGTGCTCCTTACCTTTCTGGGTAGATGCTGTCGGTTTTTGGCTGAGGAGATTGATCGTTTTGGCGAGGATTTGGTTCGTCAGTTCATCACTGAATGTTTGGCTGAGTATGCGAGGTCTACGATGAAAGATCAAGTTTATAAGGTACAGTTGTTTAAACATTTGGCTAAACAGATTGGATTTATGTATTTAATTTTCTTATTAATTATTTCATTTACAGTTTGCCCGCAGAATATGTTCCTCATTGTTCTCGCTAGAGGGAAGCGAGAACTCAGTTCGTATTGACTTAGTAACGTTTTGTTTAACCTCCATTTCCCGTGAAAGCAAGGTAAGATTAACTAAGTTACATATTAATAAAAGGTTTTAGAATGGCTGAGGAATGGGTTCAATCAGTCATTTAGCCTAATTCATTCTAATTTTCTTTATGTTTGTGCGTGTGTAAGTTTCGACTCTAACTTCATCCAACCAACAATTCCCCAATACCAATGCTGCTTGTGTTTAGTGTTAACAGGGAAAGAATAAGAAGTATGATTTTTCACTTAATTGTGTCTTTAAATTGCATGGATAGTGGCATGTAGTTGTAACTTTTGAATCTGTTTCTTGTTAGGAATGCAGACACCTGCATTCCTGTTGTACCCTTTTGGACCTTTCACAAGTAAGCAGTTGCAGCTCTTTGTAAGTTGGAATTTATGTGTCGGCTCTGAAATCCATTATTTGAAGGCCTATGGTGCTATGTATGATGTTTGTCTTTAGGAATGATGGCACCATTATGTTTGGTTTATATATTATTAGTCTTTTATTTGGTTATTTCTTCTAATCCAACCTTGGACTAAAAACCAATTCAGTTTCTGCCAAATTTCGGATCTTCAAAATATTTTTCCCAATTTGTTTCTAGTTGTTTTGCACATCATTTTGCATTACTCACTCACTTTTTAATCTTTTATTTAGTTTTTTACTACTTAAAGTTTTTAACTATCTTAGGACTTCATAACTAAAGTTTATGTTGATATTTTGATTTATTGATTAACATATTTGTTGGCAGTTTGAAATGGATAATAGTGCAATAGAGTTTGTTGAACTTGTTGATTATTGTGCCAATAGATGTCGAGCTGCTGGTACAATTTTTTGTAGTGCTCTTGCAAGACATTTAAGTGGCATAGCAGGCGATTTTCATCAGGTATATTGCTCAACTGGTTGCTGTCTTGTGGCGTGGACATGTACCTATTTGATTTATTTTGGTAAGATGCCCTGAGTTATAATCTTAAATTTGGTATAATTTCCCAGGCTACAATCCCCATTGATCTTATACTGAGGCTTTATGCAACCGGGCTAGATTTCAGTGAGCATGATGTTAAGTCGAAATGTGATGATTTTACCACTTCCAGAGGTGTAGAAGATGATTCTACTATTAAAATTTTGTTACTTGAAAAGGATAAGCTACAATATTTGTCTGCTTTACTTGGGTTGCTTGGAAATTGCTTTAACATTGGAAAAAAGGAGGTTTGCATTTCATCTGATATAGAATATAAGAATTCTATAACTTGGAAGGACAGAAATGCTTGTCTAGTGATGTACTATAATATGCTGAAATTCTTGTGTCAGCTTCTTGCTGAACTAGTAAATTCTGAGAAAAAATGGATACTTGCTGAAACTGAAGCTTCGTCTGATTCTAGCAAGCTTTACATTATCCAGGACGTGTTTTATCAGTTCTGTGATAGTTTCTTTTCTCTTGAAAGGTAAGTTTATTTTCATTTTTGATGGATTAATTTTCTTTGTTGTAACCACAATAAATGTGATTACAATGACAATTAGACATTGTAGTAAAAGGAGTATTAATGTTTTGTTGGTATCTTATTGACTAAAATGACATCATCTTTTGGTTTCTAATTGTGGCGTTCTTGTCTGTTCCTCCTGTGTATGTCAATATATTGGATTGTAATTATGCGAAGTTAAGGAATTACTTTTTTGGTCATTTTTAGAAGGTATAGCACATCTACTATTGATATATTGTCATGTTTACTTAATAAATTTGAGTTTGATATCAGGCTCAAATTATAGATGATGCTGAATATATGCTAAATGGTAACAAACATATTGATAACATATTTTGCAAAATAATTGGGGAATGATTAGTCACATAAATCAGCTATTATGTATATAATGGTCCTCTGAATTTTCTTACTTTCCCATGCAGCTGTATATCTGAAACAGAGAGAGAAGAATTTGATGATGAAGAAGTGTTGGTATCTAGTGTGATTGTGGCTGGGTTCATTCTTTCTATCTGTACGAAGCTTAAAATGCAGGTAAGTCACACTTATTATGTAGCATTCAAATGGAAAAAGAAATTACTTTTGCCACTTTCATTTTTAACTTATTGACTGGTTTTCAAATGAGATGATGTCTATCAAACTTTCACTGTTGCTGACTGGCTTTTGCTTCTATATTTCAGAAGAGTGTGCATTACATTAAGCAAATCATTGGCAGTGGATGGATTAAAGCTCAGGGGCTAAAATATCTCTTTGTCTCTTTGTATAATATTGGTGTACATATGTACAGAAGTAAGCAAATGAAAGAGGTACTTAATTCATTGAAACTTGCAGTCGTTACATGGTTGGTGATTCTTATTAGTTTTGACTTATGCATGATTTCTTTTTCATTTCTTTATAATTGAAGCATTTTTATGCATGTTTATGGCATGTATTGATGTACATGTTCATGTTTGTAAGCATTCTTGTTCAGTTCAATTGCTTTGCATTTAAGGCCATGGTTCATGTAAGTTATCAATCTATCTTTGCAGGCTTTGAAGGCTTTAAAACTTTCTTATAAAGCATCATGGACTAATATTCAACTTCTCTGTGAGATGTTTAATTGTAAGAAGGTTTGTGATGATCATCTGTCGGAAGATACTATTAGAGATTTGATAACTGACGCATGTACCAGAAGTGCCTTTCTTTTGGAAGTTCTCCATGCATGTGGCAATCTTAAGGTGGAAAGAATTATTGTGGAGAGCCTTGAAAATTGGTCTGCAGCTGCCAATTTGCTTAGACAGTTGCCAGGTCCTATGCCTTTGATAAAACAATGGGTTAAGGTATCATCTTCAAATCTTGTCCTGTTTTCACTACATATTGGTTGTTATGATGGCTGATTGTTCTTTGATTTCAGATACAGTGTAAACTTTCTAAAAACGTGGATGTAGGGGATAGTGCTCCAAGCTTATGTTGTATGCTGTTATCTTCTGCGAAAGTGTCAAAAAGGGCAATAGCCATAATTTTGGAGCAGGTTCAGCCATTTTGTTTATTTATCTATTTTTGCTGTTTTTCCTTTGTTAATTTTATTTAAAATGGCCCTTCCTCTTGCTTGTAGTTTTTTGGTTCTACATGCTTTTGACTAATGGATATTTCTTCCTTTTTTCTTCCTTGAAATTTGTTCAGGAGCTTCTTGCATATCAGGAAATGAATCATGGGTACCCAGATTTTTGTCAGGGAATGCAAATTAAAGTTATTGATTTACTTATGCAAGATGTTTATGCCACAGAAGATAGTCCTCTACAGAAAGCAAGAATTTTAATTAGAAAGGGAAGAGCTCTAAGGGCTAATGGGATTGAAGCTCTGAAGGACTGTATGCGGTGCTTGTCTGAGGCTATATCTATTATGGTAAGGTGATGAGTTCTGCATGGCCTCACTTGTTTATTTTTCTTCGTTGTTGATATAACCCTTAGTTTAGTAGTGATCCTGTTGCTTCATTTTGGTGTTGAATTCATAACTAACCCAAAAAATTATTTAAATAGAAAAACTTCCATGGTGAAACATGTACTTCTGCAACTGCAGCCTGTCATCAATTAGCTGCTGCTTATTGCTTACTTGCACTATGTACCCAGGAAGTTGAACCAAACTCACAGGTATTTTTGTATAAATGTAGTCTCCAGATTTGATTAATTAGTGCTAGTGATTCTTTAGGCTTGACTAATACATTTTTTTCAAGATTAGCAATAAGTGTCAATTGTTACTGACTGCTCATACTTGGTTTTCATCATAAACAGCAAGTTTATCAAGATATCTGTGCTGCCTTAGATTTGTGGTTGAGCATTTTCGTTCCTGACTGTTGTTTCATGGATGATGAGTTCAAAATGGTGTCGGGAAACACACTGCCACTGCTATATAATATGCTTGATTTGCTATCAATTAAGGTGTGCTTATTGATATGATTGGCAACTGTCTGTCAATCATGAAAGTCTATCTGCCTAGAGTTCTGAATATCATTTAATTAATTTTACTTATGATGTTGCTTTCTTACCTTTTTGTCTGCAGGGTTACACAAAATTACACAGTAACATATATAAACTGATTATTAGAATTTACAAATTGAACAATGTGCAACTTGGGAAATGCTTGGCCAACCTTTGGGAATGTAGGAGGCTTAGTCATGCACTTTGCGTTTCTCCAGTAAATGAATCATTCATCACAAACTTATCAGAGCATTGTCGTGAAAGTTCTGAATCCATTGATTTTTGGATACATTGTCTAAGTGGGTCCCAACCAGGACTTCTTGGATTCCAACAGAACCTCACATGTTTCTTTAACACTTCCAACCATGGAAAAAATCATGAAAGAGATTTCCAATCAGCTGTCACAGTTAACAATGTAAAACAGATTGTGTCTGAACTAATTGCAAGTGTAAGTCCTTTGGCTTTCAAGTAATTGCTACATTTTTATTGAATTTTTTTTATGCCTTTGATTAAAATGGTTGGTGATTTGCCTGTTGCTTCTCATAGGATCCTGTGCGCAGTCATTCTCTCTTCCTTGCGGGGTATCTCTACTATGATTTGTGTGAAAGACACATTTCCAATGGGCAATTATTTGAGGTTGAGTTAAAAATTTTGCATGATCTAGCATCATTTTTCTTTCCTTAAATTTTTCTTTATGGTGGAACATTTTAATGAACCTGATATGACATAGGAGTATTTGAAATGAGGATTTTAAACGTTGCCATTAAGAATGTAGCTATCTGCAGTGAAGTAAATTATGGATTTCTCAAAATCACACATGCACTTTTAAAAGGAGCAATATCCATGTTGAACAGGTAAGCTACTCTGTTTCTTTGTTATCTTTTGCACCTTTTAAAAAAAAAATTTGTATAGCAGTGTTTAATGTTGCTCGATAACATTTTGAAGAAGGTTCACTTATTCTAATGGTATAAGCTTGTTTTGTTAGGAAAGCGGAGTATACAGGTTTTGTTCCAAATGCCATAGATGTCAATATGCATGCTGCTGGTGGTTGTTTCACTGTTGTGTTTTGCTTCTCATTTTAATATTTGCAAATGATGCTTCCCTTTTATCTAGCTGTTTAGCCACATGCCTTTTGTTTTATCAATTTTTTCTTCCACAGTAGCTGATCACAAACTTGAACAGTTTACAAATTTATTTGAGACTTGCAATTCATAGTTTTTTCACATTTCTTTTTTTTTTCCTTTTAGTATTTCAAAATTACCTAAAAGTGAAACTTGTTTCATTTAACACCTATTCCCTAATATGCTGTTTTTTGTTACTTTTTCTACCTGCAAAAATGTAAGGGAATATGTTCGGTTTTACAGTTGCATTTTCCCCTTAGAACTAGAAAGATAATCTGTCAGAAAAAGATCTTGAATTGTCAACTCAGCATTATCATTACATTGGATGTAAACTTTTGTAGTTGTTATAGTTGCTAGAAATTATTCAGATTAATTACTAGTATTTGTTTTCTTGAAGGCTGCTCTTTTTATGTTGGCTTATTCTGTGAAAATTTCTTTCCTTTGTTTTATATACATACATATATATATATATATATATATATAGGTATGTATGTATCTCATTCCATGTTGTTACTAATTATGATTTTCTTTTCTAATTGGCCTTTTTCCTACTAGGGCCTTTCATATGCAAAAGAAGCCTTTCAACTGCGGAGTCAACTCTTTAAAAGAAAATTTACATTCTCAATTCAGGAGCAGGTTGAAAAATACAATGAAACTGGTGAGATTGGTGAAATTGCCGTGAAAGTTATAAATGGTCCAAAGAATCTTCAAATACATAGAATAGTTGCTAGTGAACTTTGGTCTTTTGACAGTAGTTCATGGGACCTCTGTGGATGTTATCTTAGTCCATGGAATGTGCTTCAATCTTATCTTGAAAGCATTCTTCAGGTTAGAATTTCTTTCCCTTACAATGTCTGGTTCAGTTCTCCTTACTGTTTTCCCCTTTTTTAGAAATCTTTGTATTTTATTTGATCAACACACTATGACCAGGTTGGATGTATTAATGAAATGACTGGAAATGGAATTGAGGCTGAATCTTTTTTACTATGGGGAAAAAGTATCTCCTGTTCACAGAACTTACCACTATTTGAAGCTGCTTTTTCTTCTGTCTTGGGTATGAAAGTCATAGTGCCTCTCATTTTGTGTCATTGTTAATTGTTCATTCTTACAGTTGCAAATTTTTTTTGACAGTTTACCTTTTGATGATATTAGGGAAATTATATCGTAAGAAACGACTCTGGGATTTTGCAGAGAAGGAACTGAAAAGTGCCAAAAGAATTCTGGTAGACAGCAGCAGCTGTTATTCCTGCATAAAATGCAGATTGATGCTGGAAGTTAATCTCAATCTACAACTTGGTGATTTGTTCCGTAATCTTTCTGATTGTGTTGTCCTAAATAATTCAAATGAGAGATTATCTCATGCTGAATTTCTGTACAAATCAGCCATTGAGAAACTAAATCATTCTGAGTGGAAAAATATCATTTTTGATGAAGAAAGTAATGAGAATCCACCAGTCAGAGCGGCTGTAATAAGTAGTGAAGATGTTGCTGACAATGTTTCTGCCAATCAGCCCAAGGCAATTGATGCCAGAAAGAGTAGGAAAACTAAAAATGTATCAAAATCTGCTCTGAAGGAGCAGCATGTGATACCTGAACGAAGTTCAAGGGTAACTCGTTCTAGACTTCGATCTTCTAAAAGCCAGAGCATGAGCAGTACAGCTGAAGCACAAGTTGGACTTTTGAAACATTCAAATGTTGATGTTGCGTCCAAACTCTCTGACACTTGTTGGGAAAAGGAGTCGTCACTCTTGGGAAAAGGAAGCTGTACGGATGAGTTGAGGAATGAAATTGCATGCATTTGTAAGGGTACTAAGTGTTGGCATTGCCTTCCGACTGAGATTGTGAAATCTGGGTTACTGAACTACTTCATAAATATGAAGTGGGAGTATGCCCGCAGAAAACTTTTGATGAGGGTACTTACTGGTATAGGTATGATGCCTTTGCTTGATATTATTTGATTGTGCATACCAGCATACATACATAACAACATATAAATGCTAGCTAGTTGGCTTTAGGCATGTCATTTTTTTAAATATAAATCCGAATCAATAATGCAAAATATGTGATATTAAACCCTGTTTAAGTGAAAGTAGAAAAAGCAAATTACTTTAATCATTGTTAAGTCAAGTAAAGTGAGCTTTAATGGACATTCTACACTCATCTAAGAAAAAAAGCTAAATGATGGGATCATATTCCAGTCATCTGTCCCAAGACATTGCTTTTGTAGGACAGACAACAGGTTATTACCTTTTCTTCTTTAACAAGCTACTGTTTACAATTTATAACAGTCATATGGTTGTTCTCTGGGCCCTTTTTGAATGGGGAAAAGGGAAGACTAACCCTGCTTATAATTCTTGCCAACATTTTCAAAAATAAACCATCACTTTGGGGAATAATTTGTCAAGGGAACAATCTTGAGAAAGTAAGGCTTAGTTTTAAAGAAAATGTTTCCCTTTCTTGTCAACTAAATGCAATCTTCATTATACATGGAGTTCATATTCAGTTCTCGTTTATATATGTATGAAGTTACGTTTACTCTCAATTTTTTATAACTGTTGTTTTTCATAATTTTAGGAAAATGCTTGTTATATCATGATGAAACACATGAGATACACAAAGTTGTTTGGCAAAGCTTATCTGCCCTAGTTAGCAGAACCACATTGCCCCTGACTTTTTCCTCTGCTCATGGCGCTTTCTTGCTTGATTTGATTGGGAAGGAAATCTTGGGAGATACTTTTGCTGTTGAACGTGCAGCAATCCTATACTGCATAGGTTGGATAACTGTGAAGAATTTCCATTCCAAAGATAGCAGGTATTTGTGCTTGTGATGTTTACTTGTATTCAGGTTTGATAAGTGGTTGTGCTTTAAGGAAGTTTACATACTTTATTTTCTGTCACTTTTACCTGAAATTGTGTTTTATTGTGAATTGATATACTAGCTGATAAGCTATATCCTACATTATTCAAAAGGCCAGAAGAAAGTACTTTAGTTCCTTTTTCCATTATTTTACTTTTTGTTTTTTTTTTAAGAAAATATTTCCTGCAATTTCCCCTCTTAAATTCTTTTGGATTTGCAGAAATTTCATTATATTCTATTACAGTATCAAAAGACATTGACAATTTTACAGGAGGATTATATTATAATTTGAATATCTGATAATTTGCTCTTCTAGGCTAAGCCTTGATTTGATGTAAATGAGGTCTGCTGCATGAATTCTCTGTGCCCTTCTGATTTATTACTTGCAATATCCTCTGTTAAGTTGCAGGATATTTACACACATCCATGTATGTATTTATATATGTTTTTAGGTTCACATGTATCTAAAATAAATAAGGACTCTGGTGCATTAGTAAATTACTAATATCAGTTTTATGAGTGTATGTTTTGTATTAAGTACTTATTTCTTTCCCCCTTTTCGGTTTATATCTTTGAACAGGATTGTATGCTGTGATCTGTCCAATGTTCAGTTATCAAAAATAGTACACTGGTTGAAGCTAGCCTTTGTACTCTGTCGTGAGGTTCCTGTTCTTTTTCAAAAGGTTGAATTTTTTTATTATTCTGACCTTTTCTTCATGCTTGTATGAGTTTAATATAGTCTTAGGTATAGTTTTTTATTTTAACTGTTCAATTGTGGTTTGATGTAAAAATTTTATGGTGGCATACTTGGTCTAATGTTTTGAAGCATATATTGTCTAGTGACTTTGAAATTCTTCCTGTTTAGTTTATTTTTATTATGTATGTTTACATTTGAGCTAAGCATATTAGCTGTTATTTGACAGCTAATTTACTTGAAGTGAAAAACCTGTTTGAAATTTGATTCTTTTTGCCCCTAATTAAATTACTTTTTCCTAATTTTATGATCTATGATTAGCATTGTAATAAATAATTGCCACCTTAAACTAGTTCTTGAAACTTTTTTTTTCCTAAAAGTCTTATACACCCAATCTATATGAAATCTCTCTAATTCAAGTTCACTAAAGTCAATATTGAAGTTTTGCTTCAGAACTGTTGATTTACAGATTTCCTAACACCTACTGCACCTACATGACTGTAATGAAGGAAGAGCTTGTCATACAGTTAAGCCAAATTTGATTGCCTGGACTACTTTTAATTTACTTGTGAAATTTAAACCTAGAACCTATTCATTTGTCAGGGAGTTTCTTTACAATTTCCATTTATTGTTTTTGCAAGTTGCTTCGGACAAATTTCTTTTGTTAACTATTTTAATTGTTTGTCCTCTCTATTTCTTTTTCTCTAATGTCTTTGCCGTTGAATCTTGAATTTTTATTTTAATACACAGGTTTCCAGATTGCTTTCTGCAATATATCTGCTTTCTGCCACTATTGAGCACTTTGCTTTGCCATCTTGCAAAGCACTCTCTGAAAGTCATTGGGCTTCATTTTTTCATCAAGCTTCACTTGGGACTCATCTTAACTACCAATTCTTTCCTAATACCAGTGGGAGATCTAATGCTCAACCCTTTGTCGATTCCAGGGTAGGTCTGCACACTTACCATCTTGTCTGTTCCTTGGTTGCATGTTCAAGATAAAATAGCGTGACAAGTTGTTGGCCAAAGGTTTATAGCTATATTTTCTTTGTAAATATCTAAAAATTGGAAGCTTTATTGGTTTTTTTTATCTCAATTGAAATGCTTGTTACAAAAGTAGTGTTAAAATGACAAGCTATTTAACATACATTATATAGTTGAACTACATTCTGCTGCTTTCTGTTCTCAGGAAATATCTTGCACATAAAGAGTCATTCTGAACTTGGTGCAGACTCCTTGTTCATGTTTAATTATGCTATTGGCAATATTTGTTATGCTATGATAAATTCCTGTTTGGTCAGGACTAGGTGCTAATTTATGGCGTCTTGCCAACTCCTCTTTCTGTCTTTTATATTTATTTTTCTTTGTTATTTTACTATTTCTTCATTACTGGGATTGCCACTTTCTATCTCAAGCTGCAGATCTTCAATGTATTGTCAAAGCAACTGCTTCTTTACTTTTTGAATTTTGAGTTGTTGGTTTTTCGTTTTCAGGACTTGCATGTGATTGGTTCATCTTGCCTAGATACAGAGACATCCACCTTGTTAAGGTTTCTGCTGCTTTATGTGCAAAATTAAGAATATTTCCTAACTTAAAGTTTCCCCTTAACCCCCACCTACGCAGACACACACACAAAAAAAAAAAAACTCTTATTCTTTCTTCTTTTTATCGTGGTGCAGGCTTGCTCCTGAATCCGTTAATAATCTTGAACAATTTGTGATGAACTTTCTTGTGGGCCTTCCTTGCACCACCATCATCTGTATAAGTTTGCTTGGGCGTGCTTATACTGGTTTATTGCAAGAATTGCTACTTTACCCTTCTTCCATTCAGGCATGGATGCTGTTGTCCCGGTTGAATTCTAAGAATCAACCTGTTGTTTTGCTTTTGCCCCTGGATTCAGTTTTAGAAGGTATATTCTTTGATAGAAATTTGTATAGTTGAAAATTAAGAATCAACCTGTTGTTTTGCGTTTGCCCCTGGATTCAGTTTTAGTAGGTATTTTCTTCGATAGAAATATGTATAATTGAAATTAACAATGTATTAATCCACATAACTGTTAGAAGGATGCTAAAAGATTTTCTAAATACTCTATCTGAAGTTTCAGATGCCGCTGCTCCTGATGATGATAATGCAAGAGCTTGTCAGGAATTGCGCCAGCAGATGAATTCGAGTAAAAAGTGGCATTGTCCATGGGGATCCACTGTGGTTGATGATGTAGCTCCAGCATTTAAAGTGATATTGGAAGAGAACTTCATAACAACTTCCGGATATCCTTTAGAAGATACAAAAAGTATTCGGTCTTTGTGGTGGACGATTAGAAAGAAGGTTGATCAGCAACTTGGTAAGCTGCTGAGGTAGGTAATCTCTCTCATTAAACATTTGTCCATTCATTTATGGCGTAATTAATGTGATTTGGAATTGGATCACCATTCGCCAACAGGTGTTCATAAAACTTCGTTCTTAGGTTCTTCAACTTTTATCTCCTTTCTGCTAAATGTCTCTAAAGTACTCAAAGTTCATATGAAATTTACAGCATTTCATGTTGAAATTGAAAAGTGATGTATGAAATATTCTGTGCTTGGCCTGTGTTCCAGTAATTTAGAAGATTCATGGCTGGGCCCCTGGAAGCATGTGCTTCTTGGGGACTGCTTGGACTGCAAAATCTTGAACACAGTGCACAAGAAGCTGGTGCGGGATCTGAAATCTAAATGCAAAATGGACATAAATGAGAGTTTCCTTAAACTTGTTCTTGGAGGTGCAAAGTTTAACGTTGAAGAAGCATGTCTTTCACAGCAGTGTTTAAAAAAAGGATGCTACATTGGCATGCTTGAACATCGTGGAGAAGAAAATTGCAGGTCTAATGGCATTGATAATATTTCTTCATTGGCCTCTCAACTAATATCTGAAGCAGTGAATGAGCTTCATGCGGAGGGGACCATCTCTAGGGAACCAATAATTTTAGTGTTGGACTCTGATGTCCAGGTGGGTGAAATTGCTCTGGCTATATTTTCATCTTGGGGTATATGAAGATAGCATATGAATTGTCTTGCTTCAAGAAGAAGTGTGTCCTTTAATAGTAATTGCATTTTTTCTCATCTTGGCTTTTGCTGGCATCTTCTTGATTTGATGGTTCATTTTTTTCAACCTTTCCCCTTCGAAAGTCCCTTTTGTTCTTTTTATATTGTGACAACTGACTAGACAAGGACTGTGTGCAGATGCTTCCTTGGGAAAGTATACCAATACTAAGACAGCAGGAGGTTTATCGAATGCCTTCGGTAGGCAGCATCTCTATGACACTTGAGAGAAATTGGCATTATCAAGAGCAAGTTGATGGGAAAGCTGCTGCTTTTCCTTTGATAGATCCCTTGGATGCATTTTATTTGTTAAATCCAAGCGGTGATCTCAGCAGCACACAAGCTGAATTTGAGAACTGGTTTCGGGATCAAAATTTTGAGGTGATTTTCCTGTTTCATTTCTGTTTACTTGTATCTGTGTTTCTCCAATCTCTACTCATCTTTAAATCATTTTCTTTATATGAAATTAGTTCAGTAAATAAACTCTTTCTTAATGACCAATATAGGGAAAGGCTGGAACGGTGCCAACAACTGAACAACTGGCTACAGCCTTGAAAAGCCATGACCTTTTCTTATATTTCGGCCATGGAAGTGGTATGTTTGTTTCTCTTATCATCTGCTGTATTTACTCGTGCCACTGCCATTCTTTTGTTCAAAATTTCCTTCGCATTAGTTTTGGATAAACATTTGTGTGGTTCTGGTCATATAGGAGAGCAGTACCTTTCCAGAGATGAGATTCAGGAACTGGATAGGTGTGCTGCTACCCTGCTAATGGGTTGCAGCAGCGGCTCACTGAGGCTAAATGGATGCTACATTCCAAGAGGTGTTTCACTATCCTATCTACGGGCTGGTTCTCCTGTTACTATAGCCAACTTGTGGGAAGTGACAGACAAGGACATTGATCGATTTGGTAAGGCCGTGCTTAATGCTTGGTTGAGAGAAAGAATGGATCTGGCTGATTGTTCCCAATGCAACCAACTGGTCAAAGAATTTGAGGCAATGAAAATAAAAGGTCGTAAAGGAAATTCCAGGAAGAAAGTTGCAAGTAGCAATTTAGCAGAAACTACAGATGGTGGTTCATTTAAAAATGCATGTGACCACAGACCGAAGATCGGATCATTCGTTGGTCAAGCTCGAGAAACTTGCACCCTCCCTTTCTTGAATGGGGCATCCCCGGTATGCTATGGTGTCCCAACAGGCATACGAAGAAAGATTTGTGTCAAATCGAAAGAGACCCCTCAAAAGTGCCTTGGAAGTGGAATGCTGTTTTAACATTGTATATGTATATTACAAACAGGAAAAGTGCGTTTTTTCTTCTCATGCTCAAGCTTGATATTTATTTATTGAATCAGAATCCATCAGTGCTTGCAATAATCATGGACCAGATGAAAATTTTCCCAGGCATATGGCCTAAGGGTTCAGTGAAGATCAATAGAACAATCACTCAAAAGTACCTGCAACAGTTTAACAGCAAAAGCAGTGTCAAGGTTCTGTAGCATTTGAAGACTTTTCAATCTACATTATTTCTCTGCGTTCCATCCTGTGAAAAGGCCTGAGGTTTCTCTCGAACAATAAAAGTTTATATACATTGGGGGTCGATGGTTAACATAAGAAATTAAACTAATAGAGGAAAGGAAAAGGAATTAGGAATACATCCAAGTGACTACACAACAACAAAAGAAAACAGCCGTCTTTTCCACCATTCACTTTCACAGCCAGCCTTATGATATGCCCCCTAAAATGAATGATAAAGTAAATCAATGCGAATTCAAAGTCTAATCTTTATGTGTTTTATCTAATTTTTTCCTAACACTATGGATACTGCTTTGATCTATATTTGACCCCCAATGGCTTCTCTTTGTCTCCGTCTTCTGCCCGAACGTCCCAAAAGAAGTCTGCCATCCCGGCGTAGGCGGCTAACCAAAGAAATATTGCCACCATCATCATCGTCATCATTACTAAAATCTTCATCAACTTGATCAGAGAAACCCAGACCCCCAACAGGAGAGGTGTGGCGAATACCAACAGCAGTCTCATCTTCTGCATGTGCATGCTGCCTTGGTCTTCTACCAAGGTCATTAGCAAATGACCTTAATGCAGGCAGCAGAAAGAAATTCACAAAATTACTATCTACCTCAAAACTTCCATTCCTTTCTGCAGCATCTGCATTGAGACCATCCTCTTCATTTCTATCAAAACCATTATGATCTTCTTCTATTACATAATCACCCAAAACCATTGCCCCTGGGATTGTTAACCTTATTGTGCTGATCACATCCTCCCACTCCCATTCAAGCCTTCTCCAATTCTGTTCAAGAGCAGGATCCACTATGCGTGGCCTAGCATATGGATGATCTGCTCTCATGTGTTTCCTTAGTTCTTTAAAATTCCCAACAAAGGAACAGTCATCCTGCATGCAGCTTCTCTTTTTAGCATTTAAATATTCCCTTGCAGGTTCCACCACAGTCCATCCTTTCACCTGACCCCTGCAAAGTGGACATGCAAGTTTTGTTACTCCACACTTCTCATTAGGCCAACCGGAACCTGGTGTCAGATCAGAACCATACAAGGCTTCTTCGTGATTGGATGAGACTACTTTATTGCAGAACTTCTTGTACTGGTCAAGGCAGTTTGAGTATCGGAAGCTAGTTCCACACATGTAGGGCCGGCAACCCTTGTCATGGGATGAACAAAGAAGAAGAACAGCATTGTGAGGGCACTCCATGCAAATAGTACACGTTGCATCTTCCCAATCTTTCTTATCCAAAGCTTTGGAACATTTTTTAGGGTACAAATCCCCAGGGGTCCCTTGACAACGAAAGAGCAACGAGTATGGGTTTGACCTGTATTGCCCCAAAGCAATTCTTCGTCCTCTGCTACCTCTCGCCATTTACAAACTACACCTCGTAACAATGTTGAAAATCAGAAAATCTAATCACAGTAGAAATAATCTAAAGTCCGACATATAATGGTAAAAGCAGATCAATTACTCAGTGCGTCTCTCAATTTTTCTAAAGCTAATGGTAACTTTAGGCCCAAAAACAATAACATCCAAAACATATATGGAAGAAAGTAACGCACCTTATCTATACTTCCGTAATATTATTTTGGCATCCTGGGTTTTATTGTGTTGGGTGATATCCAAGGAGTTCCGAATGGATCATATATGTTCGAGTTAAGGTCTATCTCTTATAAACTTACTAGCAGCAAAGTCCTAATTTCAAATCTAAAGTATTAAAGACTAGTCCAAGATCCAAAACAAATACATGTAATCCTTAAAAGAACAATGAGATACTTTGATCATTGAGGCAAGATTCTCAGTGGTCTCTCTCAACATACAGATGCAAGCAGGCACATTTCTTTCTTGTTCTCTCTCTTCTATGTCCCTCCAAACACACCAATTTACCAAAACTAAATGAGTAATAGGCATAAAAGAAGGCTTCCACATGTCCAAACTGGATAAACAGTCTATCTAAAGAAACATCGAAGATGTATCTGTATGCAATCTTAGTCCAAAATCAGAAATCTGCTTTACTAGCAGCTAACCGTTTAGGCTGCTAAATTGATCACAAACGAATAATTAACAGACAACATCTGATATTTCACGGCTGTTACCACTAAGAACTTCATGCTGCAATACTCAAACAACATAAAATGATAACTCCCCTTCTAATCTCACAAAGCCATTTAAGAGTAAAGCATGACCAAATCCACCAAAACATTGAGCTACATTATGCCCTTATCCTCCTCTCTATACTCTATTACATTGATATGACCTTTTCTAATATTGAAATGTTTGTAAGAACTTCTCTTCATGGTGACACAATAAAAAGACCTACAATTTGGGGGGTAAATCCCCATAGCTAAACCATAATACCACAAATTATTATCACATCATCAGCAAACAGAACCTCCCTGTCCTCACCATCCTTGCAAAGTGAAAGTGCTAGAGAGCAATCCATCAATGACATGAAAATTTAAGTTAACATAAAAAGAAAACCAAAATTCAAGCTTCATAAACCATAACCATAATGAAAATCCAGGAGAGCTTATTACCTACAATTATTGTAATACAATTAACCAATCACAATTTAGAATTATGTACTGGACCCACATTTATAGGTGGTGAACCCCTACATAACTCTTTGTTGTGATTGGACAATTGTAACATTCTAGCATAAAGAATTATAGGTGAAATGCCCCCGAAAATCCTATCATATACTGTTATCCTCGATAAAATTCACATCCTTGTTTCATTACACAAGTAAAACCATAGCCAACATACAACCAAACTCGAAAACATCAATAAAAGAGAAAACCCTTCATACAATTCACATCCATGCTCCATTATACAAGTGAATTAGATCATCCTTGAAATTGAACATAGCAAAAGAACAATCCCAATCAATGGGCAACCCAAATATGACGTGACAATTCATAATTTAAAAGGATGAACTTGAAAGAATCTCACCTGTCTGAAAAAATTGTGGAAATCTAGATCGAGGATGATGGGTTAGTTGGAGAAACCAAGTTGCATCTGATAACAAAACATCAAGAGTTAATAGATTTATTTATATAGATGGATTTAAAGAATCAAAACGACGTGCTTTAGCAACAGATTCACGCAATAATGCAGTTAATGAACTGATTATATGGTCAGAGAACATGAAACTACGATTTTACCCACATGGGACTTTAGACTTTATCCATCTAAGATCTCCAACTATCGAATTCAATATTTAATTTTTGAAATAAAAGATAAAAATTAAAATAATTCATTAAAAATAACAAAGAAAAAGACTCTTCAAAGCTTAAAATGTAAAAATGAAATTTTCCCATATTTTGTTCTCCTTTTGAGAAGAAAATCAAAAGTTTCGAGAGTAAATAAATAAGACACGAAAATTCGACGGGGAAAAAATAAAGATAAGACGACGGACTTACCAGGGAAGTGTTGGGAGTAACGAAGAGCAAGAATTTGAAGTAAAGGAAAAAAAATGATATTGAGAGAATGAGAGAAATTTATAGGGTTTCGATTGGCGACGAAATCGGAAAAATTCGCACGAAACCGAGGGATTGGAAGAGAGGGAATGATAGGCGCCCAGAGGTTTTAGTTGAGAGAGTAGCGTAGAGATATCTCGACGAATTGGATTAATGGGTTTTTTTCCTGGGTGATTGAGAAAGCTGGGAAATTTCACGCGTCATGAAAATGATGTGCAATTCACGCGTCGTAAAAATGGCTCAATGTCCAGTGTTAGGTGACGCCAGCTCCGATGGCCATTCACGCTCTGTCACAAAAAAGGGTTAGCGGCTCACGTGCCTATGACGGTTGAGTAAAAGGGCGGCTTTCTGCTGCGCTGTCTGTCTTTTTTTTTTTTCTTTTCTTTTTTGGGAAATAAATATTGGAGAAATTTTTTCCTCAATCTCTTTTTTTTTTTTTTTTTTAAATTTAAATAATTAAATGATAAAGGATTTGCTCAATTTCAAATTTTCCTTAAAGTGATTATCGTTTAAAGTATATTTTTATTTAAAGGAAATGTTAATATGTGCTAAGGGTGATATTTATTAAAACATTTTCTTTTAATGTCTTTAATTTTTTTTAATTCGTTGAAATTAATATATTAAATAATGATTTAACTAATATTAAAAATATATATAAGCTTTCATTAATCTTAAATGAATTTACAATTCTATCTATTTTTTCTCTTTTGAAAACATGAGAAATCCTAAATTCAAGGAGTTCAGAGAGAAGCTCAAACCTGCCAGCAGGTGAAAAAAAAAGTTCAAATTTGTGTCCATTGCTTTTCTTTTTTTCTTTTTGTTGATCTTGTCTGGGTTTTGCTCAGATTCTTCCTTGGTTCAAACAAAGTGATGCTAATTGCACTAGGTCGTTCTGCTTCTGATGAGATTTGACCAGGCATTTGCAAAGTTTCTAAGGTATTGCAGTAACTTATTTCTTTGTATAAAGGAAAGCCGTAACAGGAAAAGGATAGCAGGTGCTGGAATTCGAATCCAGGCATGGATTATATGCTTCTTTTTCTTTATTGTATTTAATTACCATTGTCATTGAATTGTTTTATAGCTACTGCATGGGAATTCTGGACTTTTTCTTACCAACATGCCTAGGAAGGAAGTTGAGAGGTAACTATGTCTGATATCTTAGTTTTGCATTACAACTGTTTAGGTTGTCACTTGTCGCAATTCAACTTTAGGTTCACTTGTTTATGCTTTTGGTTTATTTTCTTATGATTTTTTTGCAGCTTGTTTAATAAAATTGAAGAAACTGATTTTGCAAGGACAGGAAGCATTGCAGCCGAAACGGTTGAGCAAGACAAAGCTCTTATGATTCTACATTATATCTTATTACCATGATGCAAAGCTTATGATCCTTGATTATTAACTTTTGAATGTGCATGTGCTTTCTATTGTTTCCAGGTGGAACTTTTAGAAGTTCCTTTGGATCAGTTCACGCATGAACAAGGAAAGCCTGTTCGGTTGAACAAAGATCATTTATTGTTTCCTCTGTTATCATTGATTGGGAAAAAGTCTTAATCCAATTAAAACAACGAAAAAAAATAATCAATCATATAAGATATAATAATTTAATATAATTTGATCAAATCAATTTATATTAACGGATGAAAAATAAGATCAATTAGTTGTTAAAAATTACAAATATATAATTATATTAACCACATTAATACCCATGTCATTTTTAATCTCTTTTAATTTTATTGAATATTTTTAACTTAAATAAATACAAATTCATATATATTAATGTACCTATATTTATGTGACTTTTTCAGTTTCTTCTAGTCCATTCAAATATACACATCTATAAGTACGTTAATCTCCAACAATCTTATGAGATGTTTATCTCATAAAAACTTATAATTTTCTTGCATTTTTTTTATATTCAACCTTATAAAAATTTTACATATTTATAAATATATAAATTTATCTATCAATAATTATTTTGCTCTTAAAATTTTTTTTATAAATCTTTTTATTCATTAAATAATATATAATCAATTTCAAATAAGTTTATTATGTGATTTGAATTACTATTCTTGACATTCAACGCAACATATGTATATATTATGGTTGAATTTACATATTAACTTTGTTCATGGCGTACAGGTGCTATAGAACTTGTTTCAGACTTTGTTATCTGCGAGGAGGGAAAGCCTTTGTCACCTCAGTCAGCTCGGATACCGGTGTGTTCGTATTTTATACCTTGATTTTCCTAGTTATACTATACTCCTGTTAGCGAGGGAATTTTTGATAAATAATAGCATCAATCGTTTCTTTAGAGTTATAAAATATAAGATTTAATAATAGTATCAGTCGTTTACTATTAGATATAATTAGGGGTATACATTAATACTTATAATTTATTTGAGTTTAATTCGAATAAAATTTAAATTCGATTTGATTATTATCGAGTTAAGCTCGAGTTTGAGTAATTCGATTCATTGATCTAGTCGAATTTAAGTATTCTTATATTCAGTTCGAATAGCTCGCGAGTTTAATCGAATTTTTATATTTAAAATTTTTTTATTATTTTAATTAATAAAATATTTTGAATTCGATTTCGAACTCGAGTACAAATAATCAAATTTTTATTGAGTATAATAATCGAACTTATTTTTATATATTTTTGAACTTAATCGAACGAATTCGAATAATTCAAATTCGATTACGAATCAAATTCAAATTAAAAAAATAAAATTCGATCGAATTCGAATTGAGTATCGAATAATAAATTAAAAATCAAACTCGAATTTTTCACTATATAAATTCGATTCCACTCGATTACATCCTTTAATTATAATTCTTTTATGCATCAAATAGGTAACCTGATTTTGGTCCCCATGTGTCTCTTTCGAGCTCAAATATTGATGATGTTTTATTTATTTGCAGCGATTGTCGGGGATCAGAATGGCTAGTCTCCGGCTACACTTGATCAGCAGATGGAGCCATTATTGCTAGCCATTGATTTTTATTTGTTTTTGAAATTTCACTTTGATCCTTGGATTATTTTCTTTTAAATTTGTTTTTGTTTTTGGCCACTTAAAGTGGGGATATTATAATTCCATTTTGCTCCCATATACTTAAGGTATTTCGACTTTAGTCCCTTTAACTTTCCAGTTTTCAAATGGCTCTTACTTTTGTTAACTTTGTGTTTTTAACCATGAGAGATACATCAATTCTATGCTAATGGGTAACAAAATAAATTGAAAACAAAAAGTGGATGATACAATAAAAGAATGTACAATTTGAGGCAAATTCCAAATGAAATTAGAAGTTGGTGCAATTTTATTTAAAATTGTCTTTTGATAAATCCTGTTCTCCCAATCAAACACCCAATATTACTACAAAGAAGAAACATCATGATTACAATACCTAATTCATGCATCAGGAATTCAGGATAGGAGACTTAACAATGCCATTTCAGTACCTGTTTTATTTGCTTCTCCTTTTCTCATGTTCAGGTACAAATTAAAGAATGCCACTGCATGATATGGACAAATGACAAAGAAATCTACCAGCTCTCAACCCACAGCCTACGTATGCAAAGATCAATGTTCGGTAACAGATTTGCTCCCTTTGCGTGCTAATTCGAAGAACTTTTGCTCCAAGGATAACATGTTTATCTTCCGGTGGGCTCTGGTCGAGGTGGCTCGACACTATTGAACAAGGTTGATTAAGAGAATGTTCCACCTAGAGATTTTACTCGCTTTTATCCTCTTCTGAGTCATCTTCCTGATCAGAGACACCAGCATTTCCATTCTTTCTCTCCTGCTTGACTAAACCGACATCCCCATCAGGCTGCCCCCTAGTTAGAGATTGAGCTTCTTCACCATCAAATTCGTCCCCCACATCTTCTGAGTACGCATACCTGAGGACACAAAGAAGTGGCCAAAATACAGATGAAATTAAAGCTATGAGATACTTGTATCACCCCTCAAAAATAGTCATGACAACCTATCTACGGGGGAAGATTCCTGTCTACTTGATTGCAGATTCTAACTATAAAGCTATAAGTCCTCAAAGTAACACAAGGTCTCCAGGTGTTCTTCCTTATGGTCATCCAGCAGGCCAAAACCTCAGGTGACATACCATTTAATCATTTTTAAATTGAAAAGTGAAAAGGTTAAAGCTAGCCAATTGACTCACTAAAACTTCTACAAGAACTAAACACACCGTTGGGAGCTCTGAGATGGAGCCCAAAGGTAGCAAATAACACAGAGTAGTGCAAATGAAAGAATGTCCCAGAAAGCTGTGATGATCCAAGCACTCTGCCACCTCTCATTGAATGGATCTGCTGCTTTGAAGTATACCTGTAGTACCAAACAAAGCATATCCATGATAAATTGAACCATGGGTATCTTACTAAGGCTACATAACAGTTTTAAGTACAATAAATTATTGACTTTCTTGCAACACTTCATACATATTTGTCATTCATCCATGAAATATGATATGCAAACACCAACCAAGAAAGAAACTGAAATCCTGACAAAAAAATACCTCGTAAGTTAACCATGCAACTGAAGCAATCACTGCCATGGCTAATGCATTTGAGAATTTCCTGTATAGGTCCAATTTTACAGATACTCTTTTAACCTGGATGAAAATAATATCAGTTATCAGAAAGAATAAGCACAGTTATTGCAATGAAAAAACTTAAGGTCAACCATAAAACAGAAAAAGCACATTTTGAAATACCTGTAGCTGCTCCAGTGTTTTTGAAAGAGATGTAAAGATCCACAATATAAAAAATGCATCCAGAAATGCATCAGGAAGGACTAGGAAGAGTCTTGCTCTCCCAGATATGTCATTGATGGTCCCTACATACTCGGTAATGTCCAGCAATTCAGATGCCAAAAAATAAGTTGCCCCAAGAAGAAGCACCTTTGAGGTAAGGCCACCTAAAGTTGGGCGTACAACACCATAACCCATTGAAACACAAAGAATGAGAAGTCGAGAGAGTGTTTTTCTTATTGCCCCAACTGTCACAACCCAAGTTGTAATTATAATGGGTCTCATCCCCGTATTGTTAAAATTTGCATAGTCAAAATACCACAACACCATTTCAAACAAACCCAGACCAATGATAGCAGTGATGCAGTGCTGAAGTAGCAGGATATCCTTCCAAAACCTCATGTACTGCGAGAACCAAATGGCACTAAGTAACAAATAGGCAATTGCTATGTAAACATAGAACTTCATCAATGGAGCCATTCTTCCAGGTAAATAACCATCAGGATTCTTCCACACGGTCTTCCCACTCATTACTGTTCCCTTGAGTTTTGAATCACATGCTATAAAAAATAAATTGTACATCCCAGTCTTCATGATGGGAACCTCTGCGTTGTCCATACTTGTGGATAAATGGTTCCCACCGAACTGTATGTTTAAAACAATTGGCCAGTTAATATCTGTTGCTGAAGGCATCCTAATGACTTCACCTTGCTTGCAACCTTCCAGCTTAGCAAGATCAGGGGTGCAACATATTGATCTCTGTCCACCATAAGCTGAACCACCAATATTATTTCTATCAGCAGCCTCAAAAATCACCGCTTGTATCAACCCGGTACTATGTTCCATGTCATTATGTTCATCTGCATCAGCCTGGGTCCTCCAGAATGTGATATTCTCAAATCTATGCAAAAGTTACATGTAAGGCATCAAATTTTGAAAATGGAAACGTTTAATTCAGCACCAAAGTTCTAGTTTAACTTAAGGATAGACATAATTGTTCACATCTATGGCTACATAAAATTTTGAAAAGCAGCATTAATAAATATTTTAACAAATGATAATGGCACAGAAAGCTTGGATCTGCTCAAATAACCATATTCAATTCAATATGCAATTAATAAATAGTAAAAATTTGAAAATCAAATTTCTTAATTTTTCAAAAATTTTTTTTTTTTATAAAATGACTAGCCATTGATCCCACTGATCCTTATTTGTTCGTGAAATTCTAAAAAAAAAAAAGGAACAATAATGCATCTTCCATTGATCCTCATAAATACAACTGAGCATTAATAATTTTCTAACAGATCTAATCCAAAATCGATAAAAGAATGCCACATTCTTCGTTTAAAACTTTCATGAATTGACTTTACCAGAAATGAACGATTTACATTTTCAAATAAAGGAAATGTTTCGTTAATCTTACCGAATAAAGGAGCGGCCATCGGTGGCGGACTTGTAGGAGGAGAGAGAGGCGGTGAGGCCTTCGCTGCCACCGGGAAGAAGGTAAGCATTGCCGACTTCATTGAAGAGTTGTTTCTGATAAATGTGGATTGAAGCGTTGATCGTTGTTAAGGAGGTTGATAATAGAACAAAGATTAAAACGCCGATTTTCTTTATGGCTATTTGAAATGCGGAATCCATGGCGAGGAATTGGGGGGGATTAGTCTTAGGCCTGACCAGAAAAGCGAAAGTAGATCGGCGAATTTGAGGGGTGGGGGAGAGATTGAGTGAGAACGAAGCAATCGCTTAAGCAAAGCATCAAGCAAAATGTTTCTGTCGGTGAGAGGGGATTATGTTAACGTGCCCCAGAAGCGCGTCTGCGTGGTGGTGGTCTTATAATTTTTTTTTTAGAAATATTCTATTTCTAGTTTCTGGTATAGTTCTGGTAGTATTTAATTTTATATTTTTAAGAGTAAGAAAAAATTTTAAAAATTTAAAAATCAATTTGAAATTATAATAATTGATTTTAATTTTTTAATTTAATTTAAATTAAATTCAGATATTAAATATATACATTAAATTTGAATCAAATTTTGAATAAAAATAAAAATAAAAAATTGAATTGAATTTAATTATATATTTTTATTAATTTTAAATATATTTTAAATTTTATAAAATAAAATAATTATTTTTATTTAAATTTACTTAAACATATTAAAATTATATTAAAATAAAAATTTAAAAATTTAAATTTAAAAAATTGATGAACTAATCAATTCGTATAAGATTTTATATAAGTTAAATTTAGATTCAGATTAAATTTTAAAAATTTATAATTTTATGTATTATTACAAAATCAAATAAAAAAATAATTATTTTATATTTAAATTTACTTAAATATATTAAAATTATATTAAAATAATAAATAAAATAAAAAAATCTAAAATTTAAAAAATTGATTAATTGAATCAAATTAATAAAATTTAATTTATATTAAATCGTATATAAATTTGATTTAGATTCAAATCAAATTTTAAAAATTCATAATTTTAAATTTTTTTCAAAAAATTAAATCAAATCAAATCTATATGAACCTTATTTCATAATTTTTATTGACTTTTAATATATATATATAATTTTATATTAATAAAATAAAAAAATGTATAATTATTTATATGTTGTTGACCATGAAGTTTATATTAGTTTTTTTTTTTTTTGGGTAATACAAAAAAGTTAGTTTATTTAGTTTTATTTTTTCTTTCATTATGTAATTTATATTAACTTATGAGCTTAAATTCCACAACAAAGTTAAAAAATTATCAAATTATAATACATTTAAAAATAATAATAAATTAATATAATAAAAAATATGTGACATAAATTTATTTAAGAAATAATAATTTAAATAATATTGATTTATCAATGTATGAATGTATGAGATAATAATTCAAATAAGACGTTCAAATAAATTAATATCTTTACTAGTAAAAAAATAATAAAATAAGTAACAATTCATATTCAAATCAAATTTGATTTAACTTAATATAACAATTGAATCTAATTTAGTTGAATATAAGTTATTATTTTGTTTTCTCAAACTTGTTTTTTATGGTATCAACTCAATCACAATGTTTTGTTTTGACAAACATTTATTTTTTTGAGGTTATATCCTTAATTAATGTTGCTCACTTGATATTGTAACCAAATTATATTTCTAATCTAATAAAAATAAAATGTTTATAATTACTATCTAATCTAATAATTTAAGAACAACTATACAATTTGATAACTTGAAATTTAGTGGTTCATCAAACGAGTAATAACTCAAAATAACAAAATTCTCTTAATAATGGAAACGAATTTTTTCCTTAAAAAATCATTTATATTTTATTTTATAAAATATAAAAAAAAAGGCAATGACATATTGGATAAATCCAGCCATTAACCAATAACGGGTCAATTAATGGTTAATACGCCACATAATTACCAAAAAGGCCAAAAGTGTAAGAAAACATAATGACGTGGCAGAATCCTAGTGGAACTGGGAACGTATTGATTTAAATGACCGAAATGCCCTTCACCGCTCCCTGACTCCGCTGTTATTATCCGCTTTGTAACGCTCTCATCTCAGTGAAAAATTTTGGCTCTCAATTCTCTCATTTTTTTCACAATCCTGCTCCGGTGCTCTCTCACTCACTTTCTCCTTTGGCGGTGGTCAAAAGGGAAGTTCCGGTCGTTGCAGGCCATTACCCCTTAGTTTTTGGTATAATCTCCCCTTTGTCTACTATCTAGGGTTTTTTCAGTTTTGTTGTTCTTTATATCTTCTCTCTTTTCAATTTATCTTGGCGCTTTTTGGGTTTGTATCTTTTTTTTTTCTGTACATTTCGATAAGGATAGGAGCGAGGGAAATGGAGTTGAACCTTTGACATTGATTCTTGAATGGAGGGTCAGGGCTTCTTTTAGGTTAATATAAGTAAGCATCATTACCGGAAGATTTGCTTGGCATGTTGTTTTGTTATAAATTTGTTGCCCATTTATTGTCCTTCTTATTTGCGTCAAGATTTGGCTATGGGTCTTGGATTCTCAGGGTTTGGAGTAAGAATTTGCTATCATAACCAGTTTTAGAAATTTCCCATGAATGCTTTGATTTTTTTTTTATACTTATTTTAGCAATTCATCAGAATAATGGATTCAAACGAACAAAAAGTACTTGAGAATGTTTTAAATAGTTTTTATGATGCTGTCTATTTGCCATCTGGCATTAGAAATTAAGAATTACTTAACAACGGAGAAGGTGTTGATGGGGTTGAATTCACGCATCATTGTTCATACTTGTTTTTGGCCCATAAATCCTTGTCTTGGCTTGGCTTATAGTTATTGCAAGATAACTGATGACTGTTGACAAATGATCAAATACATGTAATTTCTGAGCATTTGCACACCGTATGTAGAGGATACACATTTCCTTCGAATTGCACGGTTCTAAGTGTGTTTCTTCTTTTGCATTCCCCTCTCCTTGGATGGAAAAGAAGAGCATTTGCTATATTTATTCTTGGCTTTTTGAAACAGAACCCTTAATATTAGCTGTATTGATCACCTGACAATACGCATAATAACTTACATCTTTCTACTTTGGGCTGGTGAGTCTCAATAGCATTTCAAGAACTAGAAATCAATCCCATTAGCAAATATAGTAAAGAGTAAGAGATTTTGGAACATATTAACTGTTTCCCTGAACCAAGCAATAGTAAATACACATATAACAGAACTTGGAGAATGCATAAATATCTTATGAATCTCATCACATTTCATAACTGAAACACTTTCTGTATGATAGATGAAAGGAGCTTCAACACATAGGAGCTTTGGGAATATACATAAGGCTGTATTTAAGGGGACAAAGGATTCATATTGGATTTATGAGTATTTTGGTAAATGGAGGTTCTTGATCACTCTGAGAAGATAGGTATCCCTCTGCAAAAGTCAAGGAAAGAATGAGGAGTTCAAATTGGTTATCTATTTAACAATAGCTCTGATGTATCTTGGAGCACATGAGCAACGGAGCCTGTGGAGCACTACTTCAAGAGTTGCTCTTGGTCTTCTTCACATAATTGGCTTTGCTTTTGTCACCTATTATCTTAATGATGTTGAGCAATGGAAAAGACATTCTGGTGAAAACTGTAAATGCAAATTGTGACTCTTCAAACGGATTAATTTGTTTCACTTTTTGAGTGCAGTTAATCGTGCACATCAAATAGTGTCACTTGCATCAACAAATGTCTAGTCGTTCTTCCCGAACCATATATGTTGGTAACCTACCGCTAGATGTCAAAGAGTGGGAGATTGAAGACCTTTTCTACAAGGTTTGTGTCCTGCAGACTTTTCTTTATTTTGTATATTTCTAAAGCAAAAGAAAAGAAATGAGAATACTCACTATTATCTTGCCTCAAACTGTTCTTCTAATCCCTCTTGTTCAATCCTTGTGCAATTGAAAAAGGACCTTAAATCTCTATTTGTGTTACTCACTATTGTGTAGCACTTGTAAAGTTCAACTATTTTGTTATTTTTGCATCTTCCAACTGCTCCTAGAATATTGGTTTCTGGGCAATTTTAATTTGACTTTTGTGGGCTACAGTATGGACGTATTTTGGATATTGAATTGAAGCTTCCTCCCCGCCCTCCTGGTTACTGTTTTGTGGAGGTATGTATTACATTGTGACATACTTTTTAAGCAATTTCTTCACACTTTGTTTCACTGCTTATCCTAAGCTATTCTTATTTGCAGTTTGAGGACCCTTTGGATGCTGAAGACGCAATCAAGGGCCGAGATGGCTATAATTTTGATGGGTGTCGTATCCGGGTAATTAACTCTTAACTAGTCCATTATTATTATTTAGCCATTGTTCTGTAGGTGGTGTCTTATCTTACCCTTGAATCAGGTTGAACTTGCCCATGGTGGTAGAGGGCAGTCTTCTCGACGTGGTTATGGTGGCGGCGGCAGTGGTGGCAGTGGTAGAGGACGATTTGGTGTTTCTCATCGGTCTGAGTTTCGAGGTAAAACTTATTTATACTACTTTTAAAGTTCATGTTTCTGTTTCAGTCTGTGTTTTAAACTTATGTTTTTCCTTGTATGATGTTGACATTTTAATTCACTATGATTTAGTTGTTGTTCGTGGACTGCCTTCTTCGGCTTCATGGCAAGATCTGAAGGTAAGGTTTTCCAATTTCTTCTACATTTAAGGTTCCTCGCATGTGGATAAGGAAAACTTACAATTAGTGGATTTATTTCAGGATCACATGCGTAAGGCTGGAGATGTATGCTTTGCAGAAGTTTATCGGGATGGTGATGGTATGAGTTCTAATTAGGTTCACTTACTCTTTCCATGTTACATCTATCATACCTATCCGCTTTTCATTTGAATTTCATTTTATATTTGTCAGATTTTTACATTTGTTAAGCTATCATTTTTCCTCTTATAGGAGCCATGGGTATTGTGGACTACACCAATTATGAGGACATGAAATATGCAGTAAGTTAATTTTGGAATTATTCTATTGGTTTGATTTGTTGGTGACTTACGCTTCTTGATTGATTTACTTACCTAGCTTTTGATTTCCTAATTGCACTGCTCAGGAAACTTGGTGATTCTGAATTTCAAAATCCTTTTGCAAGTGACTTGTGCTTCTTGATTAATTTACTTACCTTGCTTTTGATTTCCTTCTTGCACAGCTCAGGAAACTTGATGATTCTGAATTTCGAAATCCTTTTGCAAGGGCTTATATCAAGGTAATCGCTTTTTTTTTTTTGGGTTGGAAAGTTGTGGTTTTTGGGCTTTCTTAAACGTTTTATGTCCATATTTAAAGACTTTGACTAAAGAAGGAAATATGTGATGACCCTTTTTTGAAGTTGACTTGTTTCTAAGTTACTGTGGCCATGATTTTATGCTTGCATTTGATAATTAAATGTCTTTTGGGTGATGGGGTGGGGATTCTGCTGGTGGTGGTATGTTTGAATAAATATTTGTCTTTGATACAAAAGAATACCCTTTCTTTATTGAGGTTGAGGGCATTTTATTTGTCCTTGTTCTTTAATAATTACATTGTGTTGCAATTTGCAACTGTTATTTCAGGTGAAAAGCTATGAGGGTAGTCCACGTGGGGGTCAAAATCGAAGTAGAAGTTGCAGTGGGAGTCCAAGAAGCAATAGGAGGTAACTATAAATTGGTCTTTTGCTTGTACCTTTTACATTTTTTTTCCTCTTTGCTCTCTCATATGCGCACATACAGAGATAGATGCAAAACCCATGCACTTTCAATCTCTCGCATGTGCATAGCCACAACAATTGGCTATTTTCTTTGTCATGTTCAGACTGATTATTTATCTTTATCCAGGTCTGTGTCAAAATCGAGGTCCCCTTCGCCTGCCAGATTATCCAGGTATGTACATATGTTCAAGTTTAATTTATATTATTATATTTGACTATGCTTTTTCCTCTCCGTTGGTGCTCAATTTTCTTTTATGCATCTTTTGCTTACCTATATGCAGATCGAGGTCAAGGTCCAACTGACTGCAGGTAAGTTCTTTCCTTAAGTTATTGCGATTGCGATGGACAAGTTTATGGTGCATATGTAGGTATAGGCCTATAGACCAATTGCTGAAAGAATGATTATGCCTGCATTAAGCAGAGTTTTTATGTTTACAATGCTATAAACTTAATGGGTGACTAATTTTAGGCGGACAAGTTTATGGTGCATATGTAGGTATAGGCCTATAGACCAATTGCTGAAAGAATGATTATGCCTGCATTAAGCAGAGTTTTTATGTTTACAATGCTATAAACTTAATGGGTGACTAATTTTAGGCTCATCATACATGCAAAATAAATTATAGAGGGTTGGTTTTGGATTATTTCTGACTGCTGGTTCCTACTTTTGCAAGCCTCTACCAGTAAAGAGGCTTGAAATCTAAATAAACCAACCCAAGGATGCTGGGTTTGTTTAATCTTTGGTTTTCTTTATGGTGATGTGTCAAAATTGAATACCCATTACTCATTGGCTGAAAAATACCACTATAATTTCTTCTTCGAGTGGCTTTCTTATTTGGGGTTTTTTTTTTTTAATTTTTAAAATTTTTTTTTCTGTTACAGGAAAGTTGGCACGGTGGTAAACATCTGCTGCAAGTTGCTGCTGGCTTTTAGTCTTATAAACTTGGGGGGCATTTATGAATGTTTTGGTGCATATGGTAGTCTAGTGAAGATAGCTCAGTATCTTATCTTTCTTGTGTAATCCTGTAGTAACTGCTTATTTGATTCATGAACTAGTTTCAGTAGTGCTGCGAGCTTGTTTGTTGTTTACACAAGGGACAAATTTGTACCTTTACTTAACTCTAAGTATGCTCTAGCGATGTGTTGATGTGCTAAGCTCTTGATTTGTTATCTATGCTAATACTGATACTAATGATTATTAAAAAAAAATAATATTAATCCTAATTATCTATATAAAGAATTTTAAATTTCTATCGCTTTAATATTTTTTTAACGTCGTTTTTGTATTGTAATTTAAGTTTGCTTGCAAATTAATTTAAATATGTTAAATTATTAAGCTAATGCCTTTAGTAAAATAGTAATAGTATGCATAGATGCAAAAAAAAATTATTATTTCTGCTTCATTTCTTTTCATCTTTGAGATGCTTTAAAATTATTATTATTATTTTTTAAAATTAAAATATTTACTTTTTTATATTTGAAAATCTTATTATAAAAATTTTTTATTAAAAATTATGAAATTTTAATTTAAATATTAAATATATTAAAGTTGAAAATTTATTTTTAAGTTTTGTAAAAATTAATATCAATCAAACAAATTGGACGGAAGAGCGTAGGGTATAATCGTTAGAATTTAAATTGATATAGGATTAAATGCGAATTTAAGTTCAATTTAAAATTTGTGATAAGAAATTTGATTTAAATTTAATTTAATTTTGTTTTATTTGAGTTTGATTCAAGATGAAAATCGAATTATTTGAATTTATTTGATTAGATTTAATTAATATATAAAATAAATTTAATTTTTATATTTGTAAAAAATTTGATTATTTATATTTTAATTTAAAATATTTTATTAATTAAAAAATAAAATATATAAAAATATAAAATTTCGATTAGATTTATAAATCATTTGCATTGGATATAAGAATATTAAAATTTTATTCAATTGATAAATCAAATCACTTAAGTTTAAATTTTACTCAATGATAATCAAATTAAATTTAAATTTTATTATAATAAAATTTAAATAATTTATAAATATTAATATATCATTTATATTTATTAAAAAAAAAAAAAAGAGAGTTTTATTGTCATCTCTCAATAATCCAAGAAAAAAAAAATCAGATCCTCCGATTGGGACCAAAATATAAAACGATGCAATTGAGGAAGGGTTGTGTACGCGCCAAAATTATCTGTTTCGGAAATTTTATAGTGTGACCTGGCACGGCAAAGCTCTCCTGGTAATCGCTCGATTTAAATATATCGCCAGCTGTTCGGTTAAATTCCTCACTGATATAAAAAACTCAAATTGCAAGCTTTGAAGAGCAAAACACTCTTGAAGATAGTTGAGGTGACGATGAGCATAAGATGGCCAAGAATTTTAACCCCAACACATCTCTCTCAAATTATAACAACCCAAAAGAACTCTTTAATAGCTCTCCAAATCTTCAATCAAGCCCAACAAAAGTACCCCAACTACCGTCACAACGGTCCCATTTACGCCACCATGATCAACATTCTTGGGAACTCCGGTAGACTCTCCGAGATGAAGCAAGTGATTGATCAAATGAAAGACGATTCTTGTGAGTGCAAAGATTCAGTTTTTGTTGGAGCTATCAAAACTTTTGCAAGTGCTGGAATGGTAAATGAGGCTATAAATCTCTTTAACAGCATTCCTCAATTCAATTGTGTCAATTTTACTGAATCTTTTAATACCATTTTGGGAATAATGGTGAAAGAGTCTAATTATAAAGCTGCTCATCAACTTTTTTTGGAGAATTCATGGAGGTTGGAAGTGAAATCTAGGGTGAAATCTTTGAATCTGTTGATGGAAGCACTTTGTCATTTTAAAAAATCTGATCTTGCATTGAATATTTTTCAAGAAATGTATTTTCAAGGTTGTTATCCGGATAGGGAAAGTTATAGGATTTTGATGAAGGGTTTATGTGATGATGGGCGGTTAAATGAAGCTATCCATTTGCTATATTCAATGTTTTGGAGGATTTCACAAAAGGGTAGTGGTGAAGATATTGTGATTTATAGGATTTTATTGGATGCTTTATGTGATAATGGGAAGGTTGAAGAAGCTCTGGAAATTGTTGGGAAGGTTTTGAGGAAGGGTTTAAAGGCTCCTAAAAGCCGAAGACAGCGACTTGATTTAAGTAAATGTAGGGATGGGGAAGATTCAGAAGCTACTAAACGCTTGATTAATGAAGCTTTAATAAGAGGTGGAATTCCTAGCATGGGTAGTTATAGTGCAATGGCTATTGATCTCTATAATGAAGGTAGAGTTGACGAGGCTGAGAAACTGCTTGATGAAATGCGTAAGAAAGGGTTTTGGCCTTCATTATTGATGTATGAGGCAAAGGCACAAGCTTTGAGTAAGAAAGGGAGAGTTAGTGAAGTAGTGAAAGTAATTGAAGAGGATATGGAGGAGGGAACTTGTGTTCCAAGTGTCAGGTTGTATAATATTGTGTTGAAATGTCTTTGTGATGCAGGGGATTCGGAACTGGCTGTTGGGTATTTGAAGAAGATGGCCAAGCAGGTTGGTTGTGTAGCTGACAAGGAAACTTATAGCATTTTAGTTAACGGCTTGTGCAAAGACGGTAAATTTGTTGAAGCAAGTCGGGTGTTGGAGGAGATGCTGATTAAATCACATTGGCCTGGTGCTGGAACTTATACTCTACTTGTAAGGGGCCTTTGCCCAATAGGTAGGCAATATGAAGCTGTTATGTGGTTGGAAGAGATGGTTAGTCAGGGCATGTTGCCAGACCTTTCTATATGGAACTCGTTGGTTGCATCTGTGTGTTGTAAAATGGGTGAAATGGATGTTTGCCTTGAGGACATTGTAACCCAGTAATTATAAATTTTTGTTCTTTCTTTCTAAGTTCAAATAATATAGAACAATGAATATTGGGCAAAAGTTCAGCAACAACTTGGCTTTCATGCTATCTTTTGTACTTTTAAATTGACCAAGGTTCCTCTGCTTTACTCATGTGCGATGCACTTGTCAGGAATTTGTGTCTGTCTCTTTTCTCTCTGATCAACGAGTGCCCTTTCATTTCTAACAGCAATGCATCTTTTTGCTAAGAACGAACCAATTGTGTGATATCAAACGAAGATGACTTATTTGCATCTAATTTTTATTATAATAACTGTAATTCGTTCAATTGAAAGCTGTACAAACGCGCCTGATTTCTCCTCGGGACCTTGTTTTGACACCAGATACTATCGATTCAACAAAATCTACTTCGAAAGATGTTCAAAATATTGGATTGAGCAATCCAAAATAGGACAATCCTAGTCGTTTCATCTTTATATAGCCTGGAATCAGATTCTAGCAGTGCAAAGCCATTCCTAATGTTCTTCAGAATCTGTTTATCAAATGTTTGCTCACTTCCCCGATCAATTGGCAATCTTACATTCACTTCTCCATTCTGAGGGCATACGGAATGCAGCTATGGTTAAAACTCGGGTGATTGCAGGATCTGAACCCCCACCAGGGAAGAAATTGTAAAGCCGTTTGGTCATGAAAAAACAAACATTGCCAATATTTTATCAGTTAATGAGAGATCAAATAACACATTGGGGGTAGAAAAAGGTCATTAAAATGTGAACAATTAACCTGGATTTTCACCTCTATTCTCTTGTTTTATAGGGAAACTGTTCTGACAATTATGTGATGTTGAAGACTCTGAGCTTGCATTATCTTCCGGGACAGATGAACAGCAGGCATTGCTTGCGGCAATATTATTCTCTTCAGCGGTAACAATGGCCTTACGTACAGCTTTCGTTTCTCCTTTCTGATGACTCGAAAATTCTTGGAAGTATAGTTTTCAATAAGTTTCCTAACTATGCCTTGATCTTTCATAAAACTGGCTTCTCAGGTGGTCCATTTCGCCAAAATGGTGTGCCTATTAATTCCCAGTTATCAACAAGCAAAAGACAAGGAAATTAATGATAAAACCAATTAATCAAAGAAAATTTTATATGTATTTCAGACAAAAGATATTTTTAAAAGCAAATTGAGGCCAAGCTTTCACCCAAATATGTAGATCTTTCATGCCATGCAAGAATTCTATATATCTTGACCAAGTAGGAATATATTTTAATATTTTATGTACAGGTAACAGATGGGAGGGATTAAGCCTTTATTATGCTGATTAAAATAAAAATTAATTAATATTAAAACAAAAATTGTAAAGCACAAAATCATAGAAGGAGTAATAATTTGGCATAGAAGTGATAGAAAGTGAAAGTAAAAATAAGAGAAACTCACTATCAAGCCCACAGCGGAAACAAGGCCCTTGCTTTCTCATTTTGTAAAAGGACTGTCTGAAAATTTTGTTCCCAAAATTATTACCAGAATCTGTCAAGTCAAAATCATATCATCCAAGGAAAAAAATAAAAAGAAATGAAAGAAAAAATAGCTAAAATGTAAAGAATTTTAGCAAGAAGTTTGAAAGAGTTATTAAAATCCATTTATGCAGAGAAGAGACTTACTTGTAAATGATCTATTCAATTTCTAATTTCTTTTCTCTCAATTATTATTGTTATTAATATCTTTGTAATATTTCCATCTCCAATTTACACTACCAATTTTCTTTGTTTCTTTCATCACTGAGAAAAAGTGGTAAAACCCTCCATTGTGGGTTCCACGACTTGTTTCTGGAAATTTTCTTTCTTTTTGTGAGCAAAAAAAAAAAAGAAGAAAATTTACAATTAATAATTATATATGTTTTGCCTTTTTCAAATGCATTTTTTATTTTTATTAATTGCTTTAGATTTTTTTTTTACAATGCCACAAAATCACCTCATTTGTTTATTTTTAAAAAATAATATTTAATAAATTTAAAATTTATAAATTTTTTTTTCCAATTTCATTCTTTTTGTAAAAAAAATAATTAATTTTTTTAGGGTAGAGTTTTTGAGAAATGTTGGTTATGGTTTCAAGTAAAATAATCAAATGACAAAAGTTGTTAGAAATTCATTATTATTATTATTTTTCCAACAAAGAAAATGCTCATCGTACCAACCAAATGGCAAGGCACAAAGTGAAACGATGCTGAAATAAATGCGTCCTTATCTCTCATTTTCTCTCTAGGAAAATTGTCATATGATGTATTATATTTTCTAGCAATTCATCATTCAAAATATCAAATTCTTTCTTCCTAAGTGGGTAGAAAAATCAGTCTTATTATTTTCGAAAATCCGTATAAGGTTTTACACTTTAAATTTCTGTTAATTAATTTTTTAAAATTTATCATTTCATACATCGTCAATGTATAAGATAATTTCGGAAGCGATACATGAATTAGCTGCTATTTAATTACAAGCTTAATCAATTAATACAAATTAATTAAGCACCAAAAAATAAATTTTAATTAGATTCCTTTCCAAATTGAGAATCTATCCATTTAATAATACATTAATCATATTGTAATTCATACATATATATGTTCTGAGTCATTATAGAAATAATCTTGCAAAAAAAAAAAAAAAACTAAGCCTTAAGAGATTATTATCTAAAGGATTGACATGCATATATTAAGTATATTTATATATAAATGAATTATTATTTTATATAAAAATTATTACAATAAAATGACGTATTAGCGACAGTTTTGTAGCAGCCTTTCACTTACAAACGTCGCTAGCTTTCGTGTTTTTATAAAATTTCAGGTGTTTATTATCCAAACGCCACTAAATATTCAAATAGCAGAGTTGTTACTTATAAACGCCACTAAAGAATTGATATTGGAGGCGCTTCTTGACTAAATCGCCTTGAATATTTTTATTAAAAGTTTCGGTGAATAGTTAAGGCGTATTTTTGACAGACAACGCCTTCAATAATCACATCTTAAAAAATTATATGAGATTAAAGAAGACGTTGTCTACAAGAAACGCCTTTAATATTTAGACCAAAAATTTCCCTAGGTTTATTAAATTTATTTTCTAAAAAAACTCAACCTATATTAAGCTTATCAAATTGTTAGGATTGTATGGATATTTAATTATCATAAGATTGTTGGTTCGATTTGTTCTTCAGGTTTTTTATGGGTTTAGGCACATATTATTTGTTATTGATTATTCTAGACGTTTTTTTGACATAAATTCCTTCACCAATTGCTTTAAAAAATTAATTGTAGAATATTGAAGGCATTTTCGTTGAGAGACACCCTTAATAATCAATAGAAAATATATGGGGTCAATTATTGAAGGCGATTTTGGCTAAACTCACATTCTATAATCCAATCGGTAATTTTTTTTGGATTTTTAAAGGCGGTTTTATAATAAATGCCTTCAATATTCCATAGATAAAACTTGGATGGGATGGTTGAATGCGTTTTTAGCTCAAAATGCCTTTAATATTCGCAGGGATAATTTTTAATGATCGGATTATTGAAAGCGACTATATCCAAAAATGCCTTCATAACTTTTTGTTGGGATTATTAAAGGCATCACCCGTAGGAAAATGCCCTTCATAATTCATTCGATTTATTTTTAGTTGGTATTATTGAATGTGTTTTTTGCTCAAAATACCTTTAATATTTTAGACAATAATTTTCTGGGGAGATTATTGAAAGCGATTTTGGTAAAAAAATACCTTTAATGTTTTCTGTAGGGCTGAATGAAGGCGTTTTCTTGCTAAAAATGCCTGCATTCAGTTGTACATTTATGTCCAAAAAAATGTTTGCTGTTGGTTGTATATTTGTGCCCAGAAAACATTTGGTTTATATATCTGATACTATGAATTACATTTTGGAATTTGCTTAATGAATATTGTTGCATTCCAAAAAATTTATCACACATTCGAAATTAAAACTGATAACGTTGCCATATTAATATACTTTTTTGAAATAATTGTACTCAGTAATTTAATAATTACACATAGTATATTCATATTAAGTATAATAATAATATTAAACCAATACCCCTAATTTACAAATTTAAAGTTTCCATTCAACATTGCATGTTAAAAATATTATAACAATTTGTTTCATATATATTTACAATCAACCAACAATGTCTAACCTGAAGTTTATCAACATTGATAAATGACAATACATAATCACACCATTCTTTACGGACTTCATCTAGCTCCTCTTCTATGAAGCGTTCTTTACCTTCTAACTAAAAAAATTTATCAGAAGTAAATGTTAAGAAATGAGAACATAATGTACAATTTTATTTTTTTTTGAATATATAACGAGTTTATGAAATTTATACTAACCTTGAATGGTGTGGTCATAAAATCATGTAACACAATCTCTTGCATAAAACGAAGGACATAAATCCACATTCAGTATTATCGAGTTGACGAGAAACCTGAAAATTAAATTGAGTCAGTTTAGAAAATAGTTATCTACACAAACTCACCACTAAAAGAATAAATTTGACATTTATCGATAATGACACCCATTTTGATTTCTTTATCTTTTTATTGAATGCAAATATTACCCAAAATTGAAAAGAAAAAAAATTAGTGGGAACCTAAATAAAATTTACAATATGAAGAAACAGAACATATATAATATAATAAAGTATTGTAATACCTCTTTATAAAAGTTTCAATATCGGGATTAGGCATCCTCGTTGGATTAATTGAATTAAGAAGGTATGGCGTTAAGAATTTGTTGTTAGTCACAATAAACACCCAATGACGACTGTAAAATAATAACAATGATATACTCAGAATAAGCATCAGATCATAAAATAGAGCAGGTTGGAGCAATTAAGGTTTGAATATAGCTTATTGCACATTATATGAGAGTAAATAATAATCAGTCGATCTTTTCATGCATTGGATCACATGATTAGCATGATACACGATTGTGCCACTCTGCTCACTAATAAAGTTGGGGTCAATAAATCAAAATCTGTTCGTCAACTATCTTCCCTTCAGCTTTCTATATAGAAGCTACACAATAACAATCAATACTACTAGTTAGTATATATTATACCCTAATACTAACTTACTACATATTGAATGTGCATATTTGTATTTATAAGTTTACCTTATATAAGTAACGATTTCAACAGTTGATAATTCATCCATTTCACAAAATTCTTTCACCTCATCCACACCAATGAAAGAAAATGATTGTTTATCAAATAAGTCTTCTTCATTCTCAATGGATATGATGTTTTCATCGGTGTAATTCTCCAACGAATATTTTGTTAACTCATCCATAGAAGCCTAGGCAAGGGTCAGACGTTGAGGCTGAACATCCTCATACAATATTAAACTTATCTATAAGTATTAAAGGCCTTTCCTGCTGCATTGCTGCCAACATGGACTCTCAAGCAGCTGTTGGTTGTTGAAGTGTTGCTC